AAATCGCCTTCTGAAGTAAAATAATATACTAATAATAATAATAATAATAATTTTTTTTTATTTTTTTATTTATAAACCCAACCAGACGAGAAAACAAATGAATATCCCCCATAATAATAATAATATAATATACTAATATATAATATAATAAAATAAACAAAATAAATATTACGGGACATATTTTTACACATCGTTATCTAGTCCAGAACTATGCTAAGCTTGTACCATAGGTACTACGTAACTAATAAACATACTTAAAAGTACTTCTCTTTTGTAAATAAATACACGTTATACTCGTAGATATATAAACACCCAGACACTAGAACACCATGGGGATTGAACACACAATATTTGATGCACGATACAGATTCACAATCCACTAAGCCAAATGGGTTTTCAAGTTCCCTACGTTGAGTAAAAATCGTTACACGCTGCATACTTACGTTCGCGCTTATATAATTACCAATACAGGGGCAAAACGGTCGCGTGTTACGCTCACTTGAGACTTGGAAAGACGCTCAATGGCTTCGGGAATATATCGTTTACGTAATCGCCGACCGGCGTCGACTCAACACGTGTGAATAAAGGCTACGATTCCAGTTCGAGAGAAAAAATGCAAAGATATCTTACCCTTTAAACGAGCAATTCTTGTATATATATTGTAAATACAGAAATTTAGTATGTGCGTAGATTCGAGGGCGAAAAATCGATCTCAGGGAATGAAAAATAACATTCAAATATGACAGTAAATTTAAAAAAAGAAAGAATAATAAACACCTGGATACCTGAATAATTATATCCGTGGGTCGCACAAATATGTATTTGTCCGGTGTAGAAATCGTATCCATGGCCCCTTATAAATCATAACTTCTTCTTTTCGAATCAAATTCGCTATTTAGATCTCGTTCGACCAGTATGTGACCACATCCACCGCAGCAGAATTTGCTTCAAGCAAAAGCTTCTCCGTAGGTGTAGGAGGAGGGAACGAACTATTGCATTTATGAAAACAACATGTTCTATCCACGCACGGCACAGTACTCTTGGGAGTGCCTAGCATAGCGTGGTCCTTGTGCATAAAAAGTATACGAGTGTCGAGTGAGATTCGTGGTATTGGCAAAGCGAGCTAATAGACTACCAGCCAAAAGACGGGATTTGAAGAGTACATATCCGTAGTCACATCGGATCGGTTTCAATATCCTAACTACAGATAGATTTCGTTACTAGCGATAGGTATTTGACATTAGCTCCGTAATACTTACGTCAAAATTCGTTCTCCAGTAACCAAATCTATCTGTAGATAGAATATTAGCCGCTAAACCTCATATGGGAACGCAATCCGACTTCTTAAGTGACATTTGTTGGTATAACATTTGTTGGAATAATGACATGTTGTTGCATATTTCACTCGAACACTAGACAATGTACAATTTTACGAAAGTAATCATGCATTGATGTGATCGTAACGTATGTATATTACAGGCGCATTAACATCGTAATATGTTTGCAACACAAACAAATATCACTTAGAGAAATTAAAAACCGGCCAAGTGCGAGTCGGACTCGCGGCCGGATGGTTCCGCACCATTATCTTACATTATCTTACACCATTATAAAAAAAGGCAAAAAAAAATCATGTCTGTTGTATGGGAGCCTCACTTAAATATTTTTTTAATTCTGCTTTTTAATATTTATTGTTATAGCGGCAACAAAAATACATCGTCTGTGAAAATTGAAACTGTCTAACAACTATGACAGCCTGGTGACAGACGGACAGACAGACAGACTTGGTAATAGGGTCCCGTTTTACCCTTTGGGTACGGAACCCTAAAAACTAATTTTGTGTTACTTTATATGCAAACTTCTGTTACCTATTCCACGTGCATTGTAGATATAATTATGCATGCAAAACTACGCAGACATCTCGACATACGAGTATCGCAAATCGGAGCGGTAACGTCGGGCTACGAAATTTTCACTGACTTTGGTCCCATAAACTAGAATCTGCATTTCATCATTCATACTTAACGTTGTAAGAGTTGTTAACTTAACCATAAACCTAAATGAAGCTATGCATCTTGTTATTGTTCTATGTGGAGGTATACTTTCTATATCTAGGTAATATTTGTTTCACTTGTGTGTGTGAGCGCGTGTAACACGTGAGTTTCAAAAACAATCTAAATAGTCAGTTACGGTTAACTTTCGTGTTTTTCGAGTTGTTTATTGGCTTAACAATTATAACGAAGGCAGGCCGTAGTAGTTGCTAACCTTTTTTTTTTCGTGCGAAAAATCTCTATCTCTATCTCTATGCCACTGGATCGGGGCAGTGACAGGGTTATGTGGAAATCTAAACAGGTACCCATTAAAAACCCCACGTTGCACCTGTCTCTATCGCATCGGCCGGTGACACGAGAACACGTAGACGCAATCTTCCACGACTCCAACCCACTGGTTAGCAACTACTCGGGGTAGTTGCTAACCAGTGAGTGCGGTTCCACCAAACTGGTTGGATCTGGGGATTCCATCATCGTCATGATCATCATGATCATCATTTTACTCTCCTTAAATCCCCTACCAAACATAGGTATGCCGAAGACTGTGACGAAGCACGATCCTGAGCCACCTGCATCCATCGACTTCCCGCACACTTGCACAGGTCGTCACTCCATCTAAAATCTCACTATATTGCAATGGCCAATACGATGCTGCTACTCGAGGACATTTCTTCCCCATCGGTTATCAATCAAACGAGCGATGTGACCGGCCCATTACTACTTCAGCTTACTAATCTTCTGAGCTAAGTCTTTATTCTTCTGCAGATATCTGTAATGCAAACTCTATCGAATTCTATTTAAGTTTATCTTGGTATTTGTCCACGTTTAATGTGTGTCTTTTAAAATATTTTAGGGCAGAAGTTTATTAAAAAAACTAAAAAAGAAAATTAAAATAAATAGCATAATATTGCATTTTAGAATGTAACATCAATTCGATATTCATTGTTCGAGTATTTTTTCAACAAAAAACAGCTTGGATGCCTTAAACGTTAAAATTGAATTTGGCGTAGGCAGCGCATCCCACATATACAAATCGCTTTATAACAATTTCGCACAGGCCGCAGTGGCAGCAAATTGTTTTGGCTGCGTTCCAAAAACGACAACGGCACTGAAAAAACTAGGGCGAATATTAAAGGTCTTCTTTAAACGTAGAATGTTGATTAATTGAACGTTAAAATCGATCGATGTTTCTTGGTTTGTGCACAATACACATAGCAAAAAGGTGACAGGTAATACAAAATAGATACATAAGATATGAAAAAGCAAAATAGCTTTCTAATCCAATTTATAATATTTTCAAAAAACCAATCAATCTCAAATACATAAATACTCACGCTTGTCACTCAAATAACAAGAAATTACGGTTTATACAAAGTCTCTTTTCAAAGATTTATCTAAAAGCGCATCTGTATACAAAATCAACCAGTAAGCCTAGTGTGCAATACAGTCAAAATATGTCAGTCGACAACGTGATGCTTCTTATAACGAAACGGAAACATTATTACAAACGTTCTTATTTCGATGACTGTTTCTTGCTCAACAATTACCGCGGCATCCACATCGCATGGTTGCAATTGCGCTGCCAGAGGGGAGAAGCGAGCCGTAGTGGCTGCTTATTATCAATTATGTATTGAGATAATTGAGACTTAAAACTGCTAAATGCGGTTATTTTATTTTAATAAGTAGGTAGTGTGTTGTATAGCTATGGTCCTTCAAAGATAATACTTGTTTTATGGGTAATTTTTTCGTATTTTTTGTACATTAGTTTCCTAATTAGAGTACAAGTGTTCATTAATATTGAATATTTATCTATATACTAGCGACCCACCCCGACTTCGCACGGGTGCAATGTATTATACATATAAACCTTCCTCTTGTATCACTCAATTATGTTGTTTTCGCGGAACACTTCCACTAACATTTAAACTTTATGGTATAGTATTAAAATTCAAATTGACTTTTAAGTATTATTACGAATCTTTTATATGGGAATATAGAAAAGTGTTTTTTTTAGACATTTTCAGACAATTTTTTAAATTTTTCTCTCTGTAAGAACCATCCTCGTCCTTTAAGGAATATTATAAAAAAAAGAATAAGCGAAATCGGTTCAGCTGTTCTCGAGATTTGCGTAGCAACACAATCAGCGATTCATTTTTGTATATAGAGATTAAATTCATGCGGACTCCGGTTACCTTACTTAATAGCCGGCTCCGTTAAGTCGTGGTACTTCCCGAATGAACTGGCATTCGTGCAGCATCCAAAGTTGCATTAGTTGCTTTTGCCTGGATGAGCAGAGGCAACTAATGCAGCTTTTATTTGAACTTATGAAGATTTTTCTTTTTAAAGGTTAATTTACTGAACAGTATTCATTTGTTCCAGACACATCATCCGCACGGCTTTGAATGGGAGCTCGGAACCATGCGTTGCATAATCTAGCATAGACTAATTGCAAACTGGTAGAGTCGCACGGAACTATGTCGCTTGTTTAACCAAGGGGGGCAACTGTAACCCACTCTTATGCACAGACAGGCGACGAACGTTTTCAGGGACCCGCTGAAATTACGCCAGAAACTGTTGCAGAGGACTACGACGTACTTCAAAGTGGTAGAGTTCGTCAAGAAGGACGCGATCCGGTACTTCACGTATGACTACGAGATTCACCAAACGTAGTGGAGATATTATGAACATATTCATAGGCAACGATTACCACTCCAAGAACCTCGTTAAACTTAAACGGGCAATTTGATTTCGAGGGATACGAACATCGTACCGAACAATACAGACGTCCGTCGTCGCTCAATAAGACAATAGTAGCTGAGTCACGTTTCTTTTAATCCAATCGAAGGTTCACTGGAGCCGCGTATAAATAAATCTATCATTTTTAAGTGAAAATAATAGTCGTTTATTGCTCTGTATTTGGGGATATTGAGGAAGCCGTAGAGAAACAAGATGGCGGCGAAAGCTGAGCCGATCGGTCCGCGAAATGGCCATGAGTTGGCGCCGTTGAATACCAGAGCCGATGGCAGTGAGCGTCCTCACGGAGTGACGATAGTCCTGCAAGGGTCGAGAGGTTCTCTTCAGCGCGAAGTGCCCGGAGAAGACCGCGCGGCCTGGTCGGGGAAACTGCAATTCTTCCTCTCCATCATCGGCTACTCCGTCGGACTGGGCAACATTTGGCGGTTCCCGTATCTGTGTCAACAAAATGGCGGAGGTGAGTATGGATTTGTTACAAATACATGTTTTTCAGACAATTACAGCCGTTTACACTATTCTATCTAGAGATAGATTTCATTACGTCAAAATTCTATCCAAATCTATCTTTAGATAGAATATTGAAACCCGCCGTTAATTTGTAAATTAATTTTTAAGGTGTGTGTTGTTCAAATTAAAAAAAATAATACGAACGAAAAGATACTAGGAGATTCCATACTTTCCAGATTGGAAGAGTTATGTCCTGAACGATTATTTCATTAGTCTTGTTGCAATTAGTTTTTTTTAATCAGTATAATTTAAATGACAGGAGGCCTTACGTTGAATGTATCAATAAGTTTAATTTAAAAGGTATTTATATCTGATAGAGCAGGCAAATTTAAATAATTTATATAATTAGTTACAATTAAATAATTATATTATCTCTATAGTCTATTTTTATATTACCCTATAAAATCATAATCCAACTGCCGCCGGCGGTCTTTCCTAACCGTTACGACCTGAGAATTTTCAAAAAGAGAGCATACTCTTTCTTAAAAGGCCGGCAACGCATTTGTGAGCCCTCGGGTGTTGCAGGTGTTCATGGTCAGGTGAGCCTCCTGCTCGTTTGCCCCTTTTCTCCATAAAAAAAAGATCTTACCATAATTTCATTATTATTCTCTAGAATTGCTACAGCATACAAACATCACATCCAACACAAATATCATCAGCTATCCATATCCATTATAAAGTCAAAGCTTAGATGTTAGAGCTTTTTTGATTATTACTATACATTGAAAAATTTGAATTTAGAATCATTTAATTTATTGAGCCTAGTTAACATATAGAAAGATGGTGAATGATACGGAGCCTTACACCGAGCGCAAGCATAAAATCTGTTGGCGCGCAATTTCGGCTTGGTACAATATCGATTTCAGGGGCGCAGACTGCAGTCGTTTCCCGCCTACGCCGTAGACACCTGCCGTGACGTCACACCGAGAGCGCCAAAGAGAATCACACGCCCCCTATGTTATATAGAGATGACGCCTACGCGATCAAACTAAAGTCCAATCTGTGTAGATTGCAATCAAATTACTTTTACTTTGTTTATGTGTGTAACGAGGTCTAAAACCATCGCATTTTTCATTCACATGGAAGTATTATCTTTAAAAAACTATATTTTGCCAACTTTACTACTTGTTTATATGTATATATATATATATATATATATATATATACATTTGTTTGTGTATTAATTTGATTAGACATTTATCGCAGCATCTCGATTCCATTAATTAACACTGGTAATAAGGCTGGCATTCATAACGCGATGGTCTTGCGGGACCATGGCTTTGAACACGAACATTACAAAACACAAATGCCGTTTACGGGGTCGATCGAAACGAGACAGATACCAGAGCCTGGCACGAACGGGGCTACGGCGTAGCGCTTGCGTGACGCTACGACCCCACAGATTAACCTTTACTTGCTACTGCATCATGGTTAACGGAATGGCTACCTTTAAGGTTATAATAAAAGGATACATTTTCTATTGTACTACAGCTTGGAAAATTGAACGTTATCAATCGTTATGAAATAAAAAATCTCGATATTGGCATAAGCAAAACTGTTCAGCTCTGATAACGGACTCTATTTCGCAACGTAAATTAAAGAAATTATTTTAAATATGAACTAAATCATACCACACCAAATTTCTACGTTAGATGCACCAAAATAACGAAGCAGTTTACTCTACTCACAGATTTTTTACATCTGCGTCTACGTTTTTATTATTAGTTTAATCCCTCGAAGAACAAAATTAAATAGAAAATATACTTAAGTGCATTATTTCTTGAATTATAATTATCAATGTTTATGTGGAATATTTGTCCTTTAAACTAATTCAGTTCAATTAGTTTAAAGGACTTAATTGGCGGCAAATATTAGATTCTGTGCTAGACGATTCGTGGTACCGCATAGCGCGAACGTAGAACGTTATTGATTTTAGGAAGCCTATGCAGCTACGGCACTACGGCGTAGCGCGTAGGTAGAGTTTTAGACCTGAGTTCCACTCTTTGTTTGTGTTCCTCAATTAAGTGATGTATGTACTTAAGCCACTATTTGCCCCTAACTGGACGATCATTGACACTCCCATTCTCTATTATCCATTACCTATTATACAATATAGTGTTTTGTTGAGAATAACGAAACCATCCGGATCTTGTGTACACTTTGCCGTAGCAGACTCGTTTTTCCTCAATTTTATTCGTAGTAGATGGCATCTGTTAAAACTGGTAAAGAACTATAATGCTACGGTTTCCATACATTTTAATCCTCTTAAAGCAGTGTGTGCCAATAACAAGCCTCTCTGACACGTAAACGATAAACTTATTTATTTATACTAATACTTTAAATTACTATATGTAATTTGGGGTACTGTGAGAGTTGTAGATCCCACTTTAAGAAATTAAAAATTCTTCCCTTACCGTGTATGTATGTGAGGGATCTGTTTGTTTGTTAGACAAAATTTTAAATTATTTATAAAACAGTCTGATGTAACGCAGAGAAATTCTAGGAACAAAAATAAATTATTCTTGCCTAAATCAGGCAACTCCTTCTTTAGCAGGAATGCTTTCTACATGGCAATCTGTGTGTACAATCATTTGCCAGACAAAATAAAAAATGAAACAACTCACACGTTTAAACGTAAGTTGAACGAATGGCTACTCAACAACTGTTTTTATAGTCTTTCCGAGTATTTCATGTAACTAATTTTGTGTATAAAATGATTATTCAATTAATGTAATTATAGGTGACATATATAACAATTTGACAATGACATGTATTCTTTTGTTTTTCTCTTTGACATATGTATGACAATTTATATAACATTTATCGATATTGTATTTTTTTAGTTTTTATTAAATCTTAATGTTTAAATTCAAATAAAACTAATTAATATTTGCACGCCTATCAAAGAGGCAGAATAAGTGAACTTGTGTATAAGATTTAAGACCATTATGTATTACCTTATTCTTGCAAATAAATAAATAAATAAATTAATAAATTAATAAATTAAGTGTTTACTCAAGTCTCAAAGGTGATGTGTCGTTTTAAATTAAGACGTTTAATTTCTTCTTCCTATAACAAGTCCTCATTCTCTCTAATAAAATCAAATAGGAAAAGGAACGTCAGCATTTTAATCACATAAAGTACTCTTTGTCAAGGTTTTCATATGTAAGCTGTCGCTTATAAACGAAGTAAATGAATGAATTTCGTAAAAAAAAAACGGCAGTCGGCATCAATCTAATACTGATTCAATTTAAACGTTTTTTCTTATTTTTTCCAACTATTTGAGCGATCAGCATAGGCAATAATTCCATCGGACTCTATTTGCAGTCACTACTACATTCCCTCCTCTACCACTTTCTTATAAAAACACATAAATTCATTCTGTTAGTCTTCCACTAACCTGAGGCCGGGGCTTTATATGAACTGACCCAGTATTGGTTCAATACACAAAGCGGTACTTAAGGGGAAGGTTCAATGGACATTGAACCGTAAATGTTTACGGAGCACTTAACACATACCGAAAACAAATGGGACGCGACCGCATTGCCTAACGCGTTAACGGCCAACGGAATCAGGTCGCGACCTTGATTATAGTCATCGGCGTGCTAATTGCAGCCAGTACAAATCAGTTTGAGCGTTTAACGCCTGGTTACTACGAAAACCCATTAATACGATATTGTAATCCATACTAATAGTATAAATGCGAAAGTAACTCTGTCCGTCTGTCTCGCTTTCACGCCAAAACTACTGAACCAATTTAAATGAAACTTGGTACATAGATAGCCTAGAGTCTGGGAAAGGACATAGGCTATTCTTTAATTGGATTTTTTTAAAGAAAGATATTTATTTAATGGTTTCAACGCGAGTGAAGCCGCGGGCGAAAATCTAGTATAAAATAAGCAGCTATTCGATCGTCTATAGGTCGATTCGTAATAAGTTATTACAACGCAACGTATTGAATTAACGTTGTTTTGGATTTACGAGAGTTGAAACTTTTCGGGTTTTACCGCGTTTTATTACAGGATTATTACATATCTTCTTATCCTTTAAACGAGCAATTCTTGTATACATCTATATAATTGGAAATAAAATAAATGTAATTTCCAAAATACACGATTTACTAAAAAAAACCGAGCAAAGCTCGGTCCTCCAGGTACTAATGTGTTAAGCTAGATATTTTAGATTCGATTTCTAATATATGAGCAATATGAATTTTTATTGTATTTTTTATGTGACAAAGTGGCAAACGAGCTGGCGGTTTACCTGATGTTAAGTGATAACCGCCGCCCATGGACATTTGCAACACCCTTAGGGTTACAAATGCGTTGCCAAATTTAAATGAAGTGGGCCCCGCCTACCTTACTCACCAGACTAAACGCGGAACTATACTACACTTTATATATATACATTTCCACTTTACGCCGGTCGTCTGTGAGGTCGTGGTTATTACCAGGACGGACCTGCCCATTCGTGCAACAGGGTTTGTGTCCCTACCACCGGTAAAACTATTACTACTACGCTATTTACTCGATTACACATTGCTAAATGAAACTATATTTACTGCTTTATTACATTTATTTTTAGTTTTATTTGGGGAACATATTGCTCGTATTAGTACGAGCAATATCTTCTACGGATTTGATTGCTCGAGTAGCGATAGTAAATGATCATTTGTTATTGTTATTGTTGTGTGTTGTTATTTCAAAACTACGCGAGATAAAATTTTATGTGACTCACAAATAATTTCCGTTATGATTGTAGTTTGTTTCAATAATTTCACGTTTGTATATCCTATTGACATATGGTATACCTTGTAATTTTATGTTTATTTTTCTAAATGGAATCCGTTTCTAAAATATTAAGAATAGAAACTACGTTGCTACATGAAGTAACACTATGAAAGGAGAATTACTTTAGTCAGATGTACTTCGGTATTTTTTTTTACTCAACACTTATGGTTACATTCAGTATAAACAGATTCTGTCTAAAATTATTTCTTTAAGACATATCATTTAACTCTACTGCAACTACAATTAATTTTTAATGCATAAAGAAAATTCTCACATTTGTATCGTTTTTACGCCGACCAACTCGCCAAATATCTTCACAGTTCAACCACATCTTGTCATAACGATCAGAGATTAAAGAAACCTGTCATCAGATAAGCTTCCCAGACACATAAGAACGCAATGCATTAAACTGGTGTTCTTTGTGGTGTCTGTTCGTAGGTGCATTCCTGATCCCCTTCCTCATAATGCTGGTGCTGGAGGGCATTCCGCTCTTCCTGATAGAGATGGCTATCGGCCAGAAGATGCGGCTGGGCTCGCTTGGAGTGTGGAACACCATACACCCCTGGCTCGGCGGCATCGGCATTTCCAGCTGCATCGTAACACTCTTCGTGGCTTTGTACTACAACGTCATCATCACATGGGTCTTCTTTTACTTGTTCAACAGCATCCGGGTTAGTGGGTTTTACAGCTTTCGAGTGTTGTTTTATGGTGTTTTTTTTCCGGTAAACTGTAACGTGATAACAATAAAAGATGTTATTATATATGTCATTATAATAATACTAAAGGCATTAGGTTAGTTCAAAATATCACCTATATATCATATAATTCTTCTGTCATGTGTATGTGTATGTGTATGTCACTGAACTTCTCCTAAACGGCAGGACCGATTTAAATAAAATTATGTCTGTTTCTTCAGGTCGATTCGAAAATGGTTTAGATTCACAATTTTTTTTAAAGTTGTTGTTAAATATAAGAATACTAGTATTTCCTGGCCTGCTTGTTCGTTCAACAACAAAATTAGATACGTGACTCTACCACGAGTAAAAGTAAGGTCGAAACTTCTCTTTATTCAATCTACTGCAAGGTCATGATAATTAAGGCAAATCAATTAGCATTTCGTGTTCACCTTTTTCGATGTTTTGTTTTTTATATTCGATGACTCCGTGGCGCCGTAGCCAAGGTATTGGCTTCAGCGTCGGCGGTCGTGGGCTCGATGCCCACACGGAACAACTGTGCATCTGGGTGTTTGTCCACGTGAAATTTATGTTTGTAAAACGCTCTTACGACACAGGATGATGCTATCCTAATGTAAGGGCAAAGTTTGAAAAAAATAAAAAAATGAAATGCTCTACTTACTGCTCTAATTTTTTGTCATCATGCCATCAGTTATCAGCGGATCAGCTGCCATGGGCGCACTGCCCGCAAGACAACAGCTCCGCTGAAATGGAATGCAGCAAGGCATCGGCAACTGTGTACTACTGGTACAGGGAGGCTCTGGACGCGTCGCCCAGCATTGAAGACCCCGGCGTCCCCCGCTGGTGGATAGTCCTCTATCTCATGCTCGCCTGGATCATCGTCTTCTTCATCGTCATGAAGGGTATACAGAGCAGTGGAAAAGTGAGTCTGTTCTGTGAATACAATTCGAAATGTCTTTGAAAGGTTTCCTTTTTAGTTTTTTTTTCACCGTAAACTTGTATTAAATAACTTGGTATTGAACAACATCTCAATTTATTGATTTGAATTATTCCTTACGATATGTTTTATGCGTAATATTTTTGGACAGTTTACGTCACTATTAGGCTGATTATGGTTGAGATTTTATAAATTCTTTCAAATAAGGATCGAAATAGATCATAACACAGTGAAAAACATAGATTATTAAGAATTTGCTTATGACGCTGTCATAATAAGTTAAGTATATTAAGGTGGGTTGCTATACTTGCCACACCTGGTCAGCGTATTAGCGTTTTTCCATAGTTTTCGCACCCTAAAAACTGCTGCCCGTTATATGCCTGAGTATTTAGGGTCTGGAAAGTTGACATAGTTATCCTGCCATCTATTGTCTATAGTCTAGTTATCAGGCCTCTAGATGTTTGAATGGGAAGTTGATCGATGTAGGCGCTTCAGAATCATCCTTCGTGGCAATCTGTGGATAGAACTATGCCCAGCCGGGAACTAAAACAGGCTGAAATGATGAGGATGACGATGTTTTAATACAGAGTGCCTTTTCTAAAGGTGCCCAAATTCAGAGGAGGTTCAGACTCGGTAGGATAATCCTTTATTGATATAAAAACAAACTTTCTTTTTTCAAAAAAAATTGCAATTCTATTCCCTAAAAAACAGAACTTGTTGACATTGCGGAAGTCATTCATAAACGCGTCATACATATACTTTTGAAACGAATTCATGTGCGGGTTAGTTATGAATGATCACTCGTAAAATAAATGAGTTGCCCATAAGTCACGCACTCTTTGAGATAAGTTCAAATGAAGGTAATTAATTAATTAATTACGAGTGATTTTTAATATTTATCATTTTTATATAACATATATGTGTAGAATTTAATAAAAAAAATGGAAACACTTAGAAAAGCCTCCCTGTATAATTAATACAGGTGGTTTACTTCACATCCCTGTTTCCATACGCCGTGCTGACGATATTCTTCGTCCGTGGCATCACGTTGCCCGGTTCTTCTGACGGGATCTGGCATATGTATAAGCCGAAGGTATGTACTCTTATCGCGTACGATAGTTTATTCATAATAGGTTACGTTTAAGTACATGTTATCGCTTCATCATCATCCTATTGCCCTTATCCCACCTAGGTGGGGTCAACGCAACATGAATCATGTTATTAGCGGTTTCGACTATGTTTTTTTACGACCGGATGCCTGCATGACGACAACCTTTCTTAGGAAACAAACGCCCAGACCCGGGACTATTATTTTTGTGTGGTCACACAAATACTTGTCCCGTGTGGGAATCGAACCTACGACCCTCGAGCCAATAGCTTAGCAACGGAGCCATCGCCATATTATCCCTTATAAGATAAATACGGATAATGTTCATATATATTTACAGATTATGTTAATCAAACTTCATCCTTCTATCGAAAATATAATACTTGTTTTTTACGACATAAGAATGAACTTTAATTGAAGAATTTAAATGACACAGAGTCAAAGTCAAAGTATATTTATTCAATATAGGCCTAACTTAAACTCTTATTGAACGTCAACAAAAAATCTACCACCGGTTCACTAAACTAGACCTGCACAGAGAAGAACCGGCAAGAAACTCTGCGGTCTTGTTCTTTTTGTTATATATTTTTTTTTGATGCAATTATACACACTTATTTAGGTATAAAATCAGCAGCAGCCAGTCTTGCAAGTGCAGAGCAAGAGTCAGTTCCAAACATCCTTGTCCTCAATGTATTCTTGCATATTATAGTAGGCCCTTGCCATTAAGGTAGCTTTTACAAATTGTTTGAAATTGTTTATACTTAGTTGTTTGTAGATGTCACCTATTTTATTATAAAAGTTGATGCATCTTCCAAGAAATGACTTTCTGGTTTTAGTCAATCTAAACCTCGGTACTTCCAGAGTGTCACCACGGCCCCGACGCGATGTGGATTGTTTTTTCGTAAATAGGTGGATATTCTTACGTACATACATGATGTTCTCAAGTATGTAAAGCGACGGGAGCGTCAAAACGTTTATTTGCTTAAATATATGCCGTAGTGACTCACGTGGACCCAAGCCATAGACGGCCCGTATAGCCTGCTTTTGTAATGCAAATATTGTGTCTAAACCGGATACGGAACCCCAAAGTAAGACACCATAGGACATTATGCTGAGAAAATAAGCACAGAAACAACAGCACAAGGATTTTAATCCTTTTGAATAACGCAGAGAATAATTTACAAAGCAATTGTGCGATGACTCCGTTACGCAGATGCCAATATATTGGCTTCGGCGTGGGGGGTCGTGAGTTCGATTCCCACACGGGACAACTATTTGTGCGACCCACAGATTAGTTGTTTCGCATCTGGGTGTTTGTCCTCGTGCAATTTAAATTTGTAAAACGTCCTTACAACACAGGATAATGTTATCCTAAAATGAGGACAATGTTTTTTAAAGAAAACAAAATTTGACCTTATGATGTCTTAAGATAACGTCATCATATCATGGATATATTGAATTAAATGACTTCATCGATTTATGTTCCAATTACTAGTCATGTCAATCGTAATCTGTCACTTTACAGAGGCTGTCATTTGTCATAGGTCAAAATTGGCAACTAATTTCATGTTAGCAAACATCCTCGCGATTGAAAATTCACTAGTCAGCACGATAGTCTGCCGCCACTCCATTAGAAAAAGATATCAAGTGTAACGCTTCGCAGCTCGAGAAACTGCTGGACCCGACGGTGTGGCTGGACGCGGCCACGCAGGTGTTCTACTCGTTCGGGCTCGCGTTCGGCTCCCTGATAGCCTTCGGCTCCTACAACCCCCCCAACAACAACTGCGTGAGGGACGTACTGCTGGTGTCCGTCTGCAACGCGCTGACGGCCATCTACGCCTCGGTGGTCATCTTCAGCATCCTCGGCTTCAAGGCGTACACCATGGTCGAGAAATGCATGACGAAGTTAGTGCTTTACACATGTATCATCATACACTATGATTCACGAAAACAATTGAATGTTATCTAGTTATATGTACCATTAATTTAATAAAAAGAATATTTTTGTATGCTGGAAAGGATATAACAATGGATGCGCCAAGCATTGCTTCAAATGCTTAAAACACAATGTAGATAAAAGACGATAAGTTTTCGTCGGTGTGGTAATCGGCCGTTTAGCTTAGTGGCTAAAGCGTCAGGCCGCGAATGCCGAAGACGTGGGTCCGATTCCCACAGCGGCGAGAATCTTTTCGCATTTTTTTTACAAATTTTAATAAGTATAAATAATAGTTAAAGTTATAATATATATATAACTTTAACTATTATTTATAGTTTTAACTTTATAATAATAGTTATAGCCTTTATAATTATGTCACACTGCTGGGCAAAGGCCTCCTCTGTAAGAGGGTCTTTACAGAGAGGCCTTTATTTAGGGTATAGTTCAACAAATAACCCCACCGCAGTTTTACCGACTGCACATAAAAGTAAAACGCAGAGCACGTGATAAGAAATTAAAATAAACAATTTCTTTGGTTCTAGCACCGGGGTTCTAATAATTACGAAACAAGTCGGTATCGAATAAGCAACTGCGATTTTTTATTAAGTTATCAAAAGAACGTATTACAAACCTTTATTTTTTTGGAACGAAGTTCCTTATCGCGCGTTGTCATGTTTGTCTGTCAGACAGACAACAGACAGACAAACATGACAGTATCTAAAGAAATAATTTGATTTAAGAATTAACAATAATCCAGCAGAATCAACAACAAAATATAATACCATTGTTGCAGTTTTTGCAAGACATTTAAATAAAATAGAATCCCAAACACATGTTTCCTACTTCAGTTACCACAAGCCAATTATTACTAAAATTGAGCCTACTGATTAAGTTTATATTACATTATATTTTTTAATAATAAAAAAAATATTATTATAACTTAAAAAAAATTATTACAATTGATTCCTTAATCGAAAGGAACTTCCTTCCATCCGGGTGTCCCTTGACACCTCAATGTTTTTTTTAACTTTTTTTTCGCTTACTGTAGTATAACCTGTAAGGTTGTGTGTACCCGATTGGAGTAGTAGGTAGTGACCCTGCCTCTTGCGCCAGAGGGTGTGGGTTCGATTCCCATTATCGATTATCTAGTTTCAATAGTAGTGCTTAGTTTGGGACTAGAACGCGTTGTGTAAAAATGTTTCCTGAAATATGTATTTATCCCCGGCGGCGAAGCCAATACTTTGGCAACTTTGCCACGGAATCGATATCCATAATCATGACCAAAAAAAAATTTGGGAACATGTTGCCACTGCCGGACATTGCCAAATTGCGAATTGGATTGGAAATTAATATTACTATGATATTACGAACAAACTGAATATTTTTAAGAACAAAATCTGCACCAAATAATTCTTTATTTCAGGGAGATAAAGGTATTGGCGATGCATCAAATTGGTGGGTTCACTTTGAACTCTACCTTCGACTACTACAAAGAGGAATATCCCAATCTGAACAGCACCGTGATATCGTCTTTAAATCTCACTGGGTGCACCATGAGTAGGCAGCTGGAGGAGGTGAGCAGAAATTTTAGTGAAATTTTGTATGCATATATCGGCCAGGGTGGAGAATCAGACAACATCTATTTTTCATCCCCCTAAATGTTAAAGGTGGTCCATCCCAAACATTTTTTTCTGTCCTACAAATAATTTATATGACAATATGTTTGTCAGGTCAGCTAGTCTAATTTATAAAATTCTCGTGTCACGGTGTTTGTAATTGAACTCCTCCGAAACGGCTCTACCGATTTACGTGACATTTTGTATGCACATCGGCCAGGGTGGAGATTCGGACAAAATCTATTTTTCATCCTCCTAAATGTTAAAGGTGGTCTACCCCAAACATGTTTTCTACCCTACAAATAATTTATATGGCAAAACGTTTGCCGCGTCAGCTAGTTGCATATAATTATTTTTATATTTTATAAAACGTTGCCTGTACCGTGTGCGAGATAATCCCGCGTCGCAGATGCATTTTGCAAACACAAACAGTATAACGACAAATACCCAAGTTATCATTTACTTTACTGTTTCTTGAATGGGGAAGTCTGTAGTCCGGAATTACCGCGACCACACAGAAGACCGGCGTAAAGTGGAAGTGTTATACTTCTGCTTATCGTCTAGTGATTGAAATAACTGGAGCCAACTTTATTGAAAGGTGGCAATGCACTTGTAACCCCACGGGTATTTCAAATATCCATGGATGGCGGTTATCACTTAACATAAAGTGAGCCGTCAATTCGCGTGCCATCTTCTAACATAAAAAAAATCAAATTTGAATTCTCAAACAGGGCGAATAATAGTATTACATAAATAATTCTGGATTTACGGATTTCTTATTCCAGTTTGTATCAAATCACATCAGAATGGCAATTATATTCCGCAGGCAGCAGAAGGTACCGGACTCGCCTTCATTGTATTCACCCAGGCGATTCTCAAGCTGACCCCAGCGCCGTTCTGGTCAATTATATTCTTCTTGATGCTGCTCTCGCTGGGTCTGGGCAGCCAGATAGGCATAATGGAGGGCATGCTGTGCACCATCTTCGATATAGATTTCTTCAAGAGGATGAGCAAGCCGGTCATAACTGGTAAGGTTTTTTCTAGAAGATACCTTCCAAGGTTTATGTAATGCCCACAGACGTAATACCAGAATGGGTTTTTAAAATTCCCGTCCTTTTTAAAAATACTGTTCTTTTTTTGTAAATATCTCTTTTACATACTATCAATGTAAGCAAATATTTTAGCAATGGCAATGCTAAACCATTCTAGCAATGGTCGTGTTTTTAACCTAGCAAGAACCGGTTTAAACCAGATGCAGTATAGGAAGTGTAATTTACGTGAACAATGCAGTAAAGACAAACCTTTCCAAAGTCACGTAATCACCACTATTTTATAATACGAGTTGTTTTCATAACCTCAAAAAATGAAATATACGGATTTTTAAGCTTTAAACATGTTTTAAATCTTTAAAGATTTATTTATAAATACATATTTACAGAAAATTTTTATTAAATAACGATTATATATAATAGCTAGATATTAGAAAGAAAGAAAGGAAATACATTTATTTACCAAAAACGGACGCACACAAATAAAGAGAAAAAAATTAGCAAAAAATTTAAAAAAATACTTATAAATAATACAATATAACAAAAGAACATAAAAAAATTAAAAAATATAAATATAACTTTAACAAACAAAAAAATAATGTACGCCCTATTCCGGTAAATTAGGTCAGCAGCTCAGCATTATGCTGTGCCGGAAATCAAGGCCTCAACACAGCGCTTACTGACCCATATACAGCGAAATAATACTAGTAACAATTATTATGTAACTTATTACAATTAATTATATACCAAAAGAAAGTCTTACAATATTAACAATAATTGACTATCACAACGATTGAGAGGCACATTAACACATTAACAATATGGCGGATAATCTCTCCTCCATGCACTCAGTCTAAAAGAAAATTAAATTTTATTTATATTAACCGTGTAGAAATTATGTACAGTTCTTTAGCAAAAATGTTCTATATATAATACGAATTTTAGTAATGTTAACTAAGTTGTGTGGACAATTTGATAACTTAATCACTTTATCTAGATGTTATTCATAATAGCTAGCTGGAAATAGTTAAATTAAAAAACCGGTCTCACTACAGCCACGAGTTATCTGAAGGACTATTCATTCATTCAGCCTCTATAACGATCAGACCATAACACGTAACAATAAATTGAAGAAACAGTAAGGGTTGTCAGTAAAAAAAGATGAAACAACAATAAATTGAAGAAAATCTTTAAGAAACCCAGGTTATGCCATATGTTAATAACCCATATGTTAGTCAAAAATTGTTTTATCGATTATAACGTTGAGTAACTATTGTAGTATTTTCACAATATGTCTTTAACTTTATGCATAATGTTATTAAAATGTTTATTTCAAATATCAGATAAGGTTTTATAAATGAGGTCGCAAACTTTTAAAACCATTCTTAACGATTGTTCTGCCTTAGATACGTTTGCTAGATATTATAAAAAATAGACAATTTGATGAATACTGGCACAAGAATTTGTTTAAGTTTAATAGGTAAATATTATGTATAATTATTAAAAACTATGAAAATATATTATCTACAATACTTTGGATTCAACATTTAAACGCCCTTCAGAGATAATCACGAAAACAAATGAAGTTATGAACCAATCTTAATTAAAAAATTTGGTAACGTTCAAACGTGGCAACTTTGAAGAGCGTATGCGCAGTGCGATCTCGTCTCTCTTTCTCGCTCATACGCTATCTCGTTCGCGCAGGCGCTGTGTGCACGTTCTGCTTCCTGGTCGGGCTGATCTTCACCACCGGTGCTGGTGAGTACTGGCTGAAGATGTTCGATTCTTTCGCCGGCACCATCGGCCTAGTCGTCGTCGCACTTCTAGAGATGATCGCCGTCGTCTACATCTACGGACACGAAAGGTGAGCGAATAACATGTCATAAATAATTCTGATTACGGATCCTAAGTTCTTTACATTTTTTTGATGACTCCGTGGAGCAGTTGTCAAGGTATTGGCTTCGACATCGATGGTCGTGGGTTCGATTCCCACACGGAACAACTATTTTTGTGACCCACAGATAGTTATTTTGCATCTGGATGTTTGTCCGCGTGAAATTTATGTTTGTTAAACGTTTTACAATACAGGATAATGTTATCCTAAAGTAAGGGCAATGTTTTTTTTAAATATTCAAAATATGCTCGATTCAAGACCTGATCAAGTTATGTCAAGCGGTGCAGGATGTAAAAGTCGAAATTATTTTATTAATATTAATGTTCTTTTAAACGTCCATTGACATTAACGACATGAAAGGAGTTTAAGATCTGAAATCATAATATACGTAAATATCAAATTTTTATGAAGTTATACTTCTTTTGGAAAAAATATGAAAGTAAAATTTTTTATCATTTAAGATCCCCAATAAGCGACATAATGAAGCAAAGTGCCAGCTTCACATACTTGGTTGCCATGGTAACACCGTGAAGTTGCAAAGCAATCCCAAACTTCACGGTAATGGCAACGAATAACAACTTTTTGCCATTTATCTATAATTCGAAGTTATTTAATTAACCCGTCAAATTGCATGTCTTTTTCACAAACTGGCAAAGGGGATGAAATTTTTAGTTATTTTTCTCTTGTTACGCTAATTATAAATTCAAGATTAAGATAATTAAATTCATTAATAATTCATTAAATTCTTACTTGCGTACTTATGTACGAACAAAATAGAAAAAAATATGATTTTCACAAAAAAAAAATTCGCTTGCGTTGAAGTCCTTTAAAACTATATATATTTTTAAAGAAAGATATTTTCAAAAAATTTTTCCAATTAAAAATAGCCTATGTCCGTTCTCAGGCTCCGGACTATCTGTGTACCAAATTTCATTTACATCGGTTCAGTAGTTTTTCAGTAGTTACTTTCGCATTTATAATATTAGTATGGATTACCACGCGTGCGGCGCCGGTCGCTAGACTAATATATAATGCAACCGATTCTGTTTCCTAGGTTCTCCAACGACATCTACGAGATGACCGGGTACCGTCCGGGCTGGTACTGGCAGATCACCTGGCGCTACGTGGGGCCCTTCATCGTCACCTGCATCCTGCTGTCGTCGCTGGTCTTCATGCTCATCAACCCGCCCACGTACGGCGCTTGGAATGCGGCCGAGGTATCTCCTAATTGTTCACTGCTGATTATTAACATTTTCGACCGACTTCAAAAAAAGAGGTCCTCGATTCGACTGTATTTTTTTACGTTTGTTACCTGAGAACTTTCTACTGGGTGGGCCGATTTTGATGATTCTTTTTTTATTTGAAAGCTGGTGCTTCCCACGGGGCCCCATATAATAATTTGATTTTTATATGGGGCCACGTGGTTTAATTTCATTGGTATTGGATCTTGGGCTCCGGAGATACTTAAAGAACTGCTGAAAGTCAATTGTTAAATGAATACAGACCAACATAGTTATGTATACCGAGACCCCCACGAATGCCCGCGTCAGCGAGATATTCTAAAACATTGTAATTACATTGTAACAATCGTCGTTTGACTTAGCGTAACGGATATTGATAACATTCCTGAGGGTCTAGTTACGAGATAGGATAATGTTTCACTAGGATAGAAAGAATAGCATTGTAATTTAGTCTTAAGCCAACTCTGGTAGCGAGCATACGAACTTTTGTTAGTACCAATATAGGTCTAATTAAAATAAAGTCGTATTTTTAAAAGGCCTTCCGGCTCCCACAACACTTGACTGGCGCAGCCGGTAGGATTCTCGCGTCGCACTTTTTCTAAAAATCAGAAAATTCGACGAGCGTTTTCTAACGTCTTCATACGAGAATCCTCGAACTAAACAAATTCGTCAAGAAGAACGGCAGGCCAAGGCAGAGCTCCAGATTAAGACTCACCAGGAGGGACATGGACAGTATGTGAGTAGACTCTATCGCTATTCCATCTGATTTTATCCAATCCTATTCCATCTTAATTATAAGTGTCTAGAGATACGTAGTGTATTTTCAAAAAATCGATTTTCACTATATATTTCTTTGAATTAGAAAATAAGTATATAAAATAAAAGTCATTAAATTTTTAAATGAAATAAATAAATGAATAAATATTATATAATAAATTAAATTATAAATATTCAATATCGAATTGAATTAAAATTTAATATTATCTTCAAAAACAAGTAAATAAATAAAATAAATAGAAATGGCTAAGATTACGCAGATACCCAAAGAACTTTCAGGAATCATCCCCAAATTCGACGGTGATGAAAGTTTATTAAATCTTTTCATTAGAAAATGTGAATACGTTATTAAACTATGCAGAGATATAGGCAATTTAGAACAAGACCTTTACATATTCCAAGTCATCACATCTAAATTAACGGGCAAAGCAGCGACATTAATAAGTGAAAGACCGGACATTGAAACATGGAATGAACTCAAGTTAGCTTTCGAACAACATTTCGGTGATCCACGTTCCGAAGAATGCATCGCGATTGAGTTAGAAACTTTAAAAATCAACAATGGCGAATCATATCTTGATTTTTGTAATAGAATCCAACATATCAAAAGTACACTATTCGCGAAAGTAAACCGAATTAGTGATATAAATCTCCGTAATAGTAAAATTACCATTTACGATCACATGTCGATGAACGTGTTTCTCTACAATTTACCCGAAGACTTATTACGTATAGTCCGACTAAAAGGATGTAATTCACTCGAAAATGCATTAAGTATTGTTTTAGAAGAAGTTAATTTCTTATACCAGTACCAAACCAGAAACAAAATGCTTCGATTACCCAATAACGCGCAACAAAAGCCGCAACCAAGCACACAAAATCCTTTCATAGATAGAAATATAATGAAACCTTTCTTTTCTCAAAATGCACAACAAAATAATTTCAAATTTGGAATACCACAACAAGGTATCTCACAAACGAGACCCATCTACCAGGCACAACATTCAAATCAATCACAGCCTAATTTTAAATTCGGTATTCCACAGGGAATAAATAACACAAAACCACTATACCAACCAAAAAATACAACCTAAGTTTAAATTCGGAATTACTCCAAGCAAACAATTTAGATTACCTCAGCAATTTGGATATAAACCTAATTTAAATACACAACCTATTGGTTATAGACCGCCACCTCATCATTTACTAAGACCACAATTACAACCCAAGACACAAACAACGGACGTTAGCATGCGTACCGCACCCCCTATAAAGCCTCAAGGTTTTCGTATGAACCAATTATATAACATTAATGAAGAAAATAACATTCCGTATGATGAAAATGAATATTACTTTGACGAATATAACGAATATGGCCAATCAGAACAAAATAGTTACGATGAGAAATATTAATTCTCATAATGAACATGATGAATCTTTATTAACAGACTACTATAATGTTCATACAAAAGCCTCGAACAAACCCCGAAGTAATCCACATAAATTATTGTGACCCTAAATTAAAATTACCTTACATCGAAATTCCCGAAATAAACGCAAAATTCATGATTGATACAGGAAGCTCAAGATCATTTATAAGTCCAGAAAAGGCTAACGAATATTTTTATTACTGCAAGGAATATGAACCTTTCGAAGTCATTAGCACACATGCTTCAAGTTTTCATAATGAAGTAATTTTAACACAATTATTCCCCACTTTTAACACTGACAAAATTCATAAATTCTATATATATGACGTAGACGGAAGATACGATGGATTAATAGGTAGTGATCTTTTGAAAAAATTAAACTCCAACATAGACATGAAAAATCAAATACTATACACAGACTCCGCTAAAATTCCAATTATTTATAATCCATCTAACGAAATTAGAATAGCCCCCCGTTGCGAACAACGAGTTAAGTTACCCACCAACATTCTAAATGGTGAAATTATTCTAAACTACACTGAATTCTGTAATGGCGTTAGAATGCCAAGCGCACTTGTAAAATGTCAGAATGGTTATGCAACCACCATAATCCAAAATACATCGGATCAAGAAATCACTTTAAAGATAACAAAACCCTTTAACGTAACCCCATACGATAGTAGTACAGAAAAGATTAGTATAAATAATTTACAAGATAGAAACAACATCCAAATAGATAAAATCTTAACGGAAAACTTAAATAGATTGCGTTTAGAACATATGAACCCCGAAGAGCGCAATTGTATAAAAAAAACTCTGTTTACAATATAAGGATATTTTTTATTCAGAACATTTACCTTTAACATTTACTAACGATGTCAAACATTATATAAGAACCCAAAACGAAGACCCTATTTTTGTCCGACCGTATAGGCAACCACAAATAATTAATGACGAAATTAATAAACAAGTAGATAAAATGTTAACAAACAATATAATAAGACCTTCCTTTTCACCCTGGAATGCACCAGTACACTTAGTCCCCAAAAAGACCGATGCAAGTAATGAAAAGAAATATAGACTTGTTATCGATTATCGTAAACTAAATGAAATAACAATAGACGATAAGTACCCATTACCGAACATAACGGACCTCTTTGACAAGCTAGGACGCAGTTGTTATTTTACCACACTCGACTTAGCTAGCGGATATCACCAAATAGAAGTAGCCGAAAAGGACAGACAAAAGACAGCTTTTAGTACACAGTCAGGACATTACGAGTTCACACGACTCCCCTTTGGTCTTAAGACAGGTCCTGCAACTTTCCAGCGCACCATGGACAATGTATTACGAGGATTACAAGGAATACATTGTTTAGTATATTTAGACGACATTATAGTATACTCAACAAGCCTACAGGAACACATAGATAAACTAAGAACAGTATTTGATAGATTAAGACAGACTAATTTAAAAGTACAACTCGATAAATCAGAATTTTTAAGGAAAGAAGTATTGTATTTAGGACATACAATAACCCCAGAAGGACTTAAACCAAATAACGATAAAATTAAAACCATTTTAAATTACCCTTTACCTAGAACAACAACGGAAATTAAAAGCTTTTTAGGATTGATAGGTTACTATCGACGCTTTATTAAAGATTTTAGTAAGATAACGCAACCTATGACACAAAGACTTAAGAAAAAACGTTCAATGCCTCTTGATGATAATAAATACATACAATCTTTCAACAAATGTAAAGAACTTCTAACAAACGCACCTATATTAGAATACCCAGATTATAATAAACCATTTATTTTAACAACAGACGCCTCTTAATTTGCATTAGGCGCTGTATTATCACAGGGACCCATTGGGCAAGATAAGCCAATCGCTTATGCGAGCCGCACACTAAACGATGCCGAAACCCGTTATAGTGTTACAGAAAAGGAACTCCTTTCAATAGTTTGGGCAATTAAACACTTCCGCCCATATTTATACGGTAAAAAGTTCACAATCATTACCGATCATAAACCCTTATCATGGTTAAATTCTCTTAAAGAAACAAATAGCAGATTGACCAGATGGCGCTTACGTTTAGCCGAATATGATTTCAATATAATCCATAAGAGCGGTAAACAAAATTGTAACGCAGACGCTCTGTCGCGTATTAAAATTAATACCCTAGATAAAAGAGATAATTATTCCACAAAACCTAACATAGATAAAAGCGAAAATATAAATAAAGAAATACAGCAATTAAGGAAAGAAATAAAAGAGTTAGAGCAATTACAAAAGAGAACATTTAAACAACCCTCACCCGAACCAATGTCTATTTCAGAAATAGAGTCTGAAAAAGCTATCACCATTACTGACTCCGATTCTGAAAAGACGCTTTCAATAAAATCTCCATATTCAATACCTTACCCATCTAGTAGCACGTTAACAGCATCTGAAAAATCTTCTAACTTAGAAACCGCACATTCCGCGCAAGATACTGAGTCACAAGGCATTCCCATTTTACAGGAAGCAATCGACACTAAACCAAATCAAATTTTAGTATTTAGCTGGAACATAGACCGATTATCTGTAAAGAATTTATCCCGAGAATAGCAAAAAATATTAGAAGTACACTTACCTTTAAATCGACCCGATCTCGTTAAACAGTTTTTAAAAGAATATATTAGAAATAAAACTAAATATTTTATCTATTTTGAAAATGAAGAACACCGTAAACAATTTACACAGTTAGTTATATTTTTATTTAATAAAGAACTTGTTAAATTTTTAGAATGCACAAAACGTGTCGTCTTTGTAGAAAACGAAACAGAACAAAGAGACATAGTACAGAAATATCACGAAGGAAAAACATGCCATCGCGGTATTAAAGAAACCCTAATCCATATTAAACGTTCATATTTTTGGCATAACATGGCTCAAACAGTAGCTAGTATTATAAACTCTTGTGAAACTTGCAAAATCATGAAATATGATCGAAAACCAATAAAACCTAACATTGCAATTAACTCAAACTCAAAGTAAGCCCTTAGAAGAAATATTTATAGACATCTTCTCAATAGAAGGCCATTATTACTTAACCATCATAGACGCATTCAGTAAATTAGGACAAGCTTTTGAATTAACTAACAGATCGACCCCCGAAGTCGTTAGAGCCCTTATTAAATATTTTTCACTATATGGCGTTCCGCAGAAACTTAGTTGTGACCCCGGAACGGAATTCAACAACGCTTTACTTAAAGAATTATTAACATTTTATAAAGTAGAATTACATATTGGTACTCCTAACAATCATAATTCAATGGGACTCATAGAAAGGTTCCATTCCACCTTATTAGAAATATACAGAATAGGAAAACATGATCATAAGTACATAGATTCATCTTTTATAATGACATATGCAATTATGGCATATAACCACACCATACATTCTACAACAGGTTTAACACCATTTGAAGTCTTGTTAGGACATACAGACTCAAGACATCCATTTGACGTTAACTTCGAAAAACAATATTTCCAAGAATTAATTAAAGAACACGTTAGGCGCACCAAGTACTTATATAAACATTTAACTGAAAAAGCTCTACAAAATAAAGAAAAAATTATTGAAAAACGAGGAGGAGAAATTAAATTTAATATAGAACCCGGAGATAGAATTTATACAAAAGGAACAAATAATAGAATTAGTAAAGATAAACCGCGTTTTAATATAGCACAAGTAACGGATAAAATACACAGAAACACTATTCCTGTTACTATAAAAGGACGTCACAGTAAAGTACCCCTAAAGAATGTGAAACGTCCTTCACAGGCACCTCCTGCTCGTCCTGGCGATGACCACGGTGATGCGTCTCCACGCCCTTCAACTTCAGGAACTAAATAAAAATCCTGGAATATTACCTGTAAGACAAGGAACCGCAGTAGTTAGTAATAAGCATTGGATAATAGCTAAGACGCTCAACTTCCAATCTATGACGGAAGACGTGAAAATAAACGTCTTAAAAACCGTAGAATTAAATACATTAATTTTTAACTTAGATAAGAATTTTTCATATACTTTTATAGATTTAAAACTACAATTAGATTATATTAAAAACTTAACAATTAATAAGCTTCAACAAGTTACCCCTTCCTCTCGAATTAAACGAGGTTTACTAAATCCATTAGGTTCACTTATAAAGATTATTACAGGAAATCTTGATAATGACGACGCCATAAGATATGATAAAATAATTACACAATTTAAGAATAATCAGAATATTAATAATCGTAAAATAACGTTGATCACAGAAATGGTACAAACTATAGCTAACACTACATTTAAATTAAATAATAATCTATTTCAAATAAATAACGCTATAAATTCATTATCTACAAATATAAGCATCTTATTTCAAAGGGAACGTTTAAATCATATAGAAATAAATATAATTAATACATACAATTTATTAATTCATAATTTTCAGGTAATACTTATAAAATTAAATGAGATAGAGACTAGTTTAGCTTTTAGCAGATTAGGAATTTTACACTATTCAGTAATGGAATCTGAAAGATTATTGTCTTTACTTAAAAAAATAAATAAATTAGAAAACCTTATATACACCCCTACATTAGAAAACTTAATTAAGATAGAACAAACAATATTAGTAAAAGCTTATATAAAAGAAAATGAGATTACTTACCTTTTGGAAATACCACTTGTCACTAAGGACATTTATAATTATTATAGACTCTATCCCTTACCTGTTATATCCCATAACCATACCCTTGTCATTTTACCTAAGTTCCCATACCTAATAGCGAAAGGGTTGAACACACGTCTTCTAGCTCATCCATGCCAGGAAGCCGACGAGTCCTTTTACTTTTGCCCCGAGGACGACACAACCCAGCTGATAAAGGATGCTTGTATAACCGACCTGATGATGTACGCTGAAAACATATCATCATGTCTTCCAGTTCCAGTCGATTTAGAAGCCGTCAGGGTGCAGCTCATACAACAGAATACATGGATTCTATATACTAAGGAGCCAACTTTACTTACCAAATTATGTACTGATGAAGTATCAAGACAAAAGATATACGGTACATACATAATAGCATTAGATGATAACTGTTCAGCCAGAATAAAGGATATTAATTTAACCAGACAACCTGTAGAAAATGAAAGCTCCACATACCTGAAATTACCCTTAATAAATCTACCAACGATAAACTTACCTGCAGAAGCGCCGCCCCTGAAGCCGATGAACCTGAAAGGAATAGACCTTACAAACCTGAAACTTTTATCAATCGCTCTAGCGAAAAGTGATCCGGAAAATAGTGAAAGTGAAAACTCAATTGTGAAAATTAAAAGTGTTAGCCTATGGACCATTATTCTCTATGTATTAATTGTTCTAATTGTAATGTGTATTTTAGTATATAAATTTCATTTAAAATTGTATAACTGTTTTATCCAAAGTTCTCCTGTTTTACCCAAAAATGAGAACTTTGAACTTAAGGAGGGAGGAGTTATGTATACCGAGACCCCCACGAATGCCCGCGTCAGCGAGATATTCTAAAACATTGTAATTACATTGTAACAATCGTCGTTTGACTTAGCGTAACGGATATTGATAACATTCCTGAGGGTCTAGTTACGAGATAGGATAATGTTTCACTAGGATAGAAAGAATAGCATTGTAATTTAGTCTTAAGCCAACTCTGGTAGCGAGCATACGAACTTTTGTTAGTACCAATATAGGTCTAATTAAAATAAAGTCGTATTTTTAAAAGGCCTTCCGGCTCCCACAACACTTGACTACATATTTGAAGTCGGTTTGTAAACAAGTCATTTTTTTTTCTAACGAAAAACAAAACTCACTTCAAATATCTCACTCTGTATTCATTTTATAGTTGATTTTCAGGAGTTTCTTTTGTATCTCCGGATCCCAATATCCAATACAAATAAAAATAAAAAAAATACAGTCGAATTGAGAACCTCCTTTTTTGAAGTCGGTTAAAAAAGGACTTATATCTACATGGAATGCTCGTTTATTCCAGCAATGCAGATATTGGCTTCTGTTTTTATGTGAGAAGGTGGCAAGCAAGCTGGCGGTTGACCTGATGTTAAGTGAAACCGCCGCCCATTGACGGCCACGCAACAGCTTCTGCTGTTGCACAAATGGGCAGGCGTGTCCGTGGAAATAGCACGGTCTCTCTGAAGACCGGCGTGAAGTGGAAATATTAAACTTCCGCGTGACGTCCGATGGGTGAGGTGGCCAGCTCTTCTAAAGGCCGTCACGCATCGGATGTTCTTGACGTCCGTTTGCGGCGGCATTCACTTAACATACGTTGAAGCATCGGCCCTTTGGCAACTTTTCACATTAAAAAAAATCCTTTCACCTGCAACGTCGTAGTATCGGCTGGTTGGCAACTTTTCACACAAAAAATCCTTTCACCCGCACAGGGCCGCGTGGAGAAGACCCCCTACCCCAGCTGGGTGCTGGGCATCGCGGCGGGCATGATCCTGGCCGGCGTGCTCCCCATACCCCTGGTGCTGGTGCTCCGCCGCTTCCAGTGCCTCGCCCTGGACGTGGACATACACCAGGGCTCCATCCGCCGCATCGAAACCACCGTCTCCACCAAGGAGATGATGAGCGACCAAGACGTGAGTTACCAGCTTGGCGTGTGGAGTAGGTGTGGGTTCGATCCCCACCAATGGAAAAATATTGTGGGATGAACTATAATATGTATTTGTTTACAAAAGTGACCCGATTGGCTTGTGGAGTAGTGAACCAGCCTCTTAAGCCAGTAGGTATGCGTTCGATCCCCACTAATGGAAATGTATAATGTGTATTTATTAATAAGTATGTATTTATTTTCAAAAAAAAAGTACGTCTATCAGTTTTCTAGTACCCATAGTACATTCAAAATGTGTCCGCAAATATTTATTTATGCGTCCAAAATATCACGCTCTGATCGAAGTGTCTACTTTTATAACACTTAGTATAGTTTTTTTTTACCAAACACCGCCATAGGGAATAAACACTGTCGAGAAGAGGTTTCGCTCTTGGGTTCAAAATAAATGTTTATGGTTGCACTAAATAGTTGAAGACGTGCCATTTAAACTACTGCACTGTCGGAGCAGATATAATAATCACGGATTATTTTGAAGGGGTGTGTTCATAATGGTTCTGAGAGCAACTTGCTGTGCACATTACAATACCACAGTAGATAAAGGAGAAAAATATGCTAGATGCATTATAAAACATTATTTTCTGAGATAACAAATTTGCAAAAAATACAGCTTGCTATTATTGAACTAAATTAGCTCAAGGGTTGAAAACATAAAGTACCTTGCGTGACCCAGATTACTTTTCTCTTTCTAACGCAATTTTATAATGTGCAATAAATAAACAAATGTGCCCAAAGCACATTGATTTGTTTTCATAAATTCAAATTTAGAACTTTTATACAACAGGAAGAACAATCAATAAAAATATGTTGTTTTTAATACTTAACTTTAACAGCGCTTGTACTAGAAACATAACAAATGAAGTAATAAAAACACTAGAAAGTAATTTTATGGAATGTAATAAGAAAATAAATGAAAGAATTTTAATAGAATTTTCTATCAGTCAGACACCACTAATGCACTGTACGACAAAATAATATTAAGAATTGTTAAATTATGAAGTCTGTTCTTCAGGCTTCACTTACGTGTGGTCTGTATGTAAATTGTACTAATTTATTGCGTCTCTTACTAACAAAATTGCGCTAAAACCTTTCACCTGTGCTAATTATTATCACCAAAGCTAAATTTGTAACCAATCTATATGTAAATAACAACTAATTGGGACATATCGATAACGACACTCATTAGATTTTAACTAATTCAGCTGTTTTAACTTTCACGTTTTGATTTTAACTATTTCTTGCTCAAAATAATATACTATGTTCTTAAGTTTTAGAAATTTGTTATTGATATGTCTACCGTTATTTTCTAAAATATATATACACGTTATTTCAATGTTTTTTTTTTTATCAAAATAAAATCATGACAAAAAAAGGAAACTTAATTGTTGCCAGCACATACTGAATTTTTAATTTCACCATAATGGAATTATGTTATTTTTCCAAGCAGCTCTTATAAGAAAAGTAGCTCATTTAAAGCAAAGGTGACAAACATGATTGCTCGATTTCAGTTCGTATATTTTAAGTGCAATTAGTCAATTATACAGGGTGGCTTTTCTAAAGGTGCCCAAATTCACACAGGAGGTTCAGACTCGGTAGTATAATTGTTTATTGAAATAAAAACAAACTTATTTTTTTCAAAAAAAATGCCATTCCATTCCCTAAAGAACAGAACTTGTTGACAATGCGGTAGTCATTCATAAATGCGTCTTATACTTTTGAAACGAACTTGTGTGCGTGTTACTTATGAATGATCGCGCGTAAAATAAATGAGTTGCCCATAAATCACGCACTTTTTGAGATAAGTTCAAATGAATGTATTTAATTAATAACGAGTGGTTTTGAATATTTACCAGTTTTTATATAACACTATTTATGTCTAGAATTTAATTAAAAAAAAAGGATACACGTAGAAAAGCCTCCCTGTTTATAGCAGATTAAATCGAAATTTTAAAAGAGATTTTCGTTTAGAGAAAACAATTATGAGAAGCGTGTATATATTCTGTGCAACCGTGTGTCCGCTACTCGCTATTGTATCTAACCTCGCTGTGTGCGCGGCGTGGCAGGTGCTATCGCCCGAGAACGCGCCGCCCGCGCCCGCCCAGCTTGTCGCCGAGGCGGCCGGTACTAAGTTCACGATCGGCGACTTCGACGTAAGGATCCAGTAGATTAAACATAAAAACACTTTTCCGTTTCCTTCCTCCACCACTAATCAGTGATGGAGTTGGTTGAAAGGCTTTTAGCCATATAAAATGGTCTATGATATAACCTATGCACAATAGTACCTATAACAGAAAAGTACAATTTTTTTTTTGACACCTTATCTATGTCAGCAGTCAGACTTTTATACTTTTCTCGTACATGATGTGGTAACAACAGACATAATATGTTCTTTTACAGATTTTCAAAATCGGTAAGGTTATGCTTTTCGAAACTAACGATTGTTCTGGTTAAAAACGAAGCTTTAATGTATCTTTTCATAATATTAGAATCTTGATAAAATTTAATTATATTAACAAATCTTTGAAATTCATAAATATTGTTATAAGTATTATTCTACGCTTAATATGAATTTCATGACCAGATACAGGATAAGACTAAACATGCGTGTGTATTTAATTTCTTAAATGTGGCCAATAGATGTAGCACTATGTGGAAATCACGTGTAAATATCTTGTACCCGATTGACTTTAGGGGGTGGACAGCTGTGACGAGAGGCTGAGCAAGCGCTTACCAACGAGCATCGCGCGAAGCCGACCCAAGAAATAGATGTTTGTCCCGCTCGATCAATACTTTAGATCCATTTAGAGTGGAGACAGAAAATTCTTTTTGATAGTTGTATTTTTCTTTAATTATTTTACAATTTTCGGAAAACTTATAGCTAGTGTTTGAAAGTTTTCACTTCTTGTTTCTAAATATACTTTATTTTACGTCATCTTATTTCGTCTCCATACTAATATTATAACAAATTACCACTTTAAAGTTTTCTATCTCCATTAACGCGCTCAAAAAGTCACACAATTAAATCAACGCTTTGTAGTCATTAAAAAAGCACGCTTTATACGTGATTTGTGTAATTATAACACATAAATATTAACTGTGCGTCCAAAAGCTTAATAACGAAGGATATCTATTTGAGCATGGCAATCTATAGCTTATAGTTATTTAAAAAAATAAACACGCATTTCCGTTATTGAAAACTAGAAAAAGCTTGTCTATTGCAGTGTTGCCAACATTTAGATTTGTTTTCTCAGTCTTCCGACACGGAGCCGGGTGAGGTGAACGCGTCCGAAAACTTCGACGACTCCAGCAGTAGTGACGAGGAGATCCTGAACGCGAAAACGACACGCACCGGGATCCGTCTCGCGATGAAACCTATCGGCCACAAACCAACCGCATTCAAAATGGACGTCATCGACGACTGACCGCAAAATGAAAGAATGATGTCGTTGTCATTTAAAAAAATCATAGACAATTGTTTCTTTTCCAATATACCATTTAAAGTAGATGAAAGTGATTCAATGTATTTACTTAGTTTGATATAAGAACGAACTAAAACTGGCCTGATGTTTTTATAACAAAACATCGATTCGGAATTAAGACCATTGATCGGGACATAACTGGATAGGAATCCCATAGTTTGTAATTCGTATAATTTGACGCATTCAGTAGCACCGCCAGGGTAAATAAAACCTAATATTGTGCAACAGCACGTGTGCAGGATAAATAGTCAGACCAGCAATTCAGAAACAACTAAGAAAAACTAATTTTACGTTCATAATAAAAGCACATTTTCTGCTTACACTGCGAGAGCTTTTGATCTTATTAATTCGAATTAAGTGATTATTTAACATCGTTAAAATGACCATCTGGTTATTGATTACCTAAAATTTTAAAATCGTTATGTCATTCAGCGGCGCTGGTGTATACTTCAATATTGTACATTCGTCTATAGTATGCGCCAAATCGATACTCTATCCAGCGATATGACGATCAGGGAGTGATTTATTAAATGACAGCGCATCTTTCAGTGCGTCTTATTAATGTTTAGTATATCGTATTAAATTATTCACTTTTTTCGGGAATGTTCTCGGAACGTTCGTTGGAATCGATCGATTGTATTCCAGTAAAATTAGTTTAGGATTAGCATTAAAGTCGTAGTTATTGTTAAATCCGTGCGACCCTCCGCATGCGCTTGTGATGAAGTTAAACGAAAATTGAATTATTAAATTGTGAATTACAATATTCAATTCCATAAGTATTCCCAAACCGCGTATTAACAGTATAATTTGAAGCAACAAAAAAGATAAAAGTAGTAGCCCCTATTTTCAAATAGCCATTTTCAATTGTAATTGAAGATCCTTTGGCGGCCACTGAAAATACTCATTGAAATTACAAAAGTAAATATTATGCCACTATGGAAATATTACGATTAAATCGAAGCATTGTTAAGAACACTTAATTATTTATTTTATTACTTTGGCATAAAACTAAGTAAATATTGTTCGTGATATATCATTGCTCACAGATTGGTTTTTACAGAATAATACTTTTCATCTATAATACCAAAAACTTATATTAAAATTTTTTTTTTTAAATAAATAGGAATGTTTAGCTTTCATTAGTAAAATTAATAAAAATAGTTATGTTCATTAAGTATAAAAAGTTACTTTCGCAAACGTAAAATTTCACAAAATTGTTTTGAAAGTGTCAATAGAGGTTTCGATCGATCAATAATTTAGTGCAGTCAACAGAACGGGCATAGTGCTAAACTACTACATGAGCTTGATTTTTTTCACATGAGATATTTTTCATGTTTTAAGTTTGTAAATTAAACTAATTTACCAATACTGAGAAGTTCTTCAACATTGATTTTTTTACATCCACATTTCTATATAACTAATAGCAATATTATCATGTCGATAAGTCCTCCGACTGTAGTATGGAGTGTAGAGGTAAGGAGTATCTCAATATGAGGAAGAACACATAAAAAAGATTGCACTCACATGGGTAGATGTAGCATAGTTAGCTAAATATTTATGGAGACAGATAGAGATATCTGTCGAATGAAATACAATTCCCAAGGCCTACAAAAATTTGCATCTACACTCCATAATATTATGCTATATTAACGTCGTTCTGATCATTTGTCAACCCGTGTTAGGTACATTTTGTTGAACAATAATTTAAAAGCATATGAAGAAAAATATCACGCCATAAGCGATTATTTTCAATGCACGATATCGGTCAATTCGAAAAACGATAAAGTCGCGGCACATCTTCATTAATGACATAATACGAGATGTTTAATAGTTAGTGTTAATGATATTAGAATTAATAATTAGTAAGAACGTGTAGAACGCGCGCGCTAGTCATTTGTTAATTATAGGTTAAGCTATAGTTATAAGCATTGTTCGTAAGCGATGCGACATAAAAATCTCCTATTGAATCGAGCTTTCAAAATTAAAACGACCGACGCGACGCTTCTTCGACGAAAGGAAACTTCATAAATTTATTATATTTATCATCAGATCAGTCACTTACTGGTATTATGACGAGTCATATTTTAAACTCAAAAAAAAAAACTAATTGAACTACTTTTGTATTCCCACCGCGCATTAACTTTCTGCTCAGATTTACAATAAAGTATGGAATTGCAATCTTCAACACAAGACAAAATAAACAGGACAACATATTTTTTTCGAACGAAAACCATTAGAAATCAAACATTAAATGTTATTAATGTCATAAAATTAATATAAAAATTTAGGCCGAAGAGACATGGCATGTTTAGATTATTATAATAGCATAGAAAACTTGTTGCGGTGATTCGCCATGCGTAGAACGCACACTTCTTAATCTTGGTTATCATTAATGAAAGGTTCTTTAGGCTTTAAGTCTGAGCTTTAAGTTATAATGGTTGTTATAGATGGAACAAAGAAAAGGAACAATAGAACAAAAAAAAGGACGTATCTTTGATCTAACTATATATATAGGTATCGGTTTCGTAACGTTTATATGATATAAAATTATAACAATATCAAAGAAATACTTTCATTACATTGCAAAAACAATTATAACAAAGGCATTTTATGTTTGTTTTTTGATTTTAAATATTTATACTATTCGCATAATTTATAACGGTTCATATTGTAAAGTATACGACAAACTGTTTCAACGTGTTTACAGGTTTAATTGGTAGACTTATAAATTTGTCGTTAAAAAAACATAAAAAAAATTGCATTTAGTATTTACTACACTAAATATCATTATTTCTTCCACGCGTACTTACATACCTTTTAATTCGAGGAAAAACCCAAAAATAAAGAAGCTAGAAAGAATAAAAGATAAATAATCACAAAAAAATATTAAAGTTTCTTATAACGACAAGGTATAAATATAAAAAATACAGACTTATTTGATTTTCGACATTATTTCCTGCTTTGGTATTTTTTATTTTATAATGAAATAATTAATTTCCAATGTCTATCACTAATTGTTTTGTGAAAAATTTGTCTGGATCAACAAGCATTACAATTCCAAAAACCTTTTTATGATTTAAAGTCCTCAACGGTAATATAATAAATTTATCTATTATATGACGCAATCAAAATATATATAATATTATATTCTATCCATATAATATAATGCTACAAATCATAATTTTGATTAAAGATGACACAATACACTCTTAATGAAGTCTAAATTCCAATGTTTTTGTAAACTGTTGGTCGTTTCGAAAGACGTATAAAATTAGAATAACTATTGATTAAGCATTGTTTCTGTTGATGCATAGTTAGCTTTGGGACAATATCCCAACCATTAGTTGTAGTCCAACTGATTATCTCTTAAGGTTACTGTAACTAATATTTTGAAATGCGGAATAAAGTATTGCCACCGAAATTGTTCTTTTTTATTTTTTCGAATGCAAAAAATAAAACGCCGTGACATTGAATGAACGGAATTTATCCTGAATGAAGTTTATTGTGAATAGGAATAAGTATATGTTCCTCAGTCCCTGAGATTATAAAATTAATTACGAGTTTTATAAAGTTGTTATATTTGTATTTCTCGGGGATGCCAAGTTAGCAGACGGCTCACCTGATGGTAAACGAGTATTGCCACCGATGAAAATTTACAACATCAGACACATTGCTGGCGTCCTGCCTAACAAGTTTCCTGAATATGGACAACCGGCACAACGTTTATCGTATCATTTTTATACCAATAGCATGGCTATTATAGTGACTATACAGGGAGATTTTTTGAGAAGTGCCCAAATTTACACAGGAGGTTCAGACTCGGTAGTATAATCGTTTATTGAAATAAAAAAGTTTTTTTTTTTTTCAATAAAAAATGCCATTCTATTCCCTAAAAAACAGAACGTGTTGACAATGCGGGACTCATTCAAAAATACCTAAATTTTACTGTGCACGAACTTGTGTGCGTGTTAGTTATGAATGGTTGCATAAAATAAATGAGTTGCGTATAAATCACGCACTTTTTGAGATAAGTTCAAATGAATGTAATTAATTACTTAAGAGTGATTTTAAATGTTTATCATTTTTATATAACATTATTTGTCTAGAATTTAATAAAAAACAATGGATACACTTAGAAAGGCCACCCTGTATAATCAAACACAACACAATACAGTAGAAACAAATTAAGACTATTTCCGTTGTATATTAAATTCAAAATCATGCAAAAACGTCCCAATCACTCGAGGGTCATCACGTACGAAAGAAACAAACAGGTGAAAGCCAAAACATATTTTATTAGAATTCTATTAATTCAGCGCCAATAAAATAACATAGCATATTATTTGTTTAAATATCCAAACAGTGAAAGGAATATAACATTTTGAAATTGCATTTTATATTAACCTTAATCAATTCATAAATTATTAAAATCCACGATAAACTTTTCGTATGTAAATACATTTCCCCATAGAATAGGAAAGTTCAGAGAAACAGTGGTAAAAAATATTAAACACATTTGACATCACATCATTACATCTATAATCTAAATATTTAATGTATGTTTAAGCGTTCTATTAATCTAATTAAAGCTAAGTATAGCGAGAGAGGCTGACACGTTTACTTAATGTAAAAATAGAGCGATAGTTAGTGTCACTAGACAACTAGCAGCTGAGATATAGAAAAAAGTACGAATGCCGAATCACAGTACAGTTATATTAAAGTAAATTATATTATCCAATATAAATTAAGAGAAATACAAGCTATTGTAGCTATTCGACGTATATACATATTGCTCATCGAACTTTAGAAAGAGACAATCGGCAAATTTCGCCTTGGTATAGCGTCATCTCTGTCGCACTTACCGTCCGGACAGATTTCTTACTACAATGTTATTATATACAAATACGAATTAGATAAGACACTAGCGGAACGAAACTGAAGCACTCAAGTTACGGCATTTATTGGCGTAATTAGAATGCAATTCTATACGTGGTATATAATCTGCCATATCCATTTACATACGTCATCTACTGTAGATGCGGAAAGCTTCTTAAACGCCGCGCAATATGAACATGGGTCATCTTTATTAAAAAATATTTTTAGCTTCCCAAGATCGATGCAATTTTAATGGCAGAGTACTGTGTTTGCTTTTATCAAAACAGTGTATCTCTCATAAATTACGTTAATTAATGTATTAGTCGTTATAATGTGATAAAATGGATCAATAACAAATGCTTTGCATTGATTGACTTTTGTTTAAAATTGAAATGGACAGGCTTATTAAGTCAAAAGGTAAAAATATTAATGTTACCTTAACGCCTAACAATTTAAATTAAATATTGCACTAAATAATCTTAAGTACTATTTTGGTAGATGTTTAGTCTACAACTAATTAATTACACACTACAACACGCACTAAATTCGACAATTTAAGTACCCACACATTTTTATCTTGTAACATTCCTAAGAAAGATTTTTTTTGATGACAGAAAATACCAAATTCTCATGCCAAAATTTTAATCTATGCCCCAATGTTATATGGTATGACAATGACAATATGGCCAAAGAACAAACATGATACATAGATCACAATAAAGTTGTTTCCATATTAAAATACTTTTTTGAACGCAATTTTTCCTATTATAGTAATGAAATTGATCTGTCCAAACTTCAAATACGAGATAATTTGATAAAATAATAATTAAAAAGGACTTTTTAACGTACTTTCCTAAATTAAATGTTTCTAAATTATTTCTATTATAACTAAATCCATCATAAATTCATTAGTTTTATTTAGTCAAATATCAATAAATATAAAATTTACACTTAAATTTTTCAAGAAGTCAATAACAGAGAAATTATATAATATACCATTACTATAAGTAAAAAAACTCATATTATAATAAAACATCAAGTAGGTAGTAAGTACACCAAAAACTTAAGTTATAAACTGAGTCAGGGTTTCCCAAACGTATCCTATATTTTACATATTATGTATAATTTCTGATGGTTAATTGCTTTATTAAATATAAAAAATTAGACTTGCAACGAATAATGTATTCGGCCACACGCCGAATGGCGAATATTCCTCCGCTGAGTAAACGGAAATCTTGCACACTTCACTTCACACTTTCGCATTCTCACCGAGGTTCATTTCCGGCCTATTATGCCAAAAGTTTTTGAATTTTTTTTATTTGAAAATTTCGTTTTCGACCGCGTCGCAACTCAAACTCAATGTTCGACTGTTCGTGAGTTATTGTAATCTACATTTGTGGGAAAATCTGTTTGAGTCGTACACTAGTTCAAATGTACATATCCCAAGCGCCGCCTCGCGGCTAAAATTCTACCCTGCTGCGTTTTTTGAAAAGTTCAATTTATATTATTTTATACACATACACGGTGTTCGGCCTAATTGGCATAAAAGTAAAGAAGTAGGCCGAATACAGAATAAGCCGAATATTCATTGCAAGTATATTAGCAACATTATTCGTTTAATAATTATTTAAAAATAAAACCATTAGGCAATGGACTGATAATCAACTGTCTTATGCAAATCTGTCCAAATTGTCACAAACAACCTATCCATAGCTTTAATAACATAGTTTGAGATATTTTGGAATACGTTACGGAATGTTAAATAAATATTTCTTGGAACATAACCATCACACTAAATTCGACCGCGACCCTTGATAAATTTAAATTTCATGGTGTACTTTCATTTGAAAATATAATATTTATAATACTGATTCATATCTATGTTAGTTTATTTAATAATCTACGTAACACCTTTTGTAAGTCAAAAACTCATTATACCTATTTGTATTTATATTAAAAATTCAACTTTTTTTAATTTATATCTCCAAAAATTAAAACAGTATAGTACTTTGAGATTCTGTAGACTATATTTCGCTGTACGAATTGTTTAAAATAATAAAGTTAAATTATACAAACCTTTAAAGTTGATACAATTTTTAAATCGTATAAATTACACAAATAATTACAAAAGAAAATACTTTAAAATAAAGTTGCTTGCGTACATGTTATAGAAATTAATATATATTTTTTACAGAAAAAACAACTATAATCTTAAAGCTTTATACGAGAAATTCTTGTATCTCGATCGCCTTATTCATTTAGAACCACCTCGCAAAATACTGAGGTAGGTACCTACTTGCACTGTTGTCAATAACCGTACTGAATAATAATTACCCAACAAAAAGTGCGCTATCCTAAAACAATAACCCAGGTGCCTGATGCACTAATTTATCGAGTTCTCAATAACGTTGGATTATCAAAAAAGGTTTGTATATTTTCAGATAATAATGACATTTATGTAACGGCGTCAACTGAAATGATGCAAATATAGTCATAAGAGTATCGTAGATAACGATAAAGTGTATACATTCTATCTGCAAGCCGAAGCCGTTATTTTTAACGATGAAACGACTAAGACTCTAATGTGTCATTAATTTAATTGTAGGAATATTTTTTTGTTTATCAACAATACTTTCATGACTACAACAGAGGACCTCACTGGGAAATTGTCAAAATTTGGCTAAAATTAAATCTGAATAATTTGCATATAATTAACATAGAAGCCTTTAAATATAATTAGTGTTCAATTCAAATGGCGCGTAAGTTTTGACAACTCCCTGCGATCACAGACAACCAACCTTCATGGTTGATAGCAGAAAGGGCATAGATTAAAAACATATCGTTACATAGCTTCACTCTTGTTATTTTTTTGAGTGAGCTTACTTAATGTGCTAAGCTGAGGGAAGGCAGTCTTGTTTTGCACTGGGTTTAAGCGTGAAGTCATAAATATAAAAGGCTCGTACAACGACGCCCGGTCCATGGCAGATACCTCGAAATGTCGGATCTTCTCCCGGGCGCACCAATTCGAAGCCTTTGAGCATGTATTTTCAAGACTATTAATGTCATCCGGTCCTGTTCTGTTGCCAATTACCAGGATCACTACCTATAATTTTATAAATAAATTTAGCATACAGGCAGCAAAACATACGGACACCGTTAATCTTGAATCCTACCTCTTTTTTATCCTTATTTCTGTCAATGTCTTTCTTTAAGTACATAAGAACATCAAGCGACTCTGGCCTCGTTGTATCGTATACCATTACGAAGCCCTCGGCAAAACCAAGGTAGTGTCGTTGCAACACCTGGTTGGTTGTGAGCTGCATTGTAGGTGACTGCGGTGGACCTGTAATGGGAATAAGTCGATACGAATAGCAATACGCAAGCTGCACTTACTTTTAAAATCAAGCAGAAAGCTTACTGGGATATGAGGCTTGTGGGCATATTAATTTTATAACCACTAGAATGCTCGCCTTGCACGCACCAAGCGAATAAACTAATATTTAAATACCTAACAGGTAAAATATTCCAGCAATACTAAAACAAAAATAGTCAATCTATTGTATTATACAGCGTGTCGTTACCATCGCGACAATAAATGAACACACATATAGGGGATAACTTTTTAAAGTTGTATTAAACATTTAAATTCTTTAAACATCGATATTTACAGAGTTATTAAATTTTCCAAAACAAAGAATTTTAGAACACCCTTACCTATAAAAGCGTAACGTAAAGTTCATTTGTAAAGGTCACAAAGCATATGATTGGGTTGAATGAAAATAAAAGAGACAAAACATACTGTTAGAAGGAGAGGCTTGTAATGCGACGCTGTGGCGCAAGTTGTATAGGTGTTACAAATTTTGTTTCTTTTTTACTTAATTAGTTTTTTTGAAAAATTTTTTTTTTTAATTATGGATTTTGTTGAACTTTAATATTTTTTTATGATTATTGGCAAGTAGCGTTAGACGTGTGTTCATTTATTGTCGCGATGGTAACAACACGCTGTATATATACAGGGGAAATGGATTCTCTCTCATATATTGTATGATTTACTTTGGTAGGGCCATGCAGCTTCCGATGTTGCATGATTGGGCTGACTCGACAGGGAAAGCATCACAGCCTCACAGAAGACAGGCTTATTGAATGAAAGTATTATTTGACCATTCATGATCAATGGTAAACGCTTAACATAACCTGCTCACTTGCCAACTTTTCACAAAAAAAGAAACAGAATTACCGGATGAATTAAGTAAAATACTTTAATTAAATTTAAGTCTTAGAAAAATTTATGCATACAAAGTTTATGCAGGATTTTAAGGAAGTTTCTCATGTCTATTAAGACCTATGGAAAAAAGATTGTTAAGTCCTTAAATATTTTTAAATAACATCAATCAAAACAGAACCATAATGACAATATGACATGATGATTATTGTTGATGCCTCCTATTTAAACTTAATCAAATCAATTTTATATTTCATAGCGAAAACATCCAACCAAAAATGATGTTAATTTCCCTTTTTTATGCCAGTAGGATGAGAGTAAGTTATTGATATTTTCAATGTAAAGAAAATATCTAAGAACATATTGATCATACGGGTAAAAATAAGAAACATGCTTGAATTTTAACTATTTAAAAAAAATTCTCCATTTTTCTATCCATTTTAGGACATTTTAAAAATTATTTAAACCTATCACACAATTTCAGTCTGGAATGTGAAACAGGAAAGATTCAACTTCTGTGTGGACACACAAAAATGGAATCTTTGCTGTCTTGAAATATTTTGTCACAAGACAAGAGTCAAAGATCTTAAAAGAAAATCCAATTTGAACAAATTGTTTTCAGCTGACACTCAAAAATAAGCTGAAACAGAAACAGTAAACACATACTGCAATTTCAAAAGAAATTAGATAGAAGAAGATATTAAGTTGTTAATATTTTTTGTGTGTTTTATTTCATTAATTTGTCTATGATATTATGTTCTAAAAATATGTACATATGATGCATACTAAAAATGTTATAAGATAATATTTCAAAAATAATATTTTAAAGGATATTAATTATTTTGACACAATATTCTGTCAGGACAGGATATAATATAAAACAAAAGCATAAAAGCCGGGTGGCAATGCAGCAAAGTATAACTACAGTGAATTAAAAACCTTTTAACTCGCCTGTAAGCGGCGGCTCGAGTCCAGCAGTGTCATAGAAGCAGACACGTTCTTTTGTTCCTCTATCAGTTTCAATGTTCGCGACATAAATATCCTCAATAGTAGGATAGAAACAAGACTTCAGATTAACGTTTCCATATATAAGCTGTTCCAATACCGCAGTTTTTCCGACCCCTTTCATTCCGCAAACTACGACTTTGCTGGTCTTACCCATTTTGTCCAGATAAGAATTAATTTAAAGCAAAATTTTCACTTTCTTCCATTACATCAAAAGGTATAAATCCACTTTTTGATTAACTAATGTAATGAAATAAAAGGACCAAAATCATCAGGAATTGCAGTGAGATGCATTTATAATTTTTAAAAATTACTATATAATATTAATAATACATTCTATAAATTAGAAATGTTTACGTAAACAGTAAACACAGATGCATGGCTTCGATACAAGTCCATTAAGCTTGTTCGTCATAGAACAAGCAATGTCATCAAACGTTTAGCCGCACTTAATTTGTAATACAATGATGAATAAATTTATTCATACCGAATAAAAGGTATGAGGAGTACTAAAATTCATCCTAATCCCCGTAGGTCATTCCCATTCGTTGATAAATGCAGGTGCCTAATGTCCCATCCACGATGCTCATGAATAGTCAACTAACTGTGTAACTGATTAGGCTGAGCAGCGGCGGAATCGGAGTATCGGTGTGACGCCGACTTCAGGTATTGATGGTGGGTAGCTCTTAATCGACGCGAGTTTTGAAGATGCCCTGCGCGAAAATGAAGCAAAATACTGATTTAGTTTTTTTAATACTCGATTTATTAATCGAAGAAAGGTTGATCATAATACAGAACTTCGATTATCAACATGACAGATGCTCTTTGTTTGACATTGTGAATAGTGCTTTGATGATTGTCAAAATGTCAAACGATAGTAATTTCAATTTGATAATATGGCAGCCACGGCGGTCGACTCTGAAATCACTAAAAGTGATAAATATTCCATATTATTGCCGACTTACAACGAAAGGGAGAATTTGCCTATTATAATATGGCTTATTATGAAGTATTTAGACAACAGGTAATCAAAATATCCAAGTAAACCAACAAGAAATTACAATAAAAAACAATAAATTTTTTAAGGTCTTATCAATAAATAATAATTAATTTGCAGTGGTTACGATTATGAAGTGATAGTTATTGATGATGGAAGTCCCGACGGTACCCTCGAAGTAGCAAAACAATTACAAAAATTGTATGGTTCAACTAAAATAGTTTTGAGACCAAGAGAAAAAAAACTTGGATTAGGTACAGCTTATATACATGGAATAAGTCATGCCACCGGAAACTTTATCATTATTATGGATGCTGATTTAAGTCATCATGTAAGTTTTATTATACGGTGATCAAATAAAATACAACTTACCGGATTACATTAACTCAACCAAAAGTGATTTAATTCAGTTTTGGATGAGTAAATATAATCCAGTCACTAGAAGACGATCATATTAAAATATTCTTCATACAATGAACAATTAATATAGATTGTACTATGTATTAACTGCATCCATTTCTGTTATTCAAGTTATTATAAAGTAATAAGTAAAATAATTCTCAATTTAGTCACACTATTTTTCTATATTGTTTTCACAATATAGAAAAATAACATAGCTATGTACATGTGGCCAAAATGTTAAAAAATTAAAGGGTAGAATATCTTTAAAATTTTAATAAATCTTTCAGCCAAAATTCATACCAAAGTTCATAGAGCTGCAAAGAAAACATGACTTTGACTTAATTTCTGGTACCAGATATAAAAGAGGTGGTGGCGTCCATGGATGGGACTTCAGACGTAAACTGATATCAAGGGGTGCAAATTTCATTACACAGTTGCTGCTAAGGCCTGGTGCGTCAGACTTAACAGGTTCATTCAGGTATTAAATACTGTCTGTATTTTTATTGTGACTAGAATTTTATATAAATTAAATTTTATATCTATATAGTTAATTAGGACAAATCCAGTAAAAGGTTATTAACAGTCCTAAGAATGATCTACTAAGGACTAGAGATTTACCCATTTGATACTGTTAATCTATTGGGAATTAATCCCGATTAATATTGGTAGTTTTTGACTACGGAGCATCAGTTAGCAATGTAATTATGATTGTTATAGCAAGGTTAATAAGATTAATTTGTTATAATCTAGATAGATATGTTATGAATTTGGTCTACATCCAAGATACATTGGCAATTCTTGACTATGGCTTTATCAGTATCAGGGTTGATTTGACTTGCAGAAAAGTGAATATGACTTGGGGATTGAGCCCATAAGAAGGTGCATAAGGCAATTAGCATGAATAAGATCCAAATGATTGGTATTTTACAATGACTATGTATGGTTAGGTCCTTGTCTATGAAACTAAATTTTTAATATTAGTTAGTATGAAGATTTGTAACTTTCATTCACATAGAATTCCAAATTCAAATTAATATTATTAATTGACTTTAAGGTCTTTCTTTTCAAAAATGAGCTATACATTTGTTTTCCCATTATTTGATTTTTGTTTGATATTGCTGTGGAAAAATTGAAATTGCGAAGATCGAATTACAAATCTGATCTTTGCATGAATGCTTTTAGTTTGATTTTTATCACTCTAGAAATTTGGTGAGACACATTCACCTAATGTCGATGCATTGTGTTGCTTATTTCATCTCTATTTTTCATTTTAGGTTGTATAAGAAAGATGTATTGCTGAAGTTGATAGACAGTTGTGTATCTAAAGGATATGTGTTTCAAATGGAAATGATCATAAGGTAAGGATTTGAAATATTTATCATTAACTTATTCATTGAAATCTACCGACGAGCTTTTTACAAGTTGCGAAATAAATGTTTCTCATAAAATATTTTATAAAAGATAATTAACAAAAGAAATTTATTGAATTTACCTGAATTTCTATCATTGTTTTGATTTTAAATTATTGAGTTCACTTGAATAATTGAGGAAATTTTGACATTCTTCTAATTTTTTATTTTAGAGCGAGACAGCTAGACTACTCTATTGGTGAGGTGCCAATCACATTTGTGGATCGGGTTTATGGAGAATCCAAGTTAGGTGGCTCAGAAATAGTCCAGTTCGCGAAGGCTTTGCTATATCTTTTTGCGACTACATAGTAATCACTGCATGCTGTACCATTCCAACTTGATATAATAAAATAATTTTGTAATTAAATATTGTAGTTTAATTTTTCTTACTTCATTAAAAATATCTTTACTCCGATAAACATCAAGAATATTTTTTTACAACTTCACTAAAATATGTAATTCACTGGAAGTTATTCGAAATTGAAAGTTAATTTACCCACAAAGTCGAATTGTCAAGGCTGGATTTAGAGGTGTGGAGGCCTTTGGGCAACAAAGGAGTGGAGGCCCCATGGCCCCAAATTATTTTCCAAATAAAATGAACATTTTTTTATTTTTACACACAGAGAAATGAGATTGTTTTGCCCGCCGCGCGACCCACGAAGTACAAGCGTGTCATTGAACGAATGCACTAGGGTCCTTCTACCTATGATGATTTTGGTAATGAAAATAATGTTGTGAAAAAAAAAATGTTTTTTATTTGTTGATCAAATGTGTTTGGTAATTAGTTGAATCAGATTTATAATTTACATTTCCGCAGAGTAACGACTGCGAAAGTGTAAATTACATATATTTAAAGAAAAAAATAAAAAGTCGAGGCACGGTATCGAATACCCAACCTCCGAGGCTGCGGGCGAGTATCACCCCACTCAGCCATTGAGATGCTCCCTCAAGATGGGGAGTAAATTGCAAGTGCTTATCAGAGCCATTTGAGATTTTGATATTTTACTGATTGCCTGATTGGAGTGAACAAATATAGATCGATAATTTCTGTTAATAATTAATGTGAACATGTTTGTACAAAGTAGGTACTGTAGGTAAAGGTAAAACGCAAAAAAAAATATGAAAGGAAAAGTTGTTAATAGTATTTCCTAGTCTGAATTTGAAATTTTTTTTCCGAAGTCTTTATTGTGGGGGCCCCTCTTTTATGGCGGCCCGGGGTTATAGCCCCGGTTGCCTTGCGTTAGGATTGTGAGTCGATATTGCGATATAAAAGATCTAGTGCAAATTAAAAGCACTGTCATCTTAAGGAGACTCATAAATCCATTTTTAAATAAATTTATTTACTTACAAATGAAAAACATTACCATTAAATGTATTATTTTTTTAACCGATTAACCTGATACTAAAACCGGCCCAATACAATCATGCAAACTATAGATTGCAGTAACCTGGACAAATTTAAAAGGTAGGGCGCTGGTTACCTCACCCGCCAAACGTGCCAGTGAATATTGCAGTACCCGGTCGAGTCTGCCAATTCCTAAACATTAGAAACTGCTGCATCACTGTCGCACACTAAAAATTCTTATTCAATATTTTTTTTACATCGCCGTTGCTTTAGGATGACATTATCCTGTAAGGACGTTTTACAAACATAAATTACACGTGGACAAACACCCAAATGCGAAACAACTATCTTGTATATATATATGTTACCATCGCGACAATAAATGAACACACATATAGGGGATAAGATGGTTTATATGTATAGAGGAAGGTTTATATGTATAAAATTTTACTATGCCTATATAGGTCACCTTCGAAAAAGCGCAAGCAATAACTTGGCAAAATTTTATCGCAATCGGATGTGGGATGGGGGGTAACACATAAAGTACGGACAAAAAAATTAACAAACACTCTTCTTTCTCCTGCCATTGTCCCACCTTGGTGTGGTCGCCACAGCATATAAATCATTAGGTATTGACTAGGTTTCCACGGCCGGCGGCCCGCCTGCAATTCCTCTGAAGTCCTAAAGCTAAGGTGCCCTTGCGCGGCGGTGATCAGACGGACTGGTGATCTTTGCTCCCTTGCCTCCTTTTCCTTAAAAGAAACGGTCACCCTGCAAACAGCAAAAGCGACTAACGAACTCCATTTCATAGAGCGGCTGACTTTAAAAATGTTAATATTGAAACACCATCATCTAATCTTAGTTATTGAGACGTCTTTAGACTATTCGATTACGTTGAAAAGACAATGGTGATCTGCAGCTGGAATTTTGGACTTCTGGTCTAGGGTTAGACATGTTCGATTCCTACCGTCCTGCACCAATGAAGTTTCTATACGCATATAGCGACAGTTATGTATTACTTGTGCGATGTGTTAGCACATGTTTTGTACTGAATGTGTTGTGAAGGATCTCTCTTTTGTTAGGATTAGTGACAGCTCATTTGTAAAAGAGGTTAAATTAGTTCCGGTTGAGTTTGGACTTTAATCTTATTAGCTTAACATTATTTGTGAAAAAAAGATGAAGAAATAATCAATGTATAAATACATAAGTTCACATTCAGGATTAAAACAGATGGAACGAAAGAGACTAAAATAATGAGTGTTTAGGTTTAATAGGCGGCGTTCATTGCGGTTTTTACAGCCTTAAAAAACGATCCATTTTTTATAACAGCGTCACAAAAGTCGTAAAAATTATCTTCATATTACACAACCACCAACTCTTCATTTAGTGTGGACTTTGGCGTTTCGTACTTGAACAGACCTAGTAGGTTTTGTAATGAAGAGCGCAATTAATTTTCAACAAATGAACTTTTGGCGCATATTTTATGTAATATTAAACGAAATGTAAAATAAATTTAAAAGTGTTGCAAGAGTTGTTTTGGTACATGCGGCATGCCTAATGTACTACGCATGTGAGTGTGAGTGTATCATTCTTCGAGCAGAACGAATAGTTCTGTATGACTGTAATGACGAACTCGGTGTACACAAGACAGTGTTCAATCTTTACTAATGAAGTTTGTATGTTTGTATGTATGGATATTTGTTACTGTTTCACGCAAAAACTACTGAGTGGAATTTATTAAACCTTTACAATAATATAGCTTAAGCATCAGAATAACACAGGCTATAAATTATAAAGACATTGTGCGAATTGTGTGAAATTTAACAATAAGTGTCAAGTAAGTAGGAAAAAATTCTGCCATTTTCGAGCTATTCTGGTGATGGTATAATAAAATCTTTATTAATTCCCTTTGACAGCGCGGGTGAAGCCGCAATTAAAAGCTAGTCGGCAATAATAGGCGCTGCGCCGTTGTTTGTCCAGGTGACCGAGACAGAATCGACTTTGCCAGTGGCACCTAATTATCAATTTTGACTCCGACAAGCTTGGACATGTTTTTTATAACGCTGACGATCTGCCACATCGTCGCCGGCTCAGCGAAGGTGTTGCACTATCAAAATAATGACGATTCTGGAAACGACAACAGGCTATCCGTTTCGGAAACGACTGAAGTGTACAGTGGAACGCCGCTGGAATCTTGGGAGGACCCGCTATGGGTTCTACAGTTGCACGATCCGGAGCTCAATTTTACACATTTGAGATCGGCAACTGTGACCGAAGAAGAGTACTTTGATGATAAAATCGCCCCGATTTTACACAGGTAGGCTGTTCCATGAGCAAGACTTTACTAACACGTTATTTTTCGTTTAAAGTTTTAAAGCAAAAAGATTAGAAGTAGTTAGTGTTTCTTCAGATTTACAGATGGCTATGAAAATAACTTAAGCCTCTTTCTAACTACCATTGTAATAAAACGATAAAAACAGACCTTTTTGTTTACATTGAGCCGTATTTAGTTTTATACCGATAGTCATAAGGGTAGGTGTTATACTTATGTAGCCGAAGATCGAGCTTATTGACGTGCATTGGGAGAGGTCTATAGGGGATAAGTATCCAACGTCCAACAGTGAATTGTCATAAGCGATTGACGATGATGATGATATTATCAAGTAAACTATAGACGTATTAATTTCTTGTTTTTACGGGAGTATTGTACATATCAAGTGAAAGTATTTTACGGATTTTATCTCGTTTTTAATTTTTGTGCGATAAAATCCATAAAATAGTTTTATTTAAAATTTTTATAGACAATTTTTCTATTAAATATATGTATTACAACTATTTATCTTGCCAGAAATTTTCTACAATACTTAGAATATAAGCAACGACAAGCATCGAGGAGAGAAAAGAAGGATGATCCAAATAGATCCTACTCCTCCGATCTGTTCTATGACCAAATACAAGAAGGTCATATAAAAGCCAACAGCGACACAGAAGGGGTTGACGAAAAGAGTATGAGTGAAGCCAAGTACAAAGTGATGCAAATGATCAACAAGTTTGTGTAAGTTACGATAGTTAGTCTAGTACGTTAGTTTATACTATGCGTTCACTAAGCTATTGAAATGTTTTAGCTTGTCGTTACAAAATGAACCCGACACAAACTTACCGGAAGGAATGGATGCTTACAAAGAACCTACTTTGACAGTAAGTATTTTTTCTGTTTCTTTGTTTTATGTGAATTGTTTGCCAGCGAGTTGGCGGTTCAACTGATGTTTAGTGTCTACCGTTGTGGCTGTCTGCAACAACAGAAGGGTTTCGTATGCGATATCAACCTCTATAAGCAGTGGGCCCGGCTACCGCACTCACCAGACGTATCGCAAAAGTATAATACTTCCACTTCGCGCCGATTTTCTGTGAGGTCGTGCAACTTCTTCGCACGAGTCTGCCCGTCCGTGCACACCAGAAATTACTGCGTGGCACTGCTACAGCTTCGGTGCTTTTGTTATCTAAGTATTATGACAATGACTAGTAAACAGATTTTAAAAATAGAGCAGATTTCAGAAAACTCGACAGTAAGTTTACACATATACATATATTGACCTTCCATTGTATATCATATACTTATATAATTAATGTTTTAGTATTATGCGTATTTCATATTTATGCTGATATGTATATTAGCCCTCAGGCAAGTCGACGAAATTAATTATAAGAGGTTTGTACGTATAAAGTGTTATAAAAATTTCACCGTTGCATATCTAGTAGTATCTAGTATACGATCTTTTTCAGACCCGTTATGGCAAAAAGAAGGAAAGACGCGTAAAAAAACATATAATTCTTTCCAGATTTATTTTAAAGGTCCCTTCACAGCACTTTTAGTCATCTACGAAAAAATGTCGTGGCAGTTCGTAATTAAACCTCCTTCACCACTACCTGATTGGTTCTACGACAAACATTCTGAAATAACGCTCGATAAATACGGAATGTATGCAAAAATTCCGAACGCTGTGAAAGAATTATTCTTTGAGAAATTACTTCATTTGTTAACATCTTTATTTGGTTTTCCTATGTAATAATTATATTTAAAGTACAAATATCTAACACGATTTTTATGCGAATTATATATAGGAAATAAAAATCTGCTGTTAATAAAACATTTGCTTTATTTTGTGTACAAAATCGAAATATAACTCGGGTAGGTAGGCTCTCGGATAGGTTACTAAAGCCTAACACTGTTCAAGTCCTAAATCCGATAATACTCCACAGGAAGACTATCTAATACATTTATTGAATCCAGAGCCGTGGCTTAAAGTAAATAAGGCAGAACTTACTCGACGTTTTTACTGGTATGAATGAATGAATGAAATATACTTTATTTTACACTACAACTGATATTGAATAATGAATCACCAAGAATATAAATCTGTACAATAGGCGGCTTTATCGCTAAAAAGCGATTTCTTCTGGCAACCTAGAAAAAGGAGATAATACACAGTAACGGGTAAGGGTGTTCACTGAAGTGATAACAGAAAGTAAAAAAAGTAAAGTAACAGCCTATACATGTCCCACTGCTGGGCAAAGGCCTCCTCTATACAGAGGGTATCAGGGCATAGTCCACCACGCGGCCCCACTGCGGATTGGCGGACTTCACATATCTTCGAAATTTATTATTAGTATTTATCTTCGAATATTTTTTGTTATTATTTCAAAAATATGCAGGTTTCCTCACGATGTTTTCCTTCACCGCGGAGCACGTGATAAGTCAGCACTTAAAGTTAAAAACTTCATTGGTGCCGGCACCGGGGATCGAACTCAGGTTGCTCGAGTATATTGAATTAAAGGCGAGCGCCCGGACACTGAGCTATCACGGCTGGATAACAGAAACGAATACATAAAATATAAATATATATTAATAAATTATACATATACATGGTGGCTTTTCTAAGTGTATCCATTTTTTATTAAATTCTAGACATAAATAATGTTACATAAAAAATGATAAATATTTAAAATCACTCGTAAGTAATTAATTACATTCATTGGAACTTATCTCAAAAAGTGCGTGATTTATATGCAACTCATTTATTTTACGCGCGATTATTCATAACTTACATGCACACAAGTTCGTGCACAGTAAAATTTAGGTATTTATGAATGACTACCGCATTGTCAACACGTTCTGTTTTTTAGGAAATAGAATGGCAATTTTTTTGGAAAAAAAATTTGATTTTTATTTCAATAAACGATTATACTACCGACTCTGAACCTTCTGTGTAAATTTGGACACTTCTCAGAAAATCTCGCTGTATAACACAACAAAGAACATAGATAAATAGATATGTAAATATAATAATAGTATATGAATATTATTAGATATAAGTTGACAACATCAAGGAATGGGACACAATCGTAAAGGAGGCATAAAGCGTTTTTTTTTAAAGTCGCTTGAAAATAGTTAGCGATTGTGCCCGCTTAATATTTAGTGGGAGACAATTCCAAAGCCTCCACGGAAAAGGACTTGGAGTAGAAAGATGTACTATGGGAAGGATTTATGAGGAGAAATGATTAAGCTCACTTTCGTAGGACCACGCAACAGTTTTCGTTGTGCAAGAATGGGCAGGTCCGTCCAGGTAAGTACCACGACCTAACAGAAGACCGGCGTGAAGTGGAAGTATTATATTTTTGCATTTAGACTGCTGAGTAAGGTAGCAGGGGCTCACTTCATTATAACGTGGCAGCGCATCTGCAAGCCTACGGGTTTCATGTGTATCACTTAACATCAGGTAAACGGTAGAACGCCGGCACGCTTACCAGCTTTTCACATAAAAAAGAGCACGAGTCAGCACTTAAAATTGCATTTGCATTGCACAAAGATTTTTTCAATAATTTTTTTAGCAAAGTATTTATTTATCTAATCTATTTTAAATCTATCTAGAATTACATATTATCCAACCAAACATAATAAGTTTTCATAAATGGTGTACGCACATATTATTTCATAATCGTGTATCAAATCGATTCTGTTTCACACCTTTTTTTTAATCGATGAACGGTGATTCATTTTCAAACGTCAAGCAAAGAGAATGTAATCACTACGTTTAGGAGACGGGACTTCCATACTAGCCAAAAATATCAGTTTACGCGGCACTCCAATACCAACCATACCAAAAAAATACCGCAAAGATGTCAAACAACAGGAGTACCAACGTAACGAGACAAATAGTGCTTAACCAAGCTAGCTTAGCTTCTTATCGATAAAATATACTAGGTAGAAAGCGAGTTTTACTTTTTTTTATTAATTTTAGGTATGTATCGAGTCCGTATTTATGTCCAATGTTGATGAGGGGATATTTGCTAATACAAGATTGGACTTAAATGCGCACCCGAAATAAGATAAAAAACGGTTTCTGATAATTCAAATAAAATTTTATTAGTGAAATGAAATTTATTTCTTGTCTCTTGATTCTTCAGCCAACAGCTGTTGTCCTGCTGTCTGGAAATAATTGAAACATAAAAATAGAATCAAAATCAAAAAATTATTTTAGTTTTCTTGCATATCAGCGCACGAAATTAATTATATGACGTATCAATATTACAGAGACCATGTTTCAAAATCCTGCAAAATATTCCGATCCTTGCTCATTTATGTAGGCACACCATTCAAATATGTAGAACTTTGTGCCCCTACTCTTTCACGCAACATTTTATTTCTTATTTTGTTCAATGATAAACATTAACGTAGTTATCGACATGTGGATATTACAGTTGCAGTACATCACTAGCACACAATTTAAATGAGATAAATTTGTTAATTTTATTTGTTCTTAGCCTGCTCTACTTACATATGGCTGCAAAACATCATATTTAAGTGCTTACATGGCCTTCATCTAAGGGAAATCTCGCCATAAATATCCTTATTTCAAGATTCGAATGACTTGCTCGATTTTCACCAATTTCACAGCTAATAAATCATCTTTTAGGCATTTTGAATTAAAAGTACAACTCTGATCACCTTTCACCTCACTTTTCGTGAGAAAGTTTACTCTAAACAATTTAAATTTACAATAAAATAAGCACTTACATACAAAATACGCGATGCGAAATTAAGGTTTGACAAACAACATGGCACTTCTTGTATTGCAAGAAAGAGAAACCGCATTGAGGAAGAGTGATAGCAATGTCCGCCATTATTTGCCGCGTAAAGTCCATAGAAAAATTTTTTGTTCCTAGTTTCGCCTGTTCTACTTCAAGTTTGACAGTTCTACAGATTTGTGGTTTGGTTTTGTTCGCGTACTAGTTTTGTAAATTCGTTTAGTTCACGTATATTTGCAAATTTCAACAGCCTGCAAAAAGTTTATACGTATCTCATGTAGAAAAGTACAAATATGGGCCACAGTAGTTTCGAGAATATTGGCTATTCTTTCAAAAACTGCAACGGTACAAAACTACGTTATGATCAAGCATGTTTGGAAATAGTTACTGCTGACAAAATAAGTTTTTGGAGTCAATATGAAGAATGTGAAGACTGCATTTTGCAGAAGCGAGTGGAATTTAACCAAACTGGAGATATCGTAGTCGAGACATTTAGTCCTTTACGCTATTTAATACGAAACGATCGGGGACAAATTTGTAATGGTACGTAAATATAGTTCTTTGTTGTCATGCGTGTAATACTTATTTTTATATAATCACTTATCAACAACATAAGACCGTTATGCGTGCTTAAATGTATTTAGGAATTGGAATTGAATATTTATATTATTGCATTGTGTTAAAATATTAGCTATCATTTGACATCTTTTTCAGGTCATATGAATCATCGCAGGTTAGGTGTCATTGATGTATAAACAATAATTGATTTCCTTTATGCTATTTATCACTGTAGGTATCTGTTATAATATGTATTATACAGTACACCACTTTGTATTCTTATCTTTGCTACCAGTATTTACTTACTTAAACATATATTTACCTAAATATTTATTATTATATATTTAGTTGGTGAAAAGATTTTTTTTCCAAGATAATGTTTACAACTGTCCATACACCGATAGGACCATTTATATGATACAAACCTATCCTTATTCATTGCAGGAATAAGTATGTTAATTTTCTATGCACTTAGAATGTAATGCTTGTATTAGAGCAGTATAAAATATTAAAATATATTTCTGATAAACCTGGTGTTATGCATAAGTTGGTGTTGAGTCACTACATAAACAGGAATCTTATTAGGTTAATGCATTATGCAAGGTCTATACTATGCAAGCTCATGTTTAACAACTTTAATTGTGAATCAGAGAGTATTCAACATTAAAGAGCATTATAAACTGCCCTTTTGAATGAATCTCTAGTTTTTGTAGAAACTTGTGACTGTAAGATAGATATTACAATTGTAATATTATATACATTATCAAAAAAGCAATTGAAACTAGTTGTAACATCATTGTTTATTATTTGATATACATTGAATGAATACTATGCATAATAATGCATGAGATACTATATTAGCTTTTTATTAAAGTTACATTTTGTTTATAAATAAATTAATACACTATTTTGTGTAGCTAGACTAAATGGTTTGAAATTTATTGAAACCATGTTTTCAACGAACTTATTTGTTCGAAGCAGAATTAGTGATAGCACAAGAGAGATCTAGACATCTCTGCAAATATCTGCAAATTCCCAACTTTGTATCTTAGGAAAGTAGTTTGTATGAACATTGCAATTTAATGTCAGAATATAACTTCAATGATACAAATACATGTATCCTAAAAGATTCAGTACCATGAAAAACATACTATATCCATCTTTGCCAAAAAGTTCTTATCAAAAAGTCAGGGTTGTGTGATAACATTTGGCACTTTGAGTTGTAGCACTTGTTAAGCTTATAAATGATAATTTCCTTTATATGATAAAAAAAAATTGTCATAATTTTTAATCAATTGTTTTGTATATTTTAATCCTTGTGATAACCTTCTTGTACTTGTTACACATTTTAATTGAAATAGATACTGTATATCTGAATTTTCACCATTTTGCAGCGAGTAGAAAAAAACTTAACATTGGTAGCCATTTAACTGTACTTTACTGACAGAACTTTAAAGCTATTCCTTTATGACCCACTCTTTAGAAAAATAATGTTTGCTTATCTGTAACTTCATTGGATTCCATGTTATGACACTTACACTGTTGTAAGAAATTACATAAAATAATTTTGTATTAAAGGATTAGATTTATTAGGACAAAAGAACAAAAAAGAAATATTAAAAACATAAACATCTTCCTAGAAAAAAGTGTTATAAGAAAAACAATAAGTGCTTATTATTCAAAATCAAATTTTAAACTTAACTATTTTATTTATGCGTTATAAAGTGAGATTAGTTGGAAGTAGCCCAAAATCGGGGAAATTGGCAAATTTTGGAGGTCTTCACCTGTGAAGGCGGGGTTCTTGCTCATTAATATTAATAATTAAATATTAATAAGGAAAATTAAAAAAAACACTAGGATAAGTAAATTTATATAACTAACTGGTAAGAATTGTTTATGTACATGCAAGGAATAAAAGCCTTTTTATTTTTATTTATTTATTATTATAAGTGAGATTAGTAACTTCCCATTCCAAGTTAAATGTTTTAATTTCAAGGTTCAACACATGTTAATGACAAACTATATGTACCAACGTCAGGCACGTTGTTGGTTTCATTCATATATTCATTCATTCATTCAGGCACTTACGCGTTCGGCGAGTATGGGCGCTATGCTATCAACGTTACTTCGGTACTGGCCGACGAGTGCAGGCCGAAGATGACCGCGGAACCGGACGCGGCCTACCTGCCGATCCTCACGTTGATAGTGGTGCTCCTCTCGATGGCCACGCTGTGGTACGTGGTGAAGGGCATCGGCAAGAGGGTCGTGGCGGGGAGGCTGTACGCGAGGTACTTCGCCAGGTGAGCTGCTGCCGTGGCCAATGTTACGGAAACTTAAGATTAGATGTCACTAATTTACACTCAAAAAATGCTCTAAGGCAATGGTTCTCAAATTGTGCGGTTCCGCCTCTAAATGAGCGCTGAGGTTATCTGAGGCAAACTTTAAATGATATCGGGGGGGCTACATAAAAATCGGCGCCTTTGAAAATTAGCCGCGCCCACGCTGTTCAGACATTTCGTTTATTCAGGGTGAATCTTATTAAACAGTTTTCCTTCCTAATTTTTATTATTTCCTTACATATTTCGGTACAAAATTTAGGTGAATAATTTCTGAAGAGTTTGGGTAATCAATTTTTCCTAAGGTGAGACCAAAAAAGTTTGAGAACCACTGCTCTAAGGCTTAAACCATATAGGTAAGTGTTAATATCCTCGTCATCACGCCGGATATATTTATGCTCAATAAGCCAGTCCAACTGCTCTTTGATCGTCTTTGAAGGTAAAAAGATATTCTTTAATATATCAATGAGCTCACTCTGAAGAGCAGTGTTTGATATCCGTTGCCTGATCTTTAGTATTTTAATGATAGTTTCTTAAGTTCGTAAGATTCAAAGTTTCATCCAGTTCAGATCTTATAAAGGTTGTTTTAATCAAATTTTAAAGGTTGTTTCGATCTTGTCAATCCTCGTAGGGAGGACAACGAGCTCGGTTCCGAGACACGCGTGCTGACAACGGAGGCGAGTGTACCTCGATCCCCAACCCGCTCCAGGCTCCGATCTCTGGACATCTTCAGGGGGCTGGCGATAGCACTCATGGTACGCGATGTTCCACAGTTAAATCGTCTCATTAGAGCACATTTAAGTGCATTTGTTTGCATTGTTCAACATTTGTGCAAATACTGTATTTAGAGTAAATTTTCCTGACTCTATTTTATTACATATTAGAAAAATATTTAAATGATCTTATAATGTTTAAGGTTACCTTAGAACGTTCTATCACGATGACGTATCTCGACTAAAATCCTCGCAAACACTTGATCCTTCGAGCCGGATCAATAGATTTTTTTATTTTTCCGCTTTATTTGGACTTTACGATATAAACTCAACTATCGATGACTCCGTGGTGTAGTTGTCAAGGTATTAGCTTCGACGCCGGGAGTTGTCGGTCCGATTTCTACACGAGACAACTATTTGAGTGACCCACAGATAACTGTTTCGGATCTGGGCGTTTGTCCACGTGAAACTTATGTATGTAAAACGTACTTACAACACAGGATAATGTTATCCCACAATTATGGGAGCGATGTTTTAGAAGGGCAGAATTACTATAAATCTTTTATATAGATCTTTCTAAGTGGCAGTTTTAGTTGGGCCTTACTACCCAACCCTTTTACAAACAAATTACCAATACAATGTCGACATGCCTAATCCGATCTGTTGTAGATTTTCGTCAACTCCGGCGGCGGCGGCTATAGCATCTTCAAGCACTCGGTGTGGAACGGTCTGACTGTGGCCGACGTGGTGTTCCCTTGGTTCGCCTTCGCAATGGGCGAAGCCCTGGTGCTCTCTCTGAATGCCCGCCTGAGGACCTCGATGCCCAGACTGACGGCCTTCGGTCAGGTGAGGATTTAACTAGCTTAGCGACGAAAGGACTGTGACGACATCATTAATATTCAATGTTAACTTCACCTTCTAGGTTGCCGGGAAGAAGTCGCTTTTATCGATAAGGCAGCCTCTTGAACAGATTTGTGTTCTTTGCTGTTGATTATACAATATCAGTTTTGGTGTACAATAAAGTATATTTCATCCATTCACGCAACAGTTTCGGCTGTTGCATGAATTATTATATATCATGAATTCGTCGGAGTAAGTACCATGACCTAACAGATGACCGGCCTGAAGTTGAAGCGTCATACTTCTGTGTTTCGTCTGGTGAGTGAGGTAGCTAAGGCCGACTTTATTGAAAGGTGGCAACGCATCTGCATATACGTCCATAGGCGGTGGCCATTACTTAACATCATGTGAACCGCCAGCCCGCTTGCCACCTTCTCACATAAAAAAAACATTCATTCATTCGCCCACTTCTCGCCGTCTGATTTTCTTGAAAATTTGCACACAGAGAAGACCGTGTCCCTACCACAGTTAACTGCCGCTTGAAGGAGTTGAGCTCATCAGCTCCGTCACTGCCGGCAGGTGGCGCGCCGTTCGCTGCTGCTCGCGCTAATCGGCATCTGCCTGAGCTCCGTGAACGTGTCATGGGCGGACGTCCGCCTGCCGGGTGTGCTTCAGCGGCTGGCCGCCATGTACCTGCTCGTGGGCGCATTGGAGTGCGCCTTCATGCGGACCAGCCAGAACATCACGCCCGGTACGAGTCGATACCTCGTGGTTGCGTTTCTCCATTTGGAGACTCGATGGCGCAGTTGCTGATCCGTTGGCTCCACCGCCGGGGGTCGTGGGCTCGTTTCTCGAGCAGGACAAGTGCCTGTGCGGCCCCACGGATATTTGTTCCTGATCTGGGTGTTTGCTCCCAAGGAGGGTTGTCGTCAGTCAGGATAAAAATCTAGATAATACCATTAATAATAATAGTTGACATGTTGTGGTGCAGTTGCTAAACCATTGGCTTCAGCGTCGGGGTCGTGGGCTCGATTCCCACGCGGCACAATTGCCTGTGTTACCCACGGATAATTGTTCAGAATTTAGCTGTAGGTGTTTCCTCCCAAGGAGGGTTGACGTCAGGCGGGATAAAAATCTAGCTAATACCATTAATAACATAATTGACGTGTTATACCGACCACAACTTAGGTGGGATAAGGAAGGAAGTTTTTTTTTATGGAACTGTTGGCAAGTGAGGAAGCGACTCGCCTGATGGTAAGCATTCACCACCCATCGACAATAGAACAGCTGATGTTAAGTAATAACCGACGCTTATGGATTACAATTCCCATAGGGTTGCCGATGCACCATAAAAGTAATTAAAATAAAGTTTGGCTCGGCTATCTCACTCAACAGACGAAACGCAGAAGTATAACACTTCCGCTTCACGCCGGTAGACCCTTGTCTGAAGTATGATGAACCTCACGACTGGCACAGCTTCAATAAAGACACGTCATTGCAATAAGTATGGAATTCACATTTTAAAAAAACCAAAGTTAATATAAGAAAATTGGCCTTAATAAAACCCTCCCTCCATTCATTGTCATACACGTATTATTCTCTCCCCTTTTTTCTATTTAGGTCGCTCTTTGTTCCGGGACATCACAGCCGGGTGGCAGCAATGGCTCGCCACTCTTCTTCTCGTGTCTATACAGGTAAAAAGTAATATTTAGAGCGCAGTCTTTCAATGATAATAACTTAATAATAATAATAATGATAATAAGTATGAAAAAGATACTTTTAAAAGCGTTAATGTTACTGTCTCTGCTACATGTGAAAAACATTCGAAAACAGATTTCCTCGCAAACATCGCGAGGAAACCCTCCTTCACCGCTGAGCACGTGATAATTCAGCACTTAAAATTAACAATTTTACTGGTGCCGGCACCGGGGATCTATCTCAGGTCGAGTATATTGAACTAAAGGCGAGCTTCCCGACACTGAAGTATCACAGGTCTTGTCGGTTGTGCTATATTTGTAGTATACACTATACAACGTGTCGTTACCATCGCGACAATAAATGAACACACGTCTAACGCTACTTGCCTATAATCATAAAAAAATGTTAACGTTAAACAAAATCCATAATTAAAAAAAAAAATATTTTTCAAACAAACTAATTAAGAAAAAAGAAAGAAAATTTGTAACATCCTATACAACTCGGGCCACAGCGTCGCATTACAAGCCTCTCCTTCTAACCGTATGTTTTGTCTCTTTCAAATTCATTCAACCCATTCATATGCTTTGTGACCTTTACATATGAGCTTTACGTTACAGTTTTATACCTAAGGGTGTTCTAAAATTGTTTGTTTTGCAAAATTTAATAACTCAGTAAATATTGATGTTAAAAGAATGTAAATGTTTAATACAATTTTAAAAAGTTATCCTCTATATGCGTATTTATTTATTGTCGCGGTGGTAACGACACGCTGTATAACCAGGATACTGGCAATGTTATGTTTCCAGATCTGCATCACGTTAACCGTAGCTGCCCCAGGATGCCCTAGAGGCTACTCCGGGCCTGGTGGTCTGCATCGTACAGCCTTCGGCGACTTTTCACTGAAGAACTGCACCGGTGGCATCGCTGGCTATATTGACAGGTGGGATTTTTTTTTTAATGGAGAATAGGGGCAAACGAGCAGGAGGCACACCTGATGGTAAGTGATTACCGCCTCCCATGGACACCTGCAACACCCGAGGGCAAATGCGTTGCCGGGATTGAATATTGTGTAGCAAAAAAAATATTTTACCTGAAGGTTTGTTGGAATTATTCACAAAACTTCATTTTATAATTAAAAACTGCATATTCTGCAACAATTAAAATACTTAATGGTTATTTGATTTGCAATAGGTCTCTCCCGAGACGTGGTCTCTCACTATGGGCCTCATAAGGAAGCTCGCGGTCGCACAGCGCGCTATGGAAAGGGTAATGCTTGGGGTTTCTCTACGAGATCGAATCAGAAATGAGGAGATCCGTAGAAGAATTAGAGTTACCGATATAGCAGAGCGAGTCAGCAGGCTGAAGTGGCAGTGGGCATATAGCTCGAAGAACCGATGGCCGTTGTGGCAAAAAGGTTCTCGAGTGGAGACCACGTGACGGCAAGCGCAGCATAGGAAAGCCTCCCACAAGGTGGACGGACGACCTAGCTAAGATCGCAGGGACGCGTTGAATGCAGGCCGCTAACAACCGGTCGAAGTGGAAGTCAATGGGGGAGGCCTATGTTCAGCAGTGGACGTCCTACGGCTGATATGATGATGATGATGAATAGGTCTCAAGCCTAGTAGTTGCTGTTGTAAAAAATTGTCTTGATGATTAAAATTTTTCGGTTTTGTTGATCCTAAATCTAACTCCCGCCGGATAACACTACACACACAGTTAGTGCAACAACAAACACACTAGTTCGCCCTCGCCTCCGAGCACGGCGAGACCAACACAACGCGTACACAAGGTACACCCGCGTTCCAGGGCGGTTCTCACCGCCCCCAGCCACCGATTAGTTAAAAACACAGTCGACGGGCATCGGGGTCTCGGTCCGCACCGCAACTTCGATGACCCTTAGATGACATGTCGTAGTTAAACGCACGCATGAGCACATGCGCCGCCCTACCCACAGCGGAGGGCCCAAACCCGTGGGTTCTGGCTAGCCCACCGATTCTTCGTCAGATGAAGCTTTAACAGTCTCGTAACTGAAAGCACAAACATCCATTAATACTATATAATTAATAGTAGCAATATTAATAAGATATGGGGGGATATTCATTTGTTTTCTCGTCTGGTTGGGTTTATAAATAAAAATAAAAATATAGATATATATTGCATATATAAAATAAATATTATGGATAAAAATAAACATATAGATAAAAATATTGTATATAATACATATATAAATAGGACCCAACCAGACGGAAGCCCTCGGCAGGGGAGACCAAACGGCCGAGGGTTAGGGTGAAAGGGAGAGAAACCGGCGGACGATGCGGGCGGTATCGAGGAGCACCGCTTTCTGCATTAGAGCTTGGAGCGCTCCGTCCCGGAGTCCCTCAGATGTCGCCTCAGATGTCCGGAGAGGCTGACTGGGATCAACCCATTGGCAGACACGACTATCGGGATAATTTCGGTCGGCACACCACCCCACATGTCGGTCACCTCGTGAGCCAGGTCCAGATACTTCGTCTTCTTATCTATTTCGGTTTTCATGAGGTTCTCGTCATATGGAATGGTAATGTCGACCAAAAATACCCGCGACTGTGCCCGGTCCATCAACACGATATCAGGTTTGTTCGCGACAATCGTCCTGTCCGTGATGATGGACCGGTCCCAATAGAGCCTGGCGCGGTCATTTTCGAGCACGGCCTCCGGAGAGTACTTATAGTACGGCAGTTTCCGTTCCACGAGACCGTATTTCAGAGCGAGCTCCTGGTGTAGGATTCTGGCTACTAGGTTGTGTCTATGCAGATACTCAGAGTTAGAAAGCATGGAACAACCGGAGATAACATGCCGAAGCGACTCCCCGGGATGGCGACAAGCTCGACAGATGTCGACGGTGCCATCCTTTAGGATGTATCTCCGATAGTTGTTCGTCTTAATAACCTGATCCTGTATTGCACAGACAAAACCTTCGGTTTCCCCAAAGAGGTCACCGAAACGTAGCCAGTTCAGGGAGGCAACAGTATCTACGAAAGGCTCGTGTAGAGCCTCGTAGAACCTCCCGTGGAGCTCTTTCTCCTTCCATACGGCCTCTCGGTCGGAAACGCTCAGTACTCCCGGGTCCTGCCATTGCTCGTTGGCTAGGGATAGAGGGGTAAGTCCTTTATCACAACTAATGACGTCCGTGTAGGTTGACTCATCCGATCTCGCCAGAAAGTAGTTACGGAAGCTGCACACCTCGCGATTGTGCATGGTGAGGGCGCTTAAAAAGCCCCTCCCGCCATGCTTCCGCGGCAGGTACAGCCTCATCACTGACGATCTCGGATGATGCATTCTGTGGGACGTCATAGTTGTGCGGACCTTTCGGTCTAGGGCGTTGAGCTCAGTTTGAGTTCACCTGAGTATGCCAAAGGTATACATGAGGACTGGCATGACCCAGCCGTTAAAAGCGCGTGCCTTGTTCACGCCTGACAAATGGCTATTAAACATCTTTGTCAGGCGTGCAAAAAACACGTCACGAACTGACTGTTTCATGCCAGCCTCATCGATACACATATTTTGTGACATACCCAGGTATCGGTATGTTTCAGCCTCAGAGAGGGTCCTTATGTTAACGGGCATAGATAAATCTATGCCCTCCGTGTTAGCGACCTTACCCCTTTCGACATGGAGGACCGCACACTTATCAGTCCCAAGCTCCATTTTGATAGAATTGCTGAAATCACAAGTGACTTTAAGCAATTCCATCAAATGGGAGCGATTGGAGGCGAATAATTTGAGGTCATCCATGTAGAAAAGGTGGGTCACTTTTGTCCCTTCTCTCCGAAGCTGAAATCCTCCCCCCGAACGCTCTAGTAACACACTGAGAGGATTCAGGGAGAGGCAAAACCATATTGGACTCAAACAGTCACCCTGGAAAATACCCCGTCGTACCCTTATCCGGTATTCCGCAGCCGTCATCCGCTCGCCTAGATGACAAAGGATCGTACTCCATTGCCCCATACAGTGCCCTAGGAAGTCTCTTACTGTACAGTCTACTTTGTACAGTTCGAGGACCCTCTTTAGCCATGTATGGGGCACCGAGTCGAATGCCTTTTTGTAGTCTATCCAGGCGGCGGAGAAGTTCCGACGGTTGCGCTTAACCATTTTGCCAATGACCGCGTCGATGAGAAGCGGTTCCTTGGTTCCACGACCGCCGCCCCGACATCCATTCTGAGCACGAGACATAATCCGATTCACATTAATATGCCGGGTGATTCTCATGCTCATAATAGATGTCAGTGTCTTACAGATGGTGGGTAGACACGTAATGGGGCGGTACTTACTCGGGTCTGTGGTAACGTGATCTTTAGGAACCGAATGATGACTCCGTGGCGCAGTCGCCAAGGTACTGGCTTCGGCATCAGGGGTCGTGGGTTCGATTCCCACACGGGACAAATATTTGTGTGACAAATATTTTTCCCACAGATAGTTGTTTCACATCTGGGTGTTTGTCCGCGTGAAATTTATGTTTGTAAAACGTCCTTACAACACAGGATAATGTTATCCTAAAGTAAGGGCAATGTTTTTAAAAAAAGAGGTGACCCCAGTAGTAAAGAGGCTCGGGAGCGACCTCTGATCGAGAGCTTCTTGGAACTGTCGGGCGAGCACAGCATGACACACCACGAACCCCTTCAGCCAGTAGTGATGCAGCCCGTCAAGCCCCGGAATTTTCCAGTTCGGGGCTCTACGGACTGCCTCAGATACGTCGTCGGGTGTTATGACGGCGGGGTCCATGGGTGTGATATCTGCGCATTGGCTCGCCACGACTTGCGTCCAAAGGCCCTCGCTGTGGTCTACGGGCTCTGACCACAGGCTGCGCCAGAAGGCAACAGTGCCGGCCTGGTCTGGTCCTTGGCCCGTTCCACAGCTCATTGGTCGCTCCAAAGATTTGTAGAGCTTCTTTTGGTCACTCTGGAAGAGGCGATTCTGGCTAAACCGCGCCGTCCTCTCGGTATATCTCCGAATCCGCTTCCCCCAAGCAGCGATCCTCTGCTTCAGGTCATCTATGCGCTCCGTTAGTTTTTTGCGTAATATCCGGCTGGGACAAGTTGATGTTGGTCCCAGCGAACGCCATCCTAACGGTGCGCACAATTCTGGGCCTATTATTGCCCGACCTGAAGCTTATCAGCCTGCCGATGATGGCCCTTACCTTTGCGATACGGTCCTCAATTCTTCTTCTCCATGCTGGGATAGTGCTACCTGGTCTGGTAGCACGTCTAGCCTTGGGAAGTTTGACGCCAACGATTCGGCATACTGCCAGTGCAGCGCCAAAGAGAATTGAGTCCGTATCGCAAAGGTCCCGGCTAGCTTCCAAATAGGTTGCCAGAATCGGGTTAAGAGACCTCACGACAGACCGACTCCGCTTACTCAGGGGTATGCGGGGGAGACGTGGTCGATTCTCGAGAGGCGTTTCGCGCACCTCCAGAATTGCCTCCTCCAATATGCTTCTCATCTGCTCTATATCTTGGGTGACTATTCCATCATCGAACGAATCTACAGGGGCCGGGGGGTAAAACGCGGCCTCCGCTTCCGCTTGTAACCCCGCGGGATCCGCAGCTTGCGGCTCACTCGCATTTCCAGCCACTGCATTTTCGTCCGATAAGGGAACAGCCTCACGTCGAAGTCGTTCGAGTTCGGCATCATCAAATATTTTCGAACGCGTGATGTACCGAACTCGGTCTGCCAGGTTTTGCTCGGTGCCGGTTATAGACGGCTCCAGCTCAGCAAAAAAGCGATGCATCCTTGCCCGATACGCAAACCCTCCAGTTTCATTCCCTTTCGCCCTAAAATACGCCCGCATTGCGTTTCGATTCATATCAGTCGTACCAGCGCAAGCGGCGTATTCCACCAGCGGCGGGTGCCGATTGCTGGATCCGAGAGGATCCTGCCGACACCAAGCCATCTGGTGGGGATGATGGATGCGAGGTACTGCTTGGTGGTCGTGCAGTACCCCGCGCTCGGCTGGCGTCCCGCATGCTGCCACGTCCAGCACCAGCTCCAGACGCGCCCTGGCGGCCCCCAGGCAGCGGCCCTATGCGCATTCCTTTTCTTTGTTCCATCATCCAATATTTAGGGCATCGTTTAACGAAAGACGCCCTCAGACCGGCACCGTTTTCAGTAGTATGGCCATACGCACAGACGGGCCTATGCACCCTCACTTATGCCGAGGCACGGTGCACACACCTCATGGCAAGGCACTGACTGATTGCGCCGACGTAACAGTTCTGTCACTTAAACTGTTACGTCGGTGGGCGATGGGGTCGTCACTTCCCTACGCCATATATATTTATTACATTTATTGGTTTTAGTTTTTTTTTATTTTATTGTCCTTACTGTATCTTGTCCTGTGTTGTTAAGATATTAAAACATTAATTTCACTTGTACAAACACCCAGATCCAAAACAATCACTTGCCGGCCACCCCCGGCCTCGAAGTCAATCCCTTGGTAATTGCGCCACTGAGTCATCAGATCATTTGGAAAGTACATTCTTACAATTGTATTTGTCACACATTTGTGTAAAAATAGAAGTTTATTTTATTTGTTAGGTGTGAGTGAATATCAACTATGTATGGGTTAAGACAAGTCTTATATGTATCACATAATTATGTTGTTTTGCAGACTGATCCTAGGGCCGATGCACCTTTACAAGAACGGGAGGTACCGGGAGATCTACCACACGATGGTGCCTTATGACCCTGAGGGCATTCTAGGAGTGCTGTCCGGCATTCTAGTTGTGCAAGCCGGTGCCCACGCCACCCGTATCATGTTGGCCTATAACCACGCCAGGTGAGATTTTAAACCATAATTATGTCAGATGTTTTAAGTTGCTTATTTATATAATGCTAGCTGTTATCCGCGGCTTCACCCGCGCGGCCAAAGGGAATTAACAATGAGCTTTTTATTATACACTACTTAGTTGACACTTATCATTAACTATATTTTGTACAATTCACACAATATCTTTTTAAATTATAGCCTATGTTATTCTGATGTATAAGCATATTATTGTAGTTTCATTAAAATCCATTCAATAGTATTTGCGTGAAAGTATAACAAACATCTATTCATATTTGCGTTTATAATATTAGTAAGCATTAAATGACTTCTAATCTAACTAGATAAAAAATTCTATCCCTTCACATAGAATGATAGCTTATTCTTATTTGTGAAGTCATCGGAGCGTATGTTATCTGTATTAAAATTACATAGGTTAGAATTTGAGGCTTTTGGGAATGTTAAAAAGTTTGTTAACATGATCCATGACACAATTATGGTTATATAACCAAGCATGACCTGTGCTTTTGTTTTCATTTAAGTAAAGTTTTCATTTGTTTTCAAAATTGCTTGGTGACATTGGCATAAACCAGGTGGTTCAATGTAGATGAGAATTTGTACTTTATTGACATTGCTATTACTTTACATTTGATCGATAAACAATATTTTGATCAAATAGTGTTGTTAATATCCCAGGTATCTCTCCTTTCATTAAAAAAAAAAAAAAACATTGCCCTTACTTTAAGATATCATTTTCCTGCGTTGTAAGGACGTTTTACAGATATAAAGTTCACGCGGACAAACACCCAGATGCGAAACAACTATTTGTGGGTCACACAAATAATTGTCCCGTGTGGGAATCGAACTCACGACCCCCGACGCCGAAGCCAATACCTTGGCTAACTACTGGTGTGTTAAATTAACAATAGGCATTTTAAGTAGACTTGTTTAAAGCTCTTACAAACGTCGTAATTTTTCACCACACAGAAATAGAACTGTGAAACTTCTGAACATGTTAACGTTAAAATCTTTAACAGTTTTTAAAGATGAATGTCCGAAAAACTTGCAGGGCCCGCATCATGCGGTGGATTTTCTGGTCGATCGTATTCGGACTGAGCGGTGGCGCCCTCTGCATGTTCTCCAAGAACGGCGGACCCATCCCGATCAACAAGTCGCTGTGGTCCATCTCCTACTGCCTGGTGACGTCATCGATGGCCTTCTTCATACAGGCATTGCTCTACTTCCTCGTGGACCTGAAGAACAAGTGGGGCGGTAGGCCGCTGTATTATGCTGGTGAGGAGACGAAGCTTCAATCTCTTTTAATCCTAACAAAAAAGAAAGAGATAGAAACTGTTATAGTATTTGTTGCATGCATCTACCGGATAATCTAAAGAAGTATGCCCAGACTCTTATTGGATGATCTGTTGTGATATCCTATGAAAAAAATGTGTGTTTTAAAACTAAAAATTAAGACCTCTGATACCCTTTGTAGGTGGTAAGCGTTAGTATGTATCGTAAACGCAAATGATATCGCAGATAAATTGGTCTGGTGATATAGTCAACAATTTTTTTTTAATTTCGTATAGAAGTCTGTAGGTTATAAGTGCCAACACTCCGACAACACAGCACAATGCCTTATTTATGGTAACGCGAGTCAAAAATCAAAGGGAACGCAAATCACCTTTCCTATACTTACTGTCATAGGTACTGTATAGTAAAAAAAGACCTTGTCGAATGCCTTTGCCACATCGAAAAATAGAGCCCCCGTGTTAATATGTTTCGGATGATTTAAGCCTTTCAGGGTGTGTTCCGTTAGGCGGTACAATTGGTCGGGACAGGAATGTCTAGCTCGACAGCCGAATTGTTCCGCCGGCAGAAGGCCGTTGGAAAATACGTGCTCTTTGAGCCTGTTTAATAATAGCCACTCGTAGAGCTTCTCCAGGCAACTGAGGAGGCTGATGGGACCGATAGCTTAAGGGCTGATTATAGGGTTTATTTGGCTTGCGAATGCCGATAACCATGGCTTCTTTCCAGTCGTCCAGAAAGAAGCAACTGGAGAGTAATGTGTTGTAGATGGGCGCCAGTAAACAGATAAGCGGCCCAGGGAGAGCTTTAAGAATTTTATTAGTAATATTGTCTGGGCCCAGGGCAACAAGAAGATCTATTGTAGTCTGGACAAACTTACAAAAAATCTTATGTTTCAGGACAAAACGCCTTGTTCCTGTACATTGGCAGCGAACTACTCAAGCGTCATTTCCCCTTATACTGGCACGTGCCGGCGCCCACGCACTCCCAGCTGCTGGCGACGCACTCGGCCGCGATGCTGATCTGGCTCGCTGTAGGCGTGGCCCTGCACAGGAAACGCATCTTTATTACACTCTAATACGGTTCAATTTCGTTCCGGCCCAAACCGCTCGCCAATGGCCGGTGACCGCGTCAAACGGTTATGTGTTCTGTGCCCGCGACTCAAGGTCGGCATTGACTTTCAGGGTCTTCACATTGAGCAATAAAATGTCTGTTGTCTGTTGTTCTTTTCTTTTCGTGTTTTCGGCCAGCGCTATGTTGGCTGTAGTGGATAGCTAGAGATTTCTTATTGGACCCCGTGATAGAATTAATTAGGGTCTTTTTAATTTGAAGAAGTTTAACAGGATCGGTATTTATGCGTCATAGCCATTATAAGACCATTATGATATGAAATATATATGTGCTTAATGTGTCCAGTTTTATCATTATATTAATAATAATTCCCTTATTGTTCACTCAATTTTGTATCGGAGAGTGAAATAACTTTTTTTGACATGTCTTTGAATAATCAATTAAATTAGTGAGAACAAGTCTTTTATTGCCAAAATTTACTGATAAGTTTTATTGCAACTTGGCCCATACATGAGGGAAATGCGAACAAAAAAATCTTACCCAAGTCCAGATCTTGTTTTCCATAATTTAAAAATGTAAGAAAGAAAATAATTTTTGTATGTATTATATTTGTATTAAATAATTAATATTAGTAAATTGTATTCACTTACTCTTAAATTATTTTGCACTGTAAATTGTTATTTAATAAAGTTCAAAATTGTATATGAGGCTGGATAAGAATAGTGAAAAAAATTATTTTAACCTTAATTTGATAATTAAATATAATTTTACCTTCAAATACCGAATGCTTTCCAATGTTATAAAAATTCCAACAAAAACCAAATGATAAACAGACAAACTAAAAAATCTTTATAGTTAACTTGAATTTTATAAGGTCCTGTTTTGAATTTTAAAATAAATTGAATTTTTTTAAATATTACCCTCTTGTGCGGGCTGCATCCATAATCGCCTTTTGTCTTGCTCCCTTTACACAGTACAGTTGTGAATAATTTTGTTAACTTTTTGTGAACTGGATCTTTATATATTAGTTTAAGGTTTATGAAGAAATAATTATGTTTTTTTCATGCGATTGTACATGCGCAAAACTATAGAAGTCAACTTCATTTGGACATATTTAATTTTGAGGTGTTAAAAATGTTATTGAATCTCTTACATTTTCATATAAACACGAAATGAAGAAAAATTTGGTTGATGAAAATAATGTCTTTAAAAGTTACAATTTTATTGGAAAACCTTTTTAATATTTCATACACATAATATAAACATAGGTTATTTTTGTGTATTATGGTATTATTTGTTTGCTTAATAAAGTTTACACAATGAATGTTTACACTTTTGGTATCAAATTAAAGCTTATATTGTCTAGTTTAGTAAAGAATAAATATCAAATGAGATTTGATACAATTTTATTTGTTAAAACTTGTTTAAAAAAATATTTACGTGAAATTTAACCAATATTCTCAACTTTCATATTTAATTCTTTATTTTGGATTAATAGTTGTACTTTAATTTACACATATTTTGATTCCTTATAGTTTCAGCTTTATATACGTATTTTTTATTTCGCTTAAGCTGCCGTTATTTGCTAGAAAATATACTTTTAATCAGCCATGACGTAGGCGCTTGACGCAATTAATCACCGATCAGGTGACAAATCGGTGACGTCTATTCAGCTGTCAATAAGGGTTACATTTCAGTGGCTAACTGATACTTAGAAAACCATTAAGGAAATATATGTTAATGTTGCTTGATTAACCTAATTAATATAAATTAAGATACCAATTGTGAAGTATCATGAGTAAAAAAATCTTTCTCATACTTCAATTATAACATTGTTTATTTGTTGTATAGTTCTATTCTTTCTTTTTTTTCCATCTAATAAGACAAGATAAAAACATTTGAGATACATGTTTGCAACCAAACTTAAAACATTCATCAGCAGAAAGCTACTGTGAAAATCCATTCTAATTCAATCCAATGTATCTAAAAGAGCTCTGTTGTTTTATAAATTTTTATTCATTATAGAAGAATTTGTGGGCAAAAAAAGCTTAAAGTATGTTTCATGATATAAATTGTGAATTCTGATATTGAATCTATACCTTTCAATTAGAAATTTTCAATTCAAAAGGAATTGTGATACATCAAGCTACAAGTTTGCTCAACATTATGAAATTTTGAAACATTGCAATTTGCCAAAATTATACATAATATACACACAGCATTTTATAAACAACTTTTAATATAATCCTGTGGGTATAACATTATAGGTATGTAATAAGGAGTAAAAAAATATAGAATGTAATTTTTAATAAATCATTCCTTCAAACTTCATCTAAAACTTCCTAATAGTTTGATCTATCGTAGTTTGACATAAAATATGTATTATGTAAAGGATTTATTGCTTATAGAGTATTTTAGTTGAACAACACATATATCTCTATTAAAAGTTAAATTTTATAACGATTGTTTTATTGCTGTTAAATATTTTTTTGTATAATATATTATTACACTATATATAAGAGCTAATGTTTGTTAGAAGATAAAATAATAGATTGTGGAAATAGAAATTCATGATTTTTTCGGTAAATGACTGTAGTGAACGATATATCGTATAGTGTCGTATAGTATCGATAAAAAAATTTCTTTATGCTCGTTGTCAAGGTGAAGGTGTCGTTGTTTTTTGTTTCGTCCATTCAGTTGTGAGTTACAGGGTGTTAAAAATTTAAGTCAACAATGAGAAAATTCAGTACATTTTACAATTTTTTGCCTTAGTCAATGGATGATGAATGGTGGATGAAATAGTGAATGGTGTTTATGGTGCTGATACTGTAACATCTACTTACGTGCAATTTTGGATTCGTCGATTCCGTTTAGGCATTTTTGATGTAAAAGATGCACCTCGCACAGGCAGGCCCGTAAATGCCCAGCAAATCACAGAAATAATCAAAGTTGACCGTCATGTTAGTAGGCTAAAGATCAACCATTAAACAGTTTTAAACCATTCGCACAAATTTGGATACAAAAAGAAGCTTGATGTTGGGGTACCACACAAATTACATTAACACCAAAAAACATGTTGGATCGAATTTCCATCTGCGAAGCCTTGGCCAAACGGAATGAAATCGACCAATTTTTTAAATGGATGGGGATGAGAAATGGGTCGTATACGACAATATTATGCAAAAACGATTAAGGTCAAAGCGTGGTGACGCAGCTCAAGCGGCGGCAAAACGATGAGTAACGGCCTGAAAGATCCTAATGTGTATTTGTGGGACTGGAAAGGAATCATTTATTGAGTTGCTTCCGTATGGCCAAACACTAAATTGAGATCTCTACTCTAAACAACTGGACCGTTTGAAGTTAGCGATTGACCATACAACATCAGTACAACGCCAGGGCATACACGTCTGTAGTGACTCGACAGAAACTCTTAGAGTTTGGTTGGGAAATTTTAATGAATCCACCATATAGACTAAACCAAGCAATTACAACCTTTTTCTCGCATTGCAAAGCTTCCTGTGAGAAATTGGAATCAAGAAAATCGATTACTAAAGGTTTTCGCCAATAAGGACCAAAACTTCTATGAGATATAACTAATATAGAGGTTTGAGGAGATAACATTATGAAGGTACCTTTAAAATGAATGGGTTGAGAGATGATTTGATCCAAATCAGACAATCCAAATTATATTAAAGTCTTGAAATTCGCTTAAAAATAATGTATATCATTTCCCCAAACTAATATTTTACGCAATATTTAAAAGGAACATGGATGACTCGATATCTTTTGTATAAATTTTTCATTATCTCTACTTATCTGTAAAATATATAAAGAAAGCTTTCTTACTAGAACTGCTTCTTCGTTACTTTGAGCAACACAGCTCTTACATATTACATAGGCCAGCTTGACCGGAAATCCTCACGGCCTTCCAGAAGAAAGGCTTGAATTACTTATTCTTTTTTCAATTTTATCCGGTAATTAAGATATTGGTGGCGGCAAAAAGCGGATTGTTGGCGAAAAGTTAGCGATTGTCTACGTTGGTGACAAATCGACTAACAATCAATCGATCGTGAATTAAAATCGACTATTGCGCAATCAAATGCATTTATCAAGATGTTTACTGGTCCCACTAAATCGACTATTGCACTATCCCAGTCAGACTATTGCTGCTGATCGAGCCGAGGTCCGGCCCTCTCGGGCACGCCCTCTAATCGAAATGCTAAACGGGTATTGAGTGACAGCCCAAGCCGAGGTCCCCTCTTGGGGGCCCTTGAGCCTAGTCACTCCATGAAGCGTCCGCCAAAGAGACCTAAAAGCTTGGTGGCCTCCCAAACTGGTGAGATTAATAATAGCGTGACAGGCCAGGCCACCTATATTCTGGCGGATCTGTAAAGGCCCCTACTAAGGTTAACAGTGATACACCCTGCCAAAAAAAATTGTCCATATGACATTCTCTTTGCTATATTTAGAAACGGATAAACGATTAAATTTGGGAAATATTCAATTCAATAAAAGCAATGATATATTATAATTGTTTCTATATTATTGTTTGATAGAGTCACAACTTTATAGATATACATGTTTGTGGTATACAACTTACAGTTTTAATAAACACCTCTTAGAACAGCCCGTACTAATCTTCTCTTTCACACCATTGAAGAATGCTCTTCTATTACTCTATAAAAACAATTTTAGATGTAAAGTATTGTCACATTTCAACCTTTACAATTATTTTTTTCAAAATGTTCCTGCAGTCTCTAAGTCTCAATGTATTCTTCGACATTTGTCTCCAGATTCTATAAGCATGAACAAAACGTAAATAACCTTCAGATATCATTGGAATGTCAAAAAGACGTTCATTATCAATCTTATTGATACGGCAGTGCTGGACCTTAAATCGTCAGAAACCTCGTACGATTTGTTATTTGCATAAAATGGAGCCGAAAATTTCTCTAAGACAAGACCCGGCTTACATAAAACTGCAGGAGTTTTATAATACAAATGCTGAAAAAATTAATATCCTTCAACTTTTTCAACAAGATCCTGATCGCTTCAATAAATTTAGGTAATTAATAAAGTTATAAGTTTGCTTTACTTAGTAATTTTCACACATAACTTTTAGAATTATCTATCATATATTTCATGAATTAAGTCACTTTTATTGTTTGTGTCTTAGCTCATAACGCTATCGCGTTATGACATAGACTTTTTTAAAAGGTCGTTGGTACAAACGAAAGTCACAGGTCAAAATCGAGCGGGGAATATTTATTTTTTACTTATGATAATTATTAATAAGAACTATAGTAGTTGCACATCAATTTCTTTTCAAGTTTGGAATTAAACTATCAAGATGAAACAAAATATAAATTAAATAATAAAAAAATATAAATAAAAAAATCATAAATGAAATAAAATTGATAGTATAGTAAAAGAGGAAAATTCATAGTATTTTCCTATATCTCAACAGCATATATAGTTTCATCAGATACAAATATCACATTGATTGATATGTCTATGCAGAACAATTTAGTATATATAGTAGTCAGTTACATACGGTTTACATATTACGGTTGGTGGAACTTTTTATAAGACATGTTATATGACAGTTTCTTTCATGTTCACAATGTCAAAAGGAAATCAGAAAAATTCATACATTGGTTTTATAATTATTTCCACAACTTATATACTATTCAATGTTAGATAAGACAGTGATCAATTTGTTTTATTTTTAAATGCAGTCTACGCATTCCGACACCCGATGATGGCGACATTTTGTTGGATTACTCTAAGAACCGTTTAGACCAAGCCACTTTTGAACTCCTTCTGAATCTTGCTAAAAGCCGTGGCATTGAACAAGCTAGAGATGCTATGTTTACAGGTATTATTAATTTATTATTTTCATCTTTCAAATCATGAAAATTTGTTGTGAATTTTACTAAATAGTAAATGTTTATATTGTGAAAGCAGGAGTGATAGTTTTCCTAAAAATAAATATGTACAAAATAAATTAAAAAGGCTGTAAAAATTTATACCATTTATATTAGAAATTTAATCTAATTTATTATATCAAAAGTATAAAGGTTCACACAGACGAAACAAAATTTGTAACATCCTAAACAACTACAACTGACTGATTCATACATTCAGACTTTTTCATTCATTGCCTCAGCATTACATTACAAGCCTCTCCTTCTAACAGTATGTTTTGTCTCTTTTAAATTCATTCAACCCATTCATATGTGTTGTGACCTTTACAAATGAACTTTAAGTTACAGTTTTATACGTAAGGATGTTCTTAAATTGTTTGTTTTCGAAAATTTAATAACTCGGTAAATTTTGACGTTTAAAGAATGTAAGTGTTTAATACAATTTTAAAAAAGTTATCCTCAATATGTGTGTTCATTTATTGTCGCGATTGTAAAGACACGCTGTACATTTTGTTATTGTGATAGGTATTTGTAATCAACTCCTTTCTTCTGCTTTATCTCCTCCCCAGGGCAGAAGATAAACTTTACAGAGGACCGCGCTGTACTGCACATCGCACTGCGCAACCGTCAAAACAGACCAATCCTTGTGAACGGTGCTGATGTGACTCCTGACGTCAATGCCGTTCTTGGTCACATGAAGGAGTTCTCTGAGCAGGTTATAAGCGGGCAGTGGAAGGGGTAAGGGGCTATTGAAGATATCACATGGCACACTAACCTTTTTCAAGAGTGTATAGGGATCGCACAATGTTTCAATCACAAAAAAACTAAGTACGAGTGACCGAATGGCTTTTGCGCCCTATCTAAAGAGAAAGGGGAGGGATATAAAGCCTCTTATAAAAGTATAACTGTTCTAATCACCAACCTATTATGGGTAAGAGATATCGTATTTTGTAGTTTTGTTTGTACTATGAAAAATATGCCATTTATGATATGACAATAGAATTTCTCAACAACACAAGGTCTCAAGGAACGTGACGGAGTAGACTATTAACTTTAATGTGATTAGTTAGCCTTATGCCATTGTATTTTGAACCATTTTGTTTTTTCTGAAAAAATAGTTTCGTGCAGGCCACTGAAATACGTGATACGGCCATACGACTACTGCAATATAAATGACTGATAGAGTAAATAATGTCCTCCCTAAGGTACACGGGGAAGCCAATCACTGACGTCATCAATATCGGCATCGGTGGCTCCGATCTGGGACCACTCATGGTTACAGAGGCTTTGAAGCCATACGCCAACCATCTCAAGGTAACATGTCCATATTACTTTTAGAAATTGCCATTCGAAATTTTTTTTTATAACTTGTTGAACAGCGCGAAAAAACAACGTATATAAAAAAACTATGTTGTGAACCAATATCAAGGGTCGTTTTTAAGTGGACACAAAAAATAGGGTAAAACATTATTAATCAATTCAAATGTCAACCTTGTATGCTACTACTTTATTTGTAATGTGGACATAATGTTACTTATTTTAAGATATATTTTTGTTGGATTCTTAACTGTAAACTTGGGTCACGTGATAATATTCGTGATTCAATGTCTATTAATTAGTAAATGTAGATGTCATTGTAAATTTGCCTCTTTTGCTCTTGACTCAAGGTTCACTTCGTGTCAAACATCGACGGGACGCATTTAGCAGAGGTGCTCAAACGCCTTAACCCAGAGACTTCGCTCTTCATCATAGCTTCGAAAACATTCACCACGCAGGAGACTATAACCAATGCCACTTCAGCGAAGAACTGGTTCCTAGATGCCGCTAAAGATGTAAGCATATATGCGACGCCAATAGGTCCCGCGGTAAACAGTATAGCTAATAAGACGACACTTTCAGTTTTATTCCTGAAAAAATAGCGAGTGCCTGGTTACCTCAGTCATCTAACGAAACGCAAAGGTACATTTTACTTTAATTTCACGTCGGTCTTCTTCGAGGCTCTTCCTACAACAGCAAAAGCTGCTGCCATGCCTTAAAATGGCACAACTAGCCATTAGATATTTCCAGGCCGAGTAAGACCATATTTATTTTTTTGTTGTATATTATATATTTGTTTTGATGTAATTAATTTTTTTGCTCCGTGAAATTTAATAAATTTCGTTATTTGATTGCGTTACGGTGAAATACATTCGCTCGCATTTTGTTTGACACGCCCTCTTAGCCTAGAGCTTAGTGGATTTTTATGTAGGAGCTATCACCAAATTCGTATATCGACCGCAATCGAAGAGACCAATTGAAACTTAGCTATAATTAAGAACATCGAATAACCTAATAAAGTGAATGATTTGATATGGATTTCATGCGGTTTTTCTGTATTTAACGCGTCGAATTCGAAAAAGGAAAGAGGAGAGTTGTGTTATGACTTGTAGGTATTGCATTCCGCCGCTATGTACTTTTACATGTCGTTTTTTTTAGACGAAGTACATACTTTGACATAATTTTAATTGAGCATTCCATAATAAAAAAATATATTTTATTTTGACAAGAAATAACCATAAAAATATCAATTCAAACATTGTTTGTTTATCCCGTTAAGAGTGGTCACCCTATTGATAAGCGGTTTAGTAATTATACGTTCAGCGAACAGTTTTAGTGTTCGGGAATAGGTTATTGTATTAGACGGTAAGGCAGGAATTGCTAAAAGGGTGTCCATAATGTTTGAAAAAATTAAAAATAATCTTTTAAAAACAAAATAATGTCACAAGTACGTACCAGATTCAGATTTAGAATCAAATCCTGCATATGCTCTTTAAATATGTCCGTCGTCTATAAAATCACCATATACCTACAATATAATATACCATATAACCTATAACTTCTAAACGATCCTAACCGATTTGAATGAATGTCACCAGGTACGTCCATATTGCTCGAGCGTCACTGTGTATATTAAAACTTATTAATATTCCAAATAGCGAAAATACTCTATTTGGAATATTGCGCTAAAACGTATCTTTACAAAATAATTATTTTTCGTACCGCAGACGGGTTTTTTAAATTGATAATTATTGATAAAAGTTTTTCTAAACTTTACTAACAGGCGTCGGCGGTGGCAAAGCACTTTGTTGCGCTGTCGACTAACAGCGAAAAGGTGACCGCTTTCGGAATAGACTCCAAGAACATGTTCGGCTTCTGGGACTGGGTCGGCGGGAGGTGAGTGTTCTAGTTTATTTATTTCGTTTGGTTCTTTCTAAAAAAAGTCTTTTTACTAGACTCCAACCATCCTATGTATGTTTGCAAGTAAATCTCGTTTTTACGTTGTTCCTACGTGAACAAATATTTATAATTATTAATAATACTGTTAATTGTTAAATCTTCATTCAATCTCTTATATGTACGTTATTTTCGTAAATGTTCTTTTTTCTTTTAGATACTCACTTTGGTCGGCGATCGGCCTGTCCATCTCGCTGTACATCGGCTACGATAACTTCCAGAAGCTTCTAGAGGGCGCAAACTACATGGACCAACATTTCGCAACGGCTCCGTTGGAGAAGAATGTAAGCTTTAACTTGTTCTTTTAGTACCAGAAAATTTACTTTACTCCATCGCCAGTTCCTTTTTTCTATCTTTTTCTTTGGTTCTATCACCAGTTAATAACCTATTTCAATTTGGCTCTATCACCAGTGAGTAACAAAATTCGAAATTGGCACAAAGTTAGTTAACTTATCCTCGTCCATTAATAGTCTACAATTCTGATTATATTCTACGGCTGATCGAACATGAAAGAAGAAAAAAAGTTTATCCTAGTTTGTAGACTTTTGAATCGTGGAAGATACTCTTACTAAACGCCTGTCAAAGGAGGCTGATTGATGCTATTGTTTTCGAAGTACTTTCAGTTTGTGTAACACTAAATCCGTACGCATTCCAAGAAGTGTTGTTTTTCATAAGATTAATTTTTAGATATACATATTTGGTACCGATTTCGGTTTCACATGCCCCCATTTCAGATAGTACAATGAAGTGATGAGAACAAATTAATGTAAAAGATATATAAATGCACGTCTTAAATTTAATGACAATATGTCTTAAGGAATGTTGATTTGATTTTGAAGATATTTGTATTTTTTTAGGCACCAGTGATTCTAGCTCTTCTCGGTATCTGGTATCACAACTTCTATGGCGCGGAGACGCACGCACTCCTGCCCTACGACCAATACTTGCACAGGTGAGTGTCTTTATTATAAAGTCGGCAGTGGACTCTAGCAGGCTAAAATTTTAACTCTGGTAGGGCCACGCATCAGCCTTGGCTGTTTCACGAATGGGCAGACTCGTCCGGGTAAGTACCACGACCTCACAGAAAATCGGCGTAAAGTGGAAGTAAAATAAATACTTTCTCGTTTCGTCTGGCGAGTGAGTTAGCCGGAGCCCAATTTTCAAAAGGTTTTCAACGCATCTGTAACCCTCGGGTGAGGCAGATGCCCATGAGCGGCGGTATTCACTTAAACATCAGGCGAACTGCCTGTTCGCTTGGCAACTTTTCACTTGAAACAAAAAATGATGATGATGATATTACTTTGCGTGCCTTTTGGCGTTAAATGAAAAAATAAAATGGAACCGTCGCCCCAGGTTCGCGGCGTACTTCCAGCAGGGCGACATGGAAAGCAACGGGAAGTACGTGACGCGCGCCGGCAATCGCGCCGACTACTCGACGGGGCCCATAGTGTGGGGCGAGCCGGGCACAAATGGCCAGCACGCGTTTTACCAGCTGATACACCAGGGGACCAGGTTAGAACAACACTCCATTAATGCCATTTGGATTGAGTAACTCTCCACGGAGATTTCTTTTTTTGTGAATCGTGTTGCAGCTGTGATTTTTACGAACGGTCCTTGGGTATAAGCACCCATACGGGAATTTTTATCCGCGGGCATCACGAACACTTGTTTCATGTAGGATTCGAACCCTAAATCTCGGCGCTGTAGCCTTAGCTTAGCAAATGCGCCACCATGTCAGCTCCATTATCTTTATTTTGGTATGGCATTGGGACTGTCAATATGAGAGGTTTTTAACCGTAGTTATCACGCAGTGACGTCATCTATATTACGATCAGCTCGACGAAAAAAATCCAACGAATTGTTAGAAGAAGGTGAATAGAAGTATTAACATTTGATTTGAAGAGTTGTGATAGCTCAGTGTCCGGGCGCTCGCCTTTAATTCAATATACTCGAGCAACCTTTGTTCGATCCCCGGTGCCGGCACCATTGAAGTTTTTAACTTTAAGTGCTGACTTATCACGTGCTCCACGGTGAAGGAAAACATCCTGAGGAAACCTGCATATTTTCGAAATAATAGAAAAAAATATTTTTCGAAGATATGTGAAGTCCGCCAATCCGCAGTGGGGCCGCGTATTGGACTATGCTCTGATACCCTCTGTAGGAGGCCTTTGCCCAGCAGTGGGACATGTATAGGCTGTTTGACTTTACTTTTTTTACATCTGATTTTCGATCGGAATGAGGGAATAGGAAGCCTGTTCTCCTAGATGTTGAAACCGACAGTCAATGCAGCAATAAACTGTAATATTTTATACCTTGAATGACAGTGATCACATAGTATAGAATTGTTTTGTTTTTAAAAGAAATTGTGTCCATGATTATTATACTTTTCAACACGAAAATGTGTTATTGTTGGCTCATATCAACTTTTACACGCACGCGGTAAAATTTCATTGGTTCGATTCAGTGAAAGGATATTAATAAATTATGATTGATGAATAGAATTTGTTACGTACGTTGAAGGAACAACAATACAAGTCGTCCTAGAAGCACGTATATACGATTGGCGATATACCGGACTGAAAAGAACCAAAAACAACACGGCGCGATGGTTTAGGTTGTATATAATCAGTGAAGTAAATAACTAATAATACAAAATAGTCTGGACGTCCGTCTGTATATCAGATCGCATTTTGATGACCAAATAATCGATAGGCTCATCCCGTGCGACTTCATCGCGCCGGCCCAGACCCACAACCCGATTTCCAACGGCATACACCACAAGATCCTGCTCGCAAATTTCCTGGCGCAAACCGAGGCCCTCATGAAAGGAAAAACTTCGCAAGAGGTAACATACAGTAATTGACTCTCACCATAAAATAGATTGTTTTAATTTTAACAATCAGATTTTTCTCTGCAATCCCAACTCAGTTGTAATACACTGCATATTTATTTATGTACAAAATACAGTAATACCCTTCTACGAAGGATAAAAATATTAAATAGAGATTCTAATCTCTTAAAACTTATTGAAATTGAGTAATTTTTAAATTTCATGTCTAAAGCCGTATATCTGACTTCTGCTTTATATCTGACACAAATGCATGCTTTGTTTGCGATGAATTTTGCTTAAAGAAGTATACAATTTGTACCCAGTACATCACATAGTTAGCTATTTTTCATCGTCTTGATACACTTTGCGCGATAACAACAAACTATTTATTATCACGATTCTTATTTCAATCGCAGATTATATATTAGAATTGTTCGTTTAATGTATTGGTAGCGTTAAACCTATTTTGTGTTTGTGCATTTTGATTTGAAAAAAGGATTTGGCTTTGATATGGTTGATGTTTCTCAGGCCAAAGCGGAACTTTTGAAGTCCGGTATGGCGCCGGAATCCGTCGAGAAGATTTTACCGCACAAGGTGTTCCTGGGCAATCGGCCTACGAACTCGATTGTTGTTAAGAAGGTCACCCCCTTCACACTTGGAGCCTTGATCGGTATTTAATTGTATTTCTTTCGTATATCCTTTCGAGAATTTTAGATTACATAAAAAAGAGCCTCATAAATATTATTTAATCGTGACTAGTTAACAATTGATTAATTCCGTGTACTAGGGAGCTCCTTTTTATAAATGAGCTGGCGGTTAGCCCGATGTTAAGTGAATACCGCCACATTTGGATATCTACAACATCCTAGGGTCTACGATGCGGTGTTAGCATTTAAAAGTGGGCCCTGGTTTCCTCACTCACCACACCTCCACTTCACTCTGGTCTTTTGTGAGGTACCTCCCCGAACGAAAGGATGTACCGTGGCTTCTTCCAAAATACCAAAGTAAAATCTAGTTGTGTGATGTATGTACTTCTTATTGTACAGACAAAATAATGATTTCATAGCCATAGGTAAAAAAAAATTCATTTTCACTTAACGACTATAAAGAAGACCATCAAATAAAATACGGTCGGAATTTTAAAACGCTAAAAAGTTCAACGCTAAAAACTAACGTGAACGCTTAAATCATCTGTAACGATTGATCCTCTGCGTAAGTTAACTGTGGTTGTATTACGGATGTAATTCGTAATGGACAAAATTATGCTTTCATAGCCGTAGATAAAAAAAATTGCAGTGCGTGTTCACTAACGACCACAAAGAGGACTATCAAATAAATTACTGGCTACTTACTTACTTTCACGTGAACGGTCAAAGGATCTGTAACGAATGAAGCCATCCCACAGCGATGTACGAACACAAGATCTTCACGCAAGGCGTGATCTGGGACATCAACTCCTTCGATCAGTGGGGCGTGGAGCTCGGCAAGCAGCTGGCCAAGGCGATAGAGCCGGAACTGCAGGACAAGAAGCCGGTCAGCACCCACGACGCCTCCACCAACGGCCTCATCAACTTCCTAAAGGAGAACTACGCTTAGTCTTCGGCTTGCTTTATTGTCTGTGGTAGTTCGCACGCGTCGCGATTTCGAATCTGTGCTGTCCCGTTGTGATTACATTATCTGTATTTGAAATGGCTGTTACTTTATCGTTTTTTTTAATGTTTGAATAGTGTAATATCGAAGTAAATTTATTTACAAATACGTAATTCTTATATAATAAAATGTTTTGTTGCGTGTGAAAACTTTTTTGTCTATGTATCCAGCCAGTAAAACTATAAAAATCTTGAAAGACCAATGAACGTGTATAAGTAGGTATCTTTTTAGCAAAGTTGTAATATATTATATATAAACTTTGACATATAAACTGTTGAATTTAAATGAAATCTAATTAAACCACGGGACAGGAATATTGTAGATTATAATATCATTTATAGAGAGATAATGTTTTAATCACGTTTTAAAAATATATTTATCTTGTAAGTCATTAATTGTGTGATCTGTTAAAAGTAGACGACTAAAGTAAGAAAGGGTAAAGTAATAAACAACACAATGTTTGTTTGAAAAGTTATGCTTTTAAAGATTTTTGATCTATCAAATTTATTCTATGTTAATAAAATATTGTGCACTCATGTAGTTTTTTCGTCAACAGACCCATGCCCTCACACTCGGTGCAACAATGTCTTTACAACCTTGCAGCAGTGATGCTATATTGAATATGAAATTACACAATACAGTGCCATGTACATAGCTACGATAAAGTATTAAATAAAAAAGTATTTTGTTACAGGCAATACATTAAAGGCGATGTTAAAAAAAACATGTGCTATTTAAAAAATATATATAAATGTTATTTGTCCATTGCTGAGAAGTTTGAATTAATAAAATGTTCTGAAAAATCCATAAACACTAACTATTTCTGTTGATTTAAATTTTAGACACATAATTAGCATTAACTCGGGTTATTTGGACCATTATCACATTACGCCAAAAACATAACAAGAAGAAGTAATGATGAAAAGGAATGAACAAGTAGTCAAACAGTTCAGACAATGTTACACACTGTCGAATAAACTAATTTACGGATTTTTTCGCGTTTAATTATAGTTTTAATCAAGTTTCGAACACTTCATAGAGTCCAACGTCACATAAAAGACATTTAACGTTCTAATATCATAGTAATGCCGGTTTACCGTAGACGGTTTTTATAATTAATTATCTCTGATCTATGCAGTAGTTTACAATATCTTGATGATGAATTATGGATCTCAATCGCCAAATCATACCATAATTAAAAACGAAAATTTTCGTAAATTAGTTTTATTTAACAATAAAATATGTTACACATAACTCATCCAGACTCATGGACTAACACAAATTTTTGTCCCTTGCGAGAAGCCCGCCCACGACACTGCTAGCTGATATCTCCAATTTGATGATACTCGAAATAAGGAATAATTAAATTGAAACCGTAGTAGGACAACTATATACGTTTTATCAGTATATTCACCTTGTATTAACACAAAACAAAAAATTTCTTACTATACATGGTGAATTTTTAGACGAAGTAGATACTATGACATAGTCTTAATTGAGCACTCCATAATTAAAAAAATAATAATATAATATTTTATTTTGACAAGAAATAACCAGAAAAATATAAATTCAAACTTTGTTTGTTTATCCCGTTAAGAGTCGTCACTCTATTGATAAGCGGTTTAGTAATTATGCGTTCAGTGAACAGTTTTAGTGCTCGTAAATAGGTTATTGTATGGAGACGGTAAGGCTGGAATTTCTAATAGGGTGTCCATAATGTTTTACGAAATAATATTTTAAAAAAATGAGGTCACAAGTATGTACCAAATTCAGATTTAGAATCAAATTCTGCATATACTCTGTTAGTATGTCCGTCGCCTATAAAATCACCCTGTATATTACAGAACCAATTTTCTAAGAAAATTTAAAACATTAAAATGAAATTTTGGTGTCTGTTATTGTGTTTGCTATTCACTAATATATTGTCAAAAAAATAATAATATATGGCGACTTCATATTGTAAATGCTGTCAAGTAGAATACTGAATGGACCAGTATAAATTCCCTGCCTTATTTAATAGAATTATTTCAAATCTTAGCATAATTCTAAACTCCTAGCAAGAACATTTTTAACATATGCACATAGAAACTTAATGAAATTTACTTGACTCACATTGTATTGAAAACAGACACGAAAAAAAAAACACAAATCTGAGAAGTACAAAAAAAAACCAGATATTTACATGATTCTTATAACATTGTTCAATCTAGCTCAGTTCAAATTCAGTAGATTGCTTACCAAAGGTTCCTGCCTTAACAAACATGCAGAGCAATATGAGAAACGTAATATATGATGTCAAATTCTACCTTATATACAGTTTTTACTTAGGCTTTCTTCCTCTGCCACCGCCAGTCTTAGCCTTTTTATTAGCCGCGTTCTTTTTCTCTTCTTCCGCCTTCCTCTTTGGGTTCGGTGTGGTGGACAATACCTGAAAAAGTGTGTAGTTTTAATGTAATAATATAATTATCATATATTTCGAGTTACCAAGGCTCATACATCAACTTTTAAAATTACACTTTACTGTATTAAAAAAAATCAAATTAAAGTCACATTAATATTATTTCAATTTTATTAACAACTTTAAATGTTTTGTTTACAATCATGTTAATTTACTATTTAGTGAAATATTTTGTAGTGACTATTTTGAAGGCATAAATTACCAATTTTTAGCATTTGTTTTGTTTGTGTGTTGTTACGTTTGTTTTGTTTTGTTTACTAGTCGACCTGTGTCAAGTTTTCATTGACGTGATTTATTTACTAATCATATTTTTTTCGGCGCTGCCAGGAAGAGAACCTGCCTTCTGAGTTCACCCAGACGTTCGATCCAATTAACCTAGGCGGCCGATATCCCTAAGATGCGGAAAGCTCAACAACTATACAAACGTGCAAATAAAGTTTTTGGAAAACATTTCTCCTCTGCCACGATTCGAAAATTTACAATAACGTTTAGAACAATTTTAAAGTTTTATCTGAAGTGCAGAGACTAGCACTAAAATTATAAACTAAATTTCAATTGATCTCTAATTTTGAAATATTTATTGTAAAAATGTGCATAGAGAAAGTGTGTTCGGTGTAGAGGAAGCACTTTAGGTAACATCATGTATAGATAAAAATGGAATAACAAGTAGATATAATTAAAAAAAAACTAAAAAACCTGACTGCGTTTCTGTGTAATTTGGAAATGATTTTGATATATTCTGTCACTCTCACAGTAAATACGAATCTAACAACACCTCTCAAGCTAAAATCCATGAAGCCGTTGAGGCTGCAGAGTGTGCCAAACAATTATACATACATGCATACTCTCGAAAAACATAATCCTCCTTGCTTAAAAACAAAGTTGATAAGGCGTCGAGATTTTCAATCGCTTAGTTAAATGGCTAGAGCATCTGAAAGCGTCACCCGGAAGGCGCAGGTTCGAATCCGGCAAATAAATTTTAGTAATTTTATCTACACATTTTTTGTTCGAAAGCGCAGCTGCAGAGACTACCACTAAAATTAAATATCTACATATTACTTTGCATTTAACATTACTTAGCGCGACCTAGTGAGAAATTTTACCGTGTACAGTTTGTCTGAGGTGACCGGATCAAATTCTCTTAAAGGTTCGCAATGCTACTGTAACATCTCCATAGTCCATGAGAATCATTAGAAAAAACAAACATGTTTTAAGGCAATGAAAAGGATGATTTTAAAAGGGATTTTTGTGGCCAACCTTAAAGAAGCCGTCGAGTCTGCCTTGTGTAGTGCCAGTACGCGCTTTCATCAATTTCTTGGCGCCGTTGCGGATGCGATCTTCGTTGAACTGTTTGTCGCCGCACAGATATTTCACGAGGCCCTCCTCATCGGGGTCCGTCCATTTCATCTGAATGATGAGACAGCTTGTTTTGTTTTTACATTTCCTTCACATGCAAATGAGCTCTTGACTAAATTTAGTAAGCGTAAAGTGAACCATTGCCCCAATGGGATTTATTTTTCAAATGAATGAAACAAATAACAACTCATGACTATGAAATTAAATATTTTATATTCTGTACTATTCAAAGAGCCGTGAACAGCTCAGTGTCCGGGCGCTCGCCTTTAATTACATTTGAGCAACCTGAGTACGATCCCCGCTGCCGGCATAAATGAAATTGTTAATTTTAGATCTTGACTTATCACGTACTCAGCGGCGAAGGAAAACATCGTGAGGAAACCTGCATTTTTCGTAATTATAACAAAAAAAAATATATCGAAGATATGTGCAGTCTCTCAAGCCACAGAAGGTCCGCGTTGGAATATGCCCTAACACCCTCTGTACAGAATTGCTCAGCAGTGGGACACGTATAGGCTGTCACTTTACTTCTTATTTTTACTATTCAAAGCACCAATTTAAACATTTCAATGTCTTTTATAATTCTAAGCTATACACAGATTTATTCTGCATTAAAAACATTAAAATGGAGACTTACCTCAATATCTTTGGGATCCGTAATCTCAGGTTCAAGGAACAATCTTCTGGCATTCTCAAAGTCCCAGTTTTCTGGAGGCTGGTACTTATTTGTATCAATATTATGGAGCACTTCTTCTATTGAGCGGTGTTGCCTTATCAGTTCAATGGCTCGCTTCGGTCCGATACCGCGGATGGAGCCGCAGTAGTCACAGCCCAGGAGAATGCATAGATCTATAAACTGAAAATATTTTTTTTTAATTTCATTTAGGTAGTAGGAGAAATACACATTTGTTAATGACATGCAATTAAAGTTCTGTAGAAAAATGGACGAAAACTTTTTCTCGATTCTTGCAGCGGCGTCCATTTTTCTACTAATTTTTAAAATTATGAACTTTACAAATTAAATTAATTTTAAGTGGGGGGTATAGCAAGCACTAAACATTAATATCCTTCAAAAATTAAGACATGCAATTGACGAAAGATTATGATTAAACATTAAAATTTGTAGATAAAAGTAAGAAAACTTTTTCGCCGCTGTTAGAATCGAACCCACACCAACGAAAGATTTCCATTTAGCTTAGTGGCTAAAGCGTCAGGGCGCGAATCCCAAAGACTTGGGTTCGATTCTCACAGCGGCGAAAAGCTTTTCGTACTTTTTTTTCTACAAATTTAAATACAAAAACTAGCAAGCAAACTAAATAGCTTGTATCCTTTTATCTTAACCAGATGGTCAGGAGCACTCCTTCACTTCATTAACTCATTAAGTAATAATTTATTCATTCATTTAATTAATTTAAATGCTTATAATAGAGATGAATAAAAAACACACTAATATGAATTGAATTTGACTACAAATATTTTAGAACCTATATGTCTAGCAAAAATCGCTGATGTAAAAATCGGTAATGGAAGAAACTCACCTCATTGTGGTTCAGCTCAAGCCCTTTGAGCACCTGATCCAGGTGGAACTCCTGCACGGGCACCTTTCGAGCCTCAGAGAATGTTAAATGTCTCAGGAGTACATTAGCTCCAAAGGTGAGGGCATCCATATCTTCAGTCGCAGTAGCGTACACCTTTCCAGCTTTAACCTGTCATTATTACAAATTGAAATCTCTATTGATAGATATTAGATATGCATCATATATACCCCTAGGGATATATAACAAGAGCAGCTTGATCCAAACCATCATCCAGACATTAACAAAATTTTGTCTTCCAATATTTTTCATGGGTATATTTATAACAATGTGGTAGTGGCTTGGTCAAAGAAGTTACAAATACTATTCGAAAATGTACTATTATCATTAAATTATATTTAAATTTATTAATCTTACTTAATGATATTGACATGGTGCAAATAAAATAAACTAAAAAGTAAACTAACTAGAGCAGCACATTGTGCTTCTGCCTCGCATGGTGCCTCCACAACAGGTATGCCCATCAATTTAAGCAGCTCCCTCGCTTCCTCGCCATGTTGTTTGGTCACCTTAACCAGACGCCGATTGAATTTCTCTATTGAAGCTTGATCACCTGTATCAATAAATGGCTGATGATGATGATGTATAAATACAACATGGAAATTCAGCAACTGCAGCAATACTGAAATTGTTTGGCAAAAACTCTTTTAGCTATTTGGTGTTTGAAGCATTTGAACAGAATGGGACTGTAAAAGAGCCTATTCTGTAGATTCTGCGGTAATGACAAGGAGAACGGGGAGGGCCCATGTTGACAACCAGGGAAGCCCAAATTCGGTGATCAACTTTGTTAGCTTTGTTGATTTGGAGGTTATCTACCTTTGAAGGGAATACTACAATAGTTCTTCTAAGTTAAAGTGTTTGTTGGGACTGGATTGATAGGTATCAAACCTTAACCCCTTTCACACAAATCATAATCATTGGTTAATTTATAAGTATGCAGTGGCAAGTTAATAAGTGAATTAAATATCTCAGAATTAGTGGTAACAATAAGTGGTTTTTTATATTTTTTTCTTAAATTATCCTCTTACTAGATCCAATTTTTGTCAAATATAATGAGCAAAAATCATGAGAGCACAAAATGTCCATGGATTATGTCCTCCCACAAAACAATTTATAATTAATACTTTCTTTCGTTTTCTATGAGGCCACATTTTAAATTAGTTCACCAGCAGAATTACTCATATATTTAAGAAAAATTAAACACCTTTCAACTAATCTAAGAAAAAAAATAAGTTTATATCTTTACTTCACACAGATGTTGATAGAGGGTAAAGCTAGTTAAATTATAAAAGTAAGTTATGATAGGAAGATTTCATTCTTGTAGAGTAGCTTGGTAATTTTATATTCCCATTTCAAAGAGAATTGTGTTGTTGTGTTGGAGTTGCATATTGAAGAATTAGCATTTTAGTACATACCTGCATCAGTAGCCTTCTGCAGTTCTTTTTCAGCCTCCTCTCTGCGTTCAGCACGTTTATTTAATTGATGAGACTTCATGTCTGGAGGCTTTCCGTCAAAAACATACACAGGCTTAATTCCATTCTCTACCAGTCTAATAGTGCGGTAAAATGTACCCATTAAGTGGGATGTGGTCTCGCCATCGATTGAAGTTAGTTGGGCACCTGGAATTAGAATTAACATTTGAATAAAAAAATTTGTATAAACATGGGATTTTTGAAATATTAGCTTCTAAATGAAGCCAGTCAAGGAATAGTCATTGGATTGTGTGACTTTTAACATTAAAATTGTATATTGAGGTCTATATTCCTTTAAATTAAAAAAAGGAACACAGATAGACAAATTAATTTGCAATACTAATATATTGCATATGTATTTAGTAATCTATACTATGCACCTTTTGAAAGATTATTAAGGATTATAAAGGAGCATAGAGACCTTTGAGAATAATATCTTTAGTTTAACTGTGACAGAAAGCTATGATTTAATATAAATTTGTGATTTAAAATAAAACAATCATTAAAATATTTACCTTCGCTTCTAACTGCTATCAAAAACTGATATAAACTCATTGAAGCATCAATGGCAACTTTTCGCCCTGAAATTACAAGGATTATAAGTGAATCGGTTATTTAACGTAGGTCGCTGGGATGTTTATAAATTTTGATTGTGCCAAGGCTTATGTAGCAGCTTCTTCCGCGCCCTACAGAGGTGTTGTAGAAGTCTTTGGGCAGCGGTAATCATTTTACATCAAGTAAACTGTCTTGCTTGCCGTCTTCGTTTATAAAAGTAATTACGTACCGAAGAAGTTTTTGATTTCCATTTCTTTTACAGCTTGAGGAGCTATATCCGCAATTAATTTCGATAAACCCAAAATACCCATTTTCCAATAATTTTCAGCTTCTAAATTTATTACAAATATGAAAATAAAGCAATTAAAAATGTAATCTAGTCTAGTTCGACGGCTTATTAAAATGTTTTAGGCGCGAATTTTGACCAGACAATTTGACTTGACGTTTGACGATTTGAATGACATTGAAAGTATCACAAACTATTTTTTTTTTATTAGTTTAACAGCCCTGGAATCGAGTCCTTTAGGCCTATCTTACATATGCTTAAAAACTACTTTTACAAGTTACTTATACTTGTATTTACAATGAATTTATATATAAACTTAAAATATTTTGGATTCCTCAGAAGTTTTGGCAAATCATCTATTATCATTTGGCAAATCACAAACTATTGGTGATAAATATTGACACATTTCTACAGTTTTTGATATTGTTTTTTTTTAACTTTGTTAAATAAAATATTATTTTAAAAGAGTTTTCCTAAATATGAGAATAGTACAATAATAATAAATGTATCAAATAAAATACTAAGATCTGGGTTTTATTGTGTGTTTAGAAGAAATATGTAAGATAAATCTTACAATTAAGCATACATAGAGCAAATGCATTAAAATTTAATTAAATATGCACAAACATTTATTTCAATAGCATCCATTTTAATAAGAGATAAAATGAATCTTACGTAAACAATGTAAATGTGTGCAACACAATCATATAGCGTTGTCTGTCTACATTTTAGCCATTGCCATAGTCTATTTTTTGCACTTTGCAGTACTTAGTGATTTGAGAAGTAGGTACCTATTGACGGAAAAGTAAACAAAAACTCGTAAACCACTGTTTACTGAACGATAAAAAACTCTAATTATAAAACTTAAAAAAGAATTATATTAATTAATCGAAATTGATTCAGATTGCGTGATTACGTGTTTATGTTTCAATAAATCAATAAACAATCTTGGTTATAGTTTATAAGTGTACAATATTTTGTTAAATAGTGTTTAAAAATTCAAGAGTAACAGTTAAAGGCTTAAGCTAGTTTCTATTTTAAAAATGGGTGGATTTATATCAATTAACCTTGAAGAAAACTATAAAAGAAACGAGAGATTTCTACAAAGCCTTAATGAAATCGCAGTATGTATACATTATTTTTACTGTAACATTTAGAAATGAAGTATAGTGTAAACTTCTTGAGTCTTTTTCAGATGGAAAGACAAATTCAATTACAATATCAATTACAAGAGCGGTATAAGGCATTGGAAATAGCACGAAATCGAGATATTTTCCTTTGGCTTTCTGCATTCAATGTCACGGCGGCAGCTGGTTTGTTAACTGGGTAAGATTATATTTGAACACCTAGCCTACGCAGCATGATGTCAATATCTTATTAACTGCATTTCCTTATTAAATTAAATATATAGGCACTTTTCTTCTTATCGCCAGCCGTGATACAAGAACGCACAGATTTTTTTATTTAACTGCTACGAGTCCATGATCACGGAACGGACTGACGCCCGGTGAAAGACTGATCATCGTAGATGTCAACTAATCAGCTGTCAAATGGCTTTTCAAATTTAATGTATTAGCGAAAATATAACACCCTTCGGGTTTTGCAAATGTCCATGGGCGACCACTTAACATCAGGTGAACCACTAGCTCGCCACATTCTCACATAAATAAAAATTTTAATAAAAAAGAATGTTAACACTTTTCAAGAGCTATGAATTATCATTTAAGTTTTCAGTTCCATTTAAAAGTCGTGGGTCTAAGTTCTAGAAATCAACAAAAACACAACAATTTACGTAATAATGGAGATGAATGTTTCACGTCACTTATACTGATAAGCAAGTTTTAAAATATTTGTCTTTTGTCTGTCTGTTTGTTCCGGTTAATCCGCAATGTGTGGAACGGTTTTACCAGGACTTTCACTGGCAAATAGCTGATATCATAAGGAGTAATTTAGGCTATTTTTTCGTAGAAAAAGTTTTTGCACGAAAAAACATTGACATTTTTTTCTTGTCAATAGTCGTTAATACTATATATATATATATATACAAACACTAATAAATTTTAGGTAAATAATCTTTTTTTATTAAATTTCACTTGAAAGTTGCGGTTAGCGGTATGGTAATTATTGTGAATAACTATTTGAATATGTGAATACCTTTAATCTACCCTTACAGTACCATTTACCATTCTCTTTTCCTAGCTCTTTAAGGAGCTAGATTTCGTTTCAAATTGACAATATTTCTACTTTGAATTCATGGGCACAAATTAATAGTATTGTTCATGGCCGTGGGGCGAACCTTGGGATCGGCTCCAATATATTAAATCAAACGCTATAAAGTCTGTAACACAAATAGTTCCATTAACAATTTTTTTTTTTCATTTGTTATCTATTCAGATTCTTGTATAGCAATTGTGCCTTGTATATCAATGTTATACACTGTTAGTTTCTCTGTTAATTAGTTATCGTTGATATTTTGTATAATTATTTTACACTTTTTAATACTGTACATTTTTTTCAGTTTTAGGAGAACCAAGAGGTCCTATCTTTTGATCCCATTAGTACCGTTAACCTTCGTAAATCTGTACTATTGGGACCTAGGGTACGGAAACAAAGTGCACAGGATCAGGAGTAAGTTAATTTTAATGTCCTAATTTATGAGGCTTAATTTTTCTACTAACCTAAGTCCGCCAATCCGCAGTGGGGCCGCGTTGTGGACTATGCCCTGATACCCTCTGTATAGAGGAGGCCTTTGCCCAGCAGTGGGACATGTATAGGCTGTTACTTTTACAGGGCGCGTAAAACTTATATGTACATACCTACTTATATATAAATTCTAAAGTATGTATCTTCGAATGTAAGCATATTATTTGTACAAAATAACTTCGATTTTTCACATATGCCACGCGTGCTGTGACGGCTAATGATTTTGTATAAAAGTCTATGAAAAACTGATTTACAACATTGTTACTGCTACTTAACCTTCAACATCAACTATAAATAAAAAAGAGTATATTTTTCACATCATTTACCATTCCGTTTCCATATCCGTTTCAGTTGCCTTTTCCACTTCGACTTTATGTATCTGTTTCTGCTTCTGTTTAGTAATTTCTGTTGCATCACTATACCTAATCAATACAATATACTATACTTTGTTTATTTACTTTCTTACAAACTATTGAAAATAGTAGTTAAAGTAAACCACATCACTGAACACGTGAATTTATATTGAGTTATACTATTTAGAGTAAAAAGCTGAACAGCCTCCAAAGAAAGCGAAGGAAATTTTGTAGGCTTTCAAGATAATGGTAATCAGCTCACACAAATAACTGTCTCGTGTGGGAATTGAACCCACAATGCACTCTAATTTATATATTAAAGGTTTTTTTTAATTTATTAAGCTCACCTGTTGATGTGACAATAAAACTTACTTAGGTCATCTATACCATAATCTAAAAACTTAAAACTAATTGCACATCCAAATTATAGGCAAACAGTACATTGATAGATTCACGTATTCGTAAGTAAATGTAGGTTACAGAGAAAAAAAAATACAACTAAAACTAAAACAAAAATATTAAAATAAAAATAGAATACAGCTAATATGTTGACATAAGTGTAAATCTTATCCTTTAAACGAGCAATTCTTGTATATATATATATTTGATGACCCCGTGGCACAGTTGCCAAGGTATTGGCTTCGGCGTCGGGGGTCGTGGGTTCGATTCCCACACGGGACAAATATTTGTGTGACCCACAGGTAGTTGTTTCGCATCTGGGTGTTTGTCCTCGTGATATTTATGTTTGTAAAAACGCCCCTACAACACAGGATAATGTTATCCTAAAGTAAGGGCAATGTTTTATAAAAAAATAAGAAAAAATAAATAAGAAATATATATATATATAATTGGAATCTCTGAAACGGGTCCAGCGATTTTCATGAAATTTAGTATGTGCGTAGATTCGGGGGCGAAAAATCGATCTAGCTGGGTTTCATTTTTAGAAAATGACATTTTATCCCTGTTTTCAGGGAATGAAAAATATAATTCGAATATGACGGTAAATTTCGCCGCAAGAGAAAATGTCATAATAGCTCGGGCGGTAATCGGGCGGCCCCAAAACAGATGGCCGTGGTTCGCGTCTCGATCATTTACACATTTATTTTTTTACTTTTTTTTCGATTCCAGATCATTGCTTTCTTTATTTTTAATTTTTTGTCGATTTGTTATTTTTTTCTCTTTTTTTTAAAGTTCTTTCTTTTGTGAAAAACATCAGTTCATATTTTCTTATTATTACGTCGGTAAGATCGAAAAACATTATGCATATTTCATTACTCAGTAATTTGTATCTAAATGTAATTTCCAAAATACATGATTTACCAAAAAAAAAAACCAAGGTTCTCCGGGTACTAAACCTTTATTCAGCGTAACATTGTTTCTCGTGGAAATAGTTGTCAATCATGGCTTAGAATAATGTGGCGACATTGAAGTAAAGAAACGCAAATAAAATCAATTTTGTCGGTTTTCATGAAATGCCTACAAGTATTAAACGGATAAGCGAATTGTTTTTTCAGTGGAAGCGGAACATATAATGTCTCACGAAGCTGACGCGTTGGAATTGCCCTGCGGCCTACCGACCCCGTCATCAGTAGACCAGGGACGCATGGATGTGGAGGAAAAGAAAAAGATCCATCCACCGATGCCCTAAAAAGCTTTTTCTCCATCCAAAAGAAAGTCGTCACGTGTGCCCTCTCATTTTCTAGAAGGCATCAATACAAGGGCTTTTATTGATCTGGTGCGTTTATCAACTACAGTTTTGTAGTTCAATAAACACTAGGAGAGCAGTCGACCACCAGCCAGTGATAAAATTCAGTCAATTTTTTACGAAGGATTTAGTAAAAAATTTGCGACGTCATAAGACGAAGAATCTTACCGGCATTCGTGTGTCACATCTTGCAGTGCCGCTTTAATTATTTTTTTTTGGATTTATAAGCTATTTTGAAAGTAAGTCCTTCGAGTTCTAAATTCAAATCGGAAATATAAAAGTCGATTCCAATTATTAAGAATCTGTCCCAATAATTGTTTTAATTATTTTTTTTTGATCTCTATAGATTTTTATTATTTTTAATAAGGCTTTTTATGAATTTTTAAAATATCTTTTTAAAACCATTTATTTATATATGTGTCGTGAGTCGTCCATTTATTTATGTACATGTTTATATGTTATTGTCTACTTTTTTTTTATAAAGTTTGTTGAAGCTACATGCTGTTATTTTTATTTTTATTTATTCGTTTTTGTTTTAAGAGAGATACCTATTTGCATTTATACAAGAATGGAGTAGTCATTGGTTTAGGTAGTGATGTCTGTTGCTATATTTTTAAATGTTAAATTATACAATACGACAATATGTTTGTTACACGTGTCCACATTGCATTGCAAATGTACTTTTCTTACCAATTCTGTATTACGCGTGATAAGAAAGCATTTTTTTTAACTTAAAAAGGCAGACAAGACAGCTGGTCAATAGAAAAGCGAAAATGTACTCGGAGAAAAGTTTTACTTATGGCGGACAATACTTTAACAAAATGCCAAATCTAATGAGTATTATATTATTTTAGAGTAGAAATGAATGAACGCATAAATAATCATGCTTGGAGTGGTAATTACAAAGCATAAAAGCTTACCTTTACCATTAAAATCTATTTATGGAAACTACTTAGTGGGGGCTACTTTATGGCTTCTATATAATCATGTACTGATTTATTAAGGAAACAGTTTCTTATATTTAACATGTTCATTAAATTATACTGATGTCAAATTATAATAAAAGAATTACGGTTTTCTATACTATGCTTTGCTAATAATAAATTTAGACTAACAGAAGATAAATTTAATACTTTCTCTAATAATGAAGTTAACTACTTACTAACTTTAATGCTCTTACATTAACTAGCACTGTAATTTCATACTCGCTTAAGATTAAATAATCTTAGCAGTAGTTAAAACATACTCCTATAAATGTAATTGTTTGTGATACGCACATTAAAGATTAAGTGTTAACATTGTGATGGAATTCCTATTTGAGGTGTGACTTTTGTTTTTCTCAATTAATGAGATTGACGTGTTATAGAGTTTAAGGTACAAATAAAGTTCGATTGTTTATAAGGTTAAATAAAATTAATTTTTCGAAATCAATAGAGTGTTTTATTTCAATGTATTTAGATGTATAGGTATGTTGGAATTGAGAGTCAGGTTTATTGTAGGTGGTTTAGACAATTTGCTTATTTTGCACGTAATGTAAATTGAAAATAAGCAAATGCAAATAAAAAAATTCAGATATATAAAAGTACTCTTTGATGTAAAAGGACTTTTCCTTAGCCACTCGCATAAAAAGGCCAATGTTTAACAGAAAAATGGGATAGTCCACATATAAGATACTTGAAAAATATGAACAAATTAAAATTGTTATTCATATAAAACGAGTGTTAAATGTATCCTATATTTAAAACTCTTATTTAATATTTTTATTTAGATTTTTTTTGAAATTTACAATAAGAGAGCCATAGTCTAAAGTTGAAAAATAAAGTAGTTGTTATAACTATTAAAACTATTAAATAAAAAACTATTAAAATATAAAACTATTAATATATAAAACTATTAAAATGTAAACAACTAATGTTGCAGAACTCTACACGAATAATGTAGGTAATTCAAGTTTCAACTTTTCTTAATATTCATAGCTGCCGCCTTTTATATATAACCTAACCTAAGAACTTACATACTTTTTTGATCTTTGTGAGGCCCTTGTTTGCAAACGGCCAATACTTTTTTATTTTATTATTTACTAGAATTACTGTCGCCCGCGTTTGTGTTACTCGTATCTCTTTCAAACAATCTATGTGTTCATAGCAACCTCCTTTGAAAATATAATAATCGATTGATTGCTTCTGTATCTATTAAACTACTCGTTAAAGTTTACTTGACCCGTTGCCGTGGTAACCACCGACACGCGCTACTGTTTGGGAAGCGTAAACAAATGAATGTCGATGTCATTCAAACGCAAAAATAAGTCGCACGGCGCGCTATTAACTCGCAACGTCAATTATGGAAGTTTCGATAAGTTTTGTAAGTATTTACGAGCAGTAATATATTCCGAACGAAAAAAGTTTAATATTCATTGCCGAAGCGACGGGAAATTTAGACTGCGGCCGCTCAGTGCTCCGATTAAATCAATATTTTAAACGACTGTTGTCAAGCGTCGTCTGTTATTCAAATCAGTATATGCCATCCCCGTTCGAATTTAAATTCGTGTCGATCCGCGATGCATGTCGTATTTCACGTGCCCATCGTAGTAGGTTCCCGTTTTTAGAGTGGATTTTAGCGTTGCGCAATACGGGCGGCCGTTTCGGGTCACGATGAATCAAATGCAGGGCAACAAGGATGAACAGAGGAAGAAGGAAGGCCCGAAGAAGAAGAGCCCGGAGAAGAATATGTCGGAAATCGACGAGCACATCCTCAAAAGGTTCGAGATCAAAAAAAGGCTTGGGAAAGGGGCCTATGGTATTGTGTGGAAAGCAATAGACAAGAAGACTAAAGACGTCGTGGCCATTAAGAAGATATTCGACGCTTTCCGAAACCAGACAGACGCTCAGAGGACGTTCAGAGAAATAATATTCCTGCAGTCCTTCCGTAACCACCCCAACATTGTTAAGTTACACAGTATTCATAAGTAAGTGGCTATTTAATAGAAAGTAATTTGTAAATATAGATATCAATATTTTATTATTTTTATAAATACAACATTTATTTAAATACAACTCATACAGCAACTTGTACAAATTATACTAAGAATAAATATTAAGTGTTTCAAGACTCTAATCTCCATTCAGACTCTAATTCGTCTACCGTAGCTTAACTATTTTTTCGATATTATGGGGGGCAACGCAATAACATCTTGTGTATACAATATTAAATATCGCAAACTTACAGAAAGCTGGTGGAAATAATCCAATTCTACGAATTGTCTAGTTAGTGATATACCCACCCTCTTAAGTCTGGCAACATTATGACATCGGCGGCATTTGCGTTGACTGTCTAATTTCTATACTCATTTTAGAGGGGTCTAGGGACGAAACGAGTATAGAAATGTCTGGTCTAGCCAGTTACGCCACCGAGACAGCTGTGCTACTGGCTTGTGTATTCTAGGGCCCTCAACAACCGCGACATCTACCTCGGCTTCGAATACATGGAGACGGACCTGCACAATGTGATCAAGCGTGGCAACATCCTGAAGGACATCCACAAGCGCTACATCATGTATCAGATGCTGAAGGCCACGAAGTACATACACTCGGGCAACGTGATCCACAGGGACCAAAAGCCGAGCAACGTCCTCATTGACAGCGCTTGCAGGTACCCACGATCACTCACGTGTTCAGCATTAGTTGAGGTGCAAATGGTTCAGGCTGATGGAAGAATCCGTGACTTTTGCAGGTACAAACGATCACTTCCCTTGTCAGTATTAGTTGACCTGCAAATGGTTCAGGCTGATGGAAGACTCCGTGACTTACTAATTATATGTAGAGATATGCTGTAGAATTATTTGCACGAAATTTCCGACATTGCCATCGCCGACAACCTGAAGTAGTAGATACTTACCAGGTTTGAAAACAGACAGGGTAAAGTGGAGATATTTGTTCCTTTGCGTTTCGTTCGATTAATGCGGTAGTCTGAGTCCATTACTTTGCTGCTGCACGAATGAGCGAGCTTGTCCTGGGAAGTGACGCAGCGTCACAGAACACTAGCGTGGAGTATTGTACTTTAACATTTCGTCTGGTGAGGTTCAGTTTTTTAATAGTTGGCAATAGTTGGCAACGCATCTGCAACCCATCAGGTGTTGTAGAAGTCCATAGGTGATTGTAATCACCTAACATCAGATGAACTGTCAGCTCGATGGCCAACTGATACTCTACAATAAGATTTCTAAGCAGTTGCTGTGTAATCTGTTGATGGATCACAGTTATCAAGGAAGTATTGTGGTCGATGACGATCTCTCAACTGCTCAGGGTGAAGCTGGCGGACTTTGGTCTTGCGCGCTCGGTGTCCAGCGTGTATTCAGGCGGGGAGGAGGGGGCGGACCCCTGTCTCACGGACTACGTCGCGACGCGCTGGTACCGGGCGCCAGAGATTTTGATTGCCAGTAAGAAGTGAGTCCTTTGTTTCTGTAACTGCGCGATTTCACAGAATGTGTAGTGTTTAAGTGGTCACCTCGCCCCCAATTGCAATTGCTGGCCGTGTTGTGACTTCGGTGCCCACGCGAGCTGAGAATTTATGTGATCTCCTAATAGTTGTTCCAAAAATTGGGGGCACCGTTTTGGTGTTCTCGGGTTTATAAAACTTGTTGATCCTATGAAGCCTTATCCCATCTAGCTGAGGTCGGCACAACATGTGAATCATGTTGTTAGTGGTTTTGGCTATTTAGGAATTTAGGTAGCTAGAACAGGCTACATTATTTACGACCGGCCGCCGGTCTGACGTCAACCCTCCTTGTGAACAAGCATCCAGATCCGGAACAATCATCTGTGTGTAACACAAATACTTGTCCCGTGTGGGAATCGAACCCACGCCGAAGCTAATAGTTTAGCACCTGCGCCACCGTGTCATCGCTTATTATTACTATGAGAATGAAAACTGAAACAGATTTATGCAACACTAGAACTAGAACCAGCCATCGTGTGTTTATTTATTTATTTGAATAGGCTTATCAACTAAACACATAGGTACGAATCATTTACATAAGATATTCTAAACTTAAATAATAACCATGTACATTATGTATTTAAATTAAAAGTAAACATAACATTTATTGTTAAAATCAGTTCTTAGTTAACCAACGCAAAATGTTAATATAAAATAAATTAATGAAAAAGATCAAGGCTATGGTTTTATACATTTTAAAATGAACTTTTTGTCGAACGTATGAACATGTACCACACATTGACTCGGAACACATTCGGCAGCTACACGAAAGGCATCGACATGTGGTCGCTGGGCTGTATCCTGGGCGAGATGCTGACGGGCAGCCCGCTGTTCCCTGGCACCTCCACCGTCAACCAGATCGAGAGGATCATGGCCGCCTTGCCCAGGCCGTCTTCAGAAGGTATAATCCACGTCACTGGTCAAAATTCATTCCAATTATGTTAATTGGACAGTGGCGTACTAAAGTAAGGAGACTATCTAAGGGAGGTGTTGCAAATATGTTGACTGTAAATCTGTTAAAACATTAGATTCTTATGGAAAAAGTTTTTGTTTAAAATAGTGGGATTATTCGAGATAATAATAGAAATAGAAAAGTGAGCACAACTTCAGAAAGGATGCGAAGGGTTGTAATTTTTCTGCCTTTAATCTTATATTTTGGGATATGGCCAAATATAACATTTCTCAGCAGCTGGAGAATATCAATTCATTGATTTTTAGGACATTGTTGATACAAGCAAAGTAAATATGAAAGGCCAACTAAACGGGACAGATAATTAAAATCTCGTCAAGCATTGTTTTGACTACCCTTACTTTAGACTTGACACGTTTGTCATATAAAAGTAACGCAATACAGTAAAGGGGGGCGGACAAAAAAATCTAGAGCTCACAAAGAATGTGCAATCAACTGTTCTTGCTACAGAAGCGATAGGTGGATAAAAAAAAGTTTGTGTGTTTGGGCGTAACAACAGAAAAACAAGTTGAATAGTAACACCAAACATCGTTTCAAAAAAAAGTTAAAAAGAGACGAATGTGAAAGAAAAGATGTTATTTATAAATAGACAAACGTAAAGAAACAAAATGAATTAAATAAGCGGTTTAGCGGGCAGCTTCAAAAGGTTTTTACTTTTGTGTTACAGCGATGCGCGCGCATAAAATTTAATTCTAATAATTTTTTTAATAACGTGCCTATACTTTTTTAAGTATAACTTGAAAAAGGAGCTTAAAAAATACTACATTACGTGAAGGGGCTGCGATCACTTTTCTCGCAGACATCACGGCGGTGTGCAGTGGATACGGTTCCTCGCTGATCAGGGAGCAAGCCGCTTCGAACTCCGGCGGGGCGTCGCTGGTCTCGATGATGTCCTGTGCGCCCCGCGACGCCGCCGACTTGGTGCACCGGCTCCTAGTCTTCAATCCAGCGAAGAGGCTCAGCGCCCAGCTGGCCCTGGAGCACGAATACGTCGCCAAGTTAGTGTCTGAACGTAGACCATCAGCATTTGTCATATCAGCAATATTGCTGGACGTGATATGACTGAACTAGAAAGATCATCATCATCATTTCAGCCTGTTAAATGACTGCTTAAATGCCACTGCTTAACATAGGCCTCCCGCATAGACTGCCACGAAGTACGAGCCTGAGCCACCTGCATTCATCGACTTTCCGAACATTCGCACAGGTCTTCCATCACTCCATCTAGTGGGGGGCGTCCTACACATCGATTATATATACACCATCGATTATATAGAAAGATAGAGAATATCTTTCTAGTGTATATATAATCGAAAAGATCCTGAAGACAAGAACCAATTTTCCACACATTTAAAATTTTGCAAAAAGTTTGTTTTTCTGTTATTTTAAATTCATAATATCTCTCATTTGTTACTATTGAATGCATTGGTTTATTAAATTACTTGTGTTTTCATAACTAAAGACACATGTTGAGTGTTCTGTTCTTTAAAAGTTGAGACACCGCCGATCTACGCTGTGGCTTCATTCCAATTCTTAGTAATATTGTGTAATGAAGTCATATCACGTTCTCAGGAATCTATTACCTCTTGTCTTGAGTTCCTAAACGATTTGTTATTTCGGCCACTAAGCAGATAAACACGTTGACTTTCTTCCCCCCCACTTTTACAATAAAACTTGAAGGTTTCACCGCGGCCGTGATGAGCCAACGCTCCCGTCAGACGTGCTCCTCCCGCTGAGGGACGACAAGCAGATGTCCGTGGACGACTACAGGAACAAACTGTACAGCATCATGGCTAAGGGCAACCACTCATCCAGTGGGCAAATCCGAAAGACGCAGTCGAGGTGAGTGGCGCTCAGGGTTTCGCAGGGTTTCGTCCTTTGTCCCTACTATTAAAGATCTCAAGTGTTAAGCGTAACGATAGGATTTAAATTGCATCGCATGTTATCAAAAATGCTTTGGATATGAAATAAAAAATACTACTTTATTACATAAATGTATTTATAACTTGTTCGTATTGAACAATATATAGAACATAATACAAATTATGTTAATAAGTTAAATAATATTTTTGTAATGATATTGTTTTTTTCTATTATTGCTTTAGACAATCATCTGAAATTAAAATAGGAATAAAATACATTTACTTATTGAGATCCAAGGCAGTTACGTTACGAGCCATACAAAATTTTTAGACGACAAGTTAACAGTAAAATAAAAACAACCTTGAAATATTTAATAACGAAATAATATTATTGCAAATGATTTCTTGATGTTCCCTGTAATTCCACACATTGTTACATAAAACTGTTACTTCGATATTATCACGTCCTTCTTTTAGTGTCAATATTTAAAAGTTGACAACAGCCATGCGTCACAATAAAATATTAAATACTCCGTCGGAATAAAAAAAGAAAATCAACCTTTAAAACCACATATTTAATCAATACAACACAAGTGTTCGTTTCCAGCAAGACGCAGTCGCTACAGCCGAGCCACGGCAAGACGGGCCAGGTTTACCACGAGAGGGACGCAAACGCATACAGGGGGAAGCAGCTGAGCGCCTCCGCGGATCAGAAGACGCGACCGATCAAGGCGCCCGAGAGGCCGGTGAAGGAGCACCGCTCCGAGCAGGCGATCCAGAAACCGCTTCGCCCCACTAGGCTGCTAGAATGCCGCAGCCAGGACTGGGAATGCCGCGGGGACTACGTAACCAGGCAGAGCCCGGACCCGTTAGCGGGGAAGAGGGCGCTGCAGAGCAGACGGAACTCCACCTCCTTCTCGACGGTCAGCATCGGGGGGGACGCGGACTACCCAGCGGGCGGGCTGAACAGGAGGCACGGAGTTATCACCGCCAGCGCCCTCATGGACCTGCGCACCAGTATACGGTGAAGGTGCGCCCCGGTTGGGTCGTCGAGTGTAGGTTTTTGTTGTTTGGGCGATTCAGGGGGAGGGTGTTTTAATGGCTTTTCTCCGCTTTCCAAACCCCCGGGTTGAGACAGTTGTGAAATCGTCTTTGTGGATTTTTTTGTGTTAGCGTTGTCATTTGATATTTACTGTCTGTGGACTTATTGTCCGTGCTGCTTGTTGAAGTCTTTCGACTAATTAAGCGACCCACCCGTACAAATTCTCAATTGTTGTTGTTTGTTTCTAGTCTTACGATGTCCGTCCCGTTAGTCACTAGGTTTGATATTTGAAATTGGAAGTTGGTGTAAAGAATTTGGTTCGTTGAATTCGTAATATATTGCTACCTGTGATAGATTAATCAAAGCTGTACGTCGTCAACAATTTAATTATATAAATATAGTTTTTGTTAAACATGAAACTTAAAAGTAGTACGAAGCATGTATTAAAAACCCATTACTATGTACAGCAAATTTCTGTCGCCATTCCCTGAAAAATGAAACAGATACAAAATAATGTAATAGAAGTAATTCAACCCAATTAATGGCAAATATAATTTGTTTATTATCGATGTCAAGACTTATAATGCCAAAATATCCATTTTATAATATCGACTTTTTATTTTTTATAGGTAAATAGAGTAAAGATAGTTTACACGTATTTATAAAATATTCAATGATTCACAAGTTGGAATGAAAATTAATGTTCCTAAAAATAGACGGATCACGTGTTTAACATAACATAAACACTATTGTACGCACTGCCATATCTTGACCAATAAATAAATTGCCCAATGAAATGTAAATTTAATAAAATATAATTATTTCCTAATATAAGGCATATAGCCTTATCTTTTTTTTACATTCAAAACCAACTGGAATCCAATGCACATGTTAGTCTTTTATAAATGAACTCAGACTGATATTTTATATTAATTTGTGTGTCTTAATTGTTTTTCTTGTAAAATGCTGTACAAGAAATAGATATGCTGTGAAAAAAGATCTGTAGTGTGCACATGAACATTACGGTAGTTAAAAAATACTTCGCTTAGCAATAAGTTAAAATTTTATGTTAACATTTGGATATCTGGGCAACAATTCGTGAACTTAAAAAAAATTTGCTCAACGAGAAAAATTATAAATGTAGATAAATTGCTTTTAATTCTCGTTTATATTAGAATATAGAACATAGGAAACAGTGCCTAGGAAATTTATTGAACCACGCATATACTATAAAAGTTATTATAACGTATATTATTTGAACACTTTTATATATGTAACTTTACATGGCAATTAAACGGTTTTAATGTGATGTGTATCTCGTTTTCATTTAAACCTTTTATTTTCCAGGAGAATTAGAGAAAATATTAATAAAAATCTTTGCCTGTCAGATATTTTGGTCAGTTTTTTAATCGCAAAATTTTAGTATTTGGGACAGAATGGCAAAAGATGACACCAAAAGCATATAACGAATGAAAATGTGTAAATCCAATGTCAATATACCGAAATGTGTACCTCTTTTTTTTGGTATCGGGGGGAAATCTTCGAAAGATACTCAGTCACCCTGTCACCTTACATGACAGGGTTATGTGGGCTTCTTACCCACTAAAACCCCCTCGGTGGCCACCTTTTGTACATTTGGAGGGATCCGGATCCGGGATCTCCTATGGAACGGACCGATGAAGCCTCGGAGAAGGATAAACCTTCTCAGATTCCCTCACCTTCTTGCAGCAGCACGAGACCACTTCGTGCAGCTGCCCATTCGTGTCCCCTTTTACGACAGGCTGGGGATACCTTAGCCCTATTCTATGAGCCCGGGATTACAATAATTAGCTCCAATTTCTAAATAAGAATTACAGCTATATTCAGTAAGTTCCTATACGAATTATTAAGCGGAAAATTCGTTCTTTGCCCTCTCTGGACGGCAGCCGAAATTTTTTTAGGAAAGTTTACCTAACCTTGTCCATATTCGTAATTCTAAAATGTTTTAATTAAATGCAGGATTATCTTACTACCTTCAAAACGTTACCTGTAAATGAAACTGACATATAGTATAGCCTTTTTAAATACTTTGACACAACTCATCTAGAAGAATAGGCAACTGTCAACAATCTGTCTGTACCGATTTTTGAGTTTTTACAAAAGCAATAAAAAAATGATAATAAAATTGTTATTATTCGTTCACTGTGCGATCATTCCGTTTATTTCTACTGAATATGTTGCGTCGAAGAGCTTGGTGCCTTTATTGTCGATCGATCCAAAAACGAGGACATCTGTGAATCAAACGGTTAATACTACGCGAAGAGTGAGTAAATTTCCGCTCCTTCTAATTGTAATATTTAGAAGTTGCACCAAGCCTTGGATCGATTCTAAACGCAGCCAGCAGAAAAGATATTTTAGATTAACGAACAAAGTTATGAAGTTGACTTCCACTATAAATATCTTTCCGTGAAAATTGTGACGTCTGTTCCGCAAGTTTTGTACTATGCAGAATTCGGGGCAAGTCTTTGTATTTATGTTATCATATTAGCATTATTATAATCGACAATGTAAATGGATCTAAAAGTGAAACGAAATGTACAAGTGCTAACTCCGCATATCGTCTAAATGCTAGTCTTAACTCGGCATATCGCGGAGTGTCAATTGTCACGATTTCGAGTTAGTACGTGCGAAATACGTTTTCAAATTCAAATTCAAAATATCTTTGTTCAAATAGACTCTTGCGCGTTCTTATGAAACCGCGAAATTTTACATAGAAATGAATACGTTCGCAAGTTATAGTTTAGTTAGTTATAGTGTTAAGAGTCCAAGTTACAAAATAGTGCAGGTGCTTAAAAAAGGTTTTGTACAGAAGTTTACCATACTTTTGGATACTTGTATAATTACTATTAGTATTACTTTTTGCGTGAAAAAATAAAATCGATAGATAAACATTTAATACATTTTAAATGAACGTTTGCGGTCAAAAGAGACGTTTGTTTGAATTTCCTAAATATTGTCGTGAGGTTGAATAATCAGTTTTTAGTGACTGTGGATTCGGCAAAATATTCGGAGAGTTATAAATACTAAAATCATAATTAAATGTTAAATTAATGTTAACCTAAAAAATGCGAAACTTATAAAATTTGTAAAATTGCTTTCAAAGATTAAAGTATGTAATGTTTGTCACGTAGTAAATATATAACTTTTCCAGTACCTGCCATTCATAATGCTGATAGATCCGACCAAAGACACAAGCGAGTATTGGCGGGAAACAGAAATCCTGTCAATAGTCCGCAACGACGAAATGGACATAGACTACGAGAAGTGTGAACAGACCGCTCCAGAGGGGTCTCAGCTTTATTTGCCCAGCAGGCGATCCGTTAGACCCATTTGCCGGAGTACTTATGGTACGGAAGCCAATTCATTGTAACTTAGTGGGCTGCTACAGGCTCACACGGGTAGACGAATAAAATTATATCATAAACATATGATTGGATATTGGAATATTTTATTATTTAACGAGGGTTGTAAACCCTTTTGGTGGTTACTTGGCATCCGCCAAATTGTTGTATCGGTCAGCAGTTTGTGCTCTTCTGCTTGCTTCTATTTCCTCCGATTTGATTCTAAAATATTGAGATTTCTGCAAAACTGACGCCAAAGCCAATACCTTGGCAACTGCGCCACGGAGTCATCAATTTATTATATTATACATAACATTTTTAACATTAACTTTAGATCCGATACAACAACTTTTTAGATAATTGAGAATTAACGATAATATCATTTTTTGTATCATAATTTCGTTGTCCATAGTGTTAAAAATTGCAGATTACCAACTTTGCCCGCAATGTCCACGCTTCAGCAACCATACTGAGTGCGAACTATTTCGTGATTCATGCAGGTAAACTATTTTATTTCGCAACAACTTAAAATTTTTGCGACATCATGTTATAGACGATTTCACTCGATTAGTGGCGGTTTGGTTCTTTTCTTACTTGATTCAGTTCTCATTCCCTGCCCACCTTTGAGTTTCAATGTCTGTGATGTCATCATCAGCTGGAATGATGTTTAATCGTCCATTCTAGAACAAGGCCTCCTTCTTAGGACGCCACAATAGACCATTTTGCCATAAGTGCTTAAAATCTGAGAAATTATTAGGGCTTTATTTATGGAAAAGGAGGTAAACGAGCAAGCGGATCACTTTATGCTAAGTGACCACCGCCACGCATGGACATGGACATGACACTTGCAACATCGTAGGAGTCACAACTGCGTTGTTGGCCTTTGGGGTAGGAGTAGACTCTATTCTTGAAGCTCCGAAGTCGTATCGGTTCGTAAATATAGCTAATGACAACTGGTTCTATAAAGTTGTTGTGATCAACGAAACAAGGGCATAAGGCTCATAAAAAGGTACGGCACAACGACTCATTGTTTACACTAAAAACAGGATGAATGGATAAAGAGATTAGGATTTTAATGTAGTTTTTTGACACAGTGAGACTTCTAGCGTAAGGTCTATCGAATTTAACGTAATGTTTTTGAGAGAAGCTGGTATACGAGTAAAGGCTTCGCGTAATGATGGTGATAACCGTCCATCTTCAACACCCATGGAGTTACAATTACGTTGTACCCCAGTCACCAGACTCGGCAAAGGAAATGCAAATGTACAAATATTTGTAATTTCCGTAAGTCCTTTTTATATAAGTGTCAAAACAGACAAATACTTCTGCGAGGATGTACCGCTTGAATCTTCCAGAAACTTTAAGCCTAGATGTATCGTCGTAGGTCTAAATTATTGGAGATGTTGACTACTTCTGCAGGGAGGGGCGCGTCCTGCCAAACGAGTACCGCACTTACTGCGACCGGAAGTACGGAAAATGGCGCACGATGTTCGTCCCTGCAGACTACTCCCAGTGCAGATGCTGCGACGAATGCATATTCTACAGAGGTTCGGAAGCGTTTGCCGAACGTCCGGCTAATCTCATAAGATTTATACAGTTTATCTCTGGTCCTAATCTACTACTTATGGATTTTAAAAGTCAGTTTGTTTTATTTAACTAAAAAAAATAAAACGTTTTTATCTACTGAATATAATTAGAGTAAAACAATTCTAAGCCGGTCTGTGACTTATCATCATTATAAAGTAAATTGGTGGGAAACAATCAGAATTTTTTATATTACAATAGGTATGTAAAAGGCTGCTATTCTGGGTCGATTTTTTTTTATGTGAAAAGTTGCCAAACGAGCAGACGGTTCACCTGATGGTGAGTGAATACCGCCGTCCATGAACATCTGCTATACCCGAGGGTTACAGATGCGTTGACAACCTTATGAAAATTGGGCTCCGGCTACCTCACTCACCAGACGAAACGCGAAAGTATTTGTCATACTTCCACTTTACGCTGGTCTTCTGTGAAGTCATAGTACCTAGCCGGACGGGCCTGCCCATTCGTGCAACAGCCGAGGCTGCTGCGAAGCCTTACCAACGTAAAAACCGTGATATTGATAAACCAATTATAAAATAGATTAGAATATACTTTATTGCACACAAAGGAGTACATAGAAAGAAGATACGGGAAACATAGTGTACAAATAGGCGACTTTATTGCTAAGGTTCTTCATGGCAACCTTAATTGCAATTTAGCGTTTTAGCGTTTCTGTTTTAATTAAACAACGTTTCATTCCATCATATTAATATTGCTTTTAAATCAGTCCAGTTCATGAGGCGGTATTCTTTGAAACTTTTGCCTTACAGAGTTGGACCAATCCTGCATCGAAGACGAGTACAGCTTCGACACCGAGGAATTCCTGCCCGTTACTACAATCGGCAAGTTTATTTCTTCATTGATTCCGACTAGACATGTTTAATAACTTTTCATTTCCAGATGATTGTTGGGTGAAAATAGAGAAATGCTGACTCACCGCATTTTACATAAAACGAAGATAGTAACTCTTCTTAAAATTTTCCCTTTCTAGAGCTGTACCCTTATATATTTGGAGTGTCCGCAATTTCCTTTCAGCTCTGTGTAGTGCAGGTTCTTTTGTAAACACGAGGACATTTATTTATTTATCTATTCTTTATTGCAAACACGAGGCGTTAAACCAAACCGGGGCGTGAGGATAAATCGTGGTAAGGGTAAAAAATTAAATTGCAATATGGATTTACGTGAATGAAATAAATACATATACGCATTACACATCACAAAACTAATAAATTCTAAAGCACTATATACAAGATAGTATATAAAATTAATGTAACACACCATAAAGGTAAAAAAAGTAAAGTGACAGCCTATAAATGTCCCACTGTAACGCCTGGGCCCTTATCCAGGTAAAGGCCTCCTCTTTAAAGATGGTATCAGGGCATAGTCTACCACGCGACCCCACTGTGGATTGCGGGCTTTCACATATTTTTTTTTCACATATATTTTTTTTGGCTTTCACATATTTTATTTTTTTCACATAATTTTTTTTTTTTAAATATTTTTTTTTATTATTTCGAAAATATGCAGGTGTCCTCACGATATTTTCCTTCACCGCCGAGCACGTGATAAGGCAGCACTTAAAATTAACATTTTCATTGGTGCTGACATCGGGGATCGAACTCAGGTTGCTTGAGTCAATTCAATTAAAGGCGAGCGCCCGGACACTGAGCTATCACGGCTAACACACCATATACAGTACAAAAATATTAACATGTGTACATAAAACATATATACTATAAGTCATCATCATCATCATTTCAGCCTGTTTGAGTCCACTGCTGAACATAGGCCACAGACTGCCACGAAGTAAGATCCTGAGCCACCTGCATCCATCGATTTGGATCCTGCCCGTTTGCCTCCTTTTGTCCTTAAAGAAAGGAAAATTTAATAAAGTACGAGTCCTCAGATTTCCGAGCCGGCTGCAATCCGTATTGGGGACACCCCGAGCAGGAGGTGAAGGCTCTGCGCTGTGACCAAGTGCTGCGTAGATGTGAGGATTACTAAACGAGTGCATTTTAATTAGTCAATTGTTCTTTCGACACGCAACATGCGAGAATTCCCGCACGCAATAACTTCTCATACCAAACATAACAATAAAAGTAAAGCTTATACATGTACCACCGCTGGGCAAAGGCCTCCCTCTGTACTGAGGGTATTAGGGCATAGTCCACCACGCGGCCCTCCTGCCGTTTGGTCGACTTCATATATCTTCGAAATATTTTTTTTTGGTTATTATTTCGAAAATCTGCAGCTTTCCTATAAGACAGAGGGTTGACGGTTTTTTCAGATATCCCATATTTTCGAAAAATATATTTTTAAGATACTTAAGTTTCTGCCCATTCGTGCAACATATACGTAGACCTATTAAGGCACGGTCTCACAGAATACTGGCTTTAAGTAAAGGCGCTGCTTGTAGAGTAGACTTTCGTCTGATGTGTGAGGTAGCCGGAGCCCACTTTCATTGTATTCGGTTGGTAATCCGTTAGCTGTTGTGGATATCTATGTGGTAATAACTTAACATCTGGTGAACTGCCTGCTCGCGTGCCAACTTTAAAACATAAAGAAAATAATCGCGTTTTCCTCGCGAAGTTTTCCTTAACCACCAAGTACTTTGTAAATCAGCACATAAAGTTGCTACTTGCAATTATATAATTATTCTTTTAGTTCGAGACTGCACCCAAGATAAAATTTAAAATGGTTTTTTTTTTCATAATCTGTTGAAAAATTTTTAGCGCTGCAGGGTCTCAAGCATGCTTCTTTATGGCAGACTTCACATACCTTCAAAATATTTTATTTTCAAGATGAAAGCATCGTATTTTACCTACAAAAGTTGCGCGTACGGTTTGCGTCGGTTTAAAGAGGTACAAAGTTTGTGCTCACATAATTCTTCCTTTCGAACACGCTTTTGTTATTTAACAGGTGTTCCCGTTTCCATTCCAACGCTGCCCAAGGATACTCTGAATATGTGAGTAATTCATTAGGACTATATTTATTTGAAAACCTTAATTCCAAACATAAATGCTAACTCATTATTTCTGGGGTGTAGGCGGATCCACTATTTCTTTAGCCCTCTTCAGGCATAAGTAGTTTACGCATATTTACATATATGCTCAGAGGTTAATGGCAAACAATTAAGTTCTCCAGTACTCGACGATAATTTCCAGAAATATAAAACTTTCTTCGACCTACACAGCCTAAAAAAAAACGGTAGGTAAAAACAAAGAAAGAAAGATTGTTACTTTGCTTTTATTAAATAGTGTTGCGTACGGAGAAGGGAGAAGAATAGTAGGAATTCAACTGGGTCTCCAAATGAGTTTCATTTCAGATAAAAACAAATTATGTTACATGAGTACATTCTCCGCGTGTCGTATAGTTTTTCATTAAATAATACGCGATAATTTATGGTACTTTCAGAATTTTTAAATGAATACCATTTTTAAGGATTATTTCGCGTTTATTTTAAATTTGGAATCCAACCATTTCATGAATACGCTGCTGATATCCTTATTCTTATCATATGTGTGCATAGACTGAAGGATGGTTATAGAATGATCAAGTCGGATTTTGTCAATTGAAAAAATTCTGTACAATGCTTGAATATTGAAGTTGTCGATTTTATATCACATTTTATATCATGGTCAGTTCGCGAAAGAAAAATATAGTTAGGGTTTAAAAAAAGCGACCCAGTTACACTTGCAAAAGAAATATATTCAGTTTCGGATAGCACCATGACCTTCTTTCTAGATCCATAAAACGCAACACCCGTTGGTTTCCAAATGCGATGCCACTTTTTAATAAAGGGGGGCCCGGTTACCCCACTCACCAGACGAAACGCAGAAGTATAACACTTGCACTCCACGCGTGCCTTATGTAAGATCGTGATGCAGCCCCGGATGGGCCTGCACAATCATCCAACAGCGACGATTGTTTCGTCGCCTCACAACAGTTATACTTTGCAAAAGAAAAGTCATACCAATAGATAAAGAAGCCTGTATAACTGTGGTAGGACCACGCAACAGTTTTCACTGTTGCACGAATGGGCAGGTCCGTCCGGGTAAGTACCACGACCTCACAGAAGACCGGCGTAAAGTAGAAGTGTTACAACACTTCTGCGTTTCGTTTGGTGAGTGAGGTAGCCGGGGCCCACCTTATTTAAAGATGGCAACGCATTTGCAACACTCCGTATGTTGCAAAAGGCCATGGACGGCAGTTATCACTTAACATCGAACCGCCGAACAGACGAACCGCCGGCTCGTTTGCCACTTTATCAAATAAAAAAAGCCCCTAGACGTATGCTACGCACAGAATGGGACCGTTCGCCTCCGTATCGCCCTCGGTCTTTGAGTAGTGCTGTGCGCAGGCGTCGCAGTTTTCGCTACGAGCCGCCGTCAGACGACGAGTGCCCTGTTTCTTGTCGCGGCTACGAGTGCCCTGGGATGGTGAAGGAGGAGCAGTGTCCCCTGGGCGCCTTCCTGCCCGACAAGGCGCACTGCAATTGCTGCGGAAAGTGCAGCGCTTACTACCGTGAGTGGTGTCGAGGTTTATACGTGCGCGCGCCCTCTCGCGGCCGCTTTGGTCGAGGCGATGGTAGATTTGTATTTGACCCACTGTGTTAAAATACTGCTGGCTTGAACTTATCTTGTAAGCGACACGCTTGGAGGGAGTTAGTAATAAAAACAAAATAAAACAGTCAGCCTGACCTTAGTGTCACGAGTTTTAACACGACCAGTGCTAACATTATATAGTCTTATTACCGAGGTAACTGAATGCCAGTCTTGTCAAAGGTTGGCAATGCCTTGGCGAATTTGAAGGGTGATATCGGTGCGGTCATCAATTAGGTCACCCACTTGTTCTTTTGTAGAATAACATTTCTATGAAAAAAAAAAAAAAACAGACTTCAATTATCTTACTCCCCACATTTCCTATTCGATAATAATAATAATAATAATATCATTTATTCGAGTTCGATTCGGAGTTCTAGGTGTATCTTCGATATTCAGTGTCTATTAAATTAAATCGGTACCCTTGATAGTATCTCCTCTCTAACAAAAAATATTCTAACCGGTTTATAAATGACAACATAGAACTCCGCTGAGGTAACAAACATGATGAAATAGAATCGAATAGAGAACCTCGTGGTTGCAGTCGGTTGAAAAGGTGATTGTTTAAGGCGTTTTCATCAATGACAATTTTAGACACAGCTCTTGTACGTAAACTTGACTATGATTAAAAAAAAGCTCTAACTCATATTGATTTCGTATATTTACGCATCCTAATGACATTATTCCTATTATAATATGTTGTAAAGTTTGGGGAAACAGTTTTACTAATAAGTAGTAGACTGATATAGATAAAATGTACATATTGTATATTTTCATTGTAATTTAGATATCTTATATCCACGCAGAGCTTAACCAGAAGTGTGCCGAGTTCAAGAAGACAATACACGATGTGAACGGGAGCAAGGAAATGGAGGTGTGCAAAATTTTACATGAAAAAATATTTTTTTCTAAATATAACATTTACTTATTAGTTTCGCTATCTACCCTCAGAATCCACTTTAGCCGTGAACACAACTATTCAATGAAGTTGGTTGCTATCGATGAATTTGCAAACACAGAAGGTGGCAAGCGAGCAGGCGGTTCACCTGATGTTAAGTGATAAGCGCGAAAATACTCAATGAATAACTAATAATACTAAATACTATCGAAATATTATTAGACCTTTATAACGTTCAATTGTTAATTTTTTTTAATAACTGAATAATATTTCTCGGCGCTGCGGTATTCTCTTCCGGTTTCGCGCCCGCTTCTGGTATAGCGTCTGCTTTACTAAGCGGCCAATGACCATAGGGACAATCGCGACATCTATCTATATTATTTTTTTGTATTGCATTTTAGCAATGTATGGCACCATCTACTGTGCATCCTTTACCGCATGCAACACCTTAGAAAGAACATTCAACGATGAACAATTGTTAGGGATGTTGGACATTTGTTTGATGGCTCCGTGGTGGAGTTGCCAAAGTATTGGCTTTGTACCGGGAGTTGTGGGTTCATTTCCCACACGTAATAACTATTTGCGTGACCCACAAATATATGTATCGGATCTGGATGTTTGTCCACTTGAAATATATGTGTTAATCGTTACAACACGAGGTAACGTTATGCTAAATTAAGAGCAATGTCGCCTTTGCTCTTAAAATTTAAGAAATAAAAAATGGAAATATTAAAACCCGCACGCACGCATACACTCACGCACACGCTCGCACACACACACGCAAACGCACACGTAACACACACACACACACATGCACATACACATATTCGTTTATAAATTCATCACTAATATTATTGTCATTATTATCACAGCTTTTTTTTAAATTACATATATGTAAGTATGTTTAACCGTTTCCATATTTTCTTAGAATTTATTTTATTTTTTTTGTTATTCTAAGTGGCTCTAATAGTGTTTACTGTTCGTGTGCTGACACTAAATTGTGGAAACCATTAACTTCCCCCATAGGACAGGCTGCGCCTAGTGTGGGGTTTAGGATTGTATCAATTGTAAACCTATATATTAATAAATATTTTTGATTCTCATTCGTTTTTCAAGAGAGAACTCCATAACCTTGATCGGCCTGCAGATTGAGGAGGAGTTTCTGGAGCCAGGCTGCGACGACGGTCTGGTGTGTCGTCAGGGCGTCTGCCAAGACATCCACCTGCTGCAATCGACCTTCGCCACGCGGACACGTAGAGACAGCAAACACATAGACGCTTACGGTGATTGATTATTGAAAAGCAGTTTGGCGAGGAGTCGAACGTATCGGGTAAAAGTTTTTTTAAAAAAAAAAGAACCGACTCCAAAAAACTCTATTATCACTAAAAAGTTTATGATAATACTTAGTGTAATTAATTTATAATTTATACTTTGTATTATACAAAATACACAACACTGTATTTAAACATGAATTTATTTTACTAATATTCATTACATCTGTTCTATTTACAAACCTTATAACTTTCATGATATTATGAAGCGCTTTTAAATCTTTCTAGTTCTGTCGCGTACCTACGAGTACATTTCGTGAAAGCAGCGACGTTTTCAAAACGTCGTCGAGCACTTCCGCTGAATATGAAGGTCGATTAATAGCCGGTTTCAATATTCTATCTATAGATTTGGTTAAGGTAGAATTTTGACTTAAGTATTATGCAGCTAATGTCGAATCATCGACGACCAAACCCTGTCCGATCGCCTCGACTGTTTGGCCTTGCCAAGGGATGTTGCATTCCTTTGCATTTTCCATCGGATTTATCATGGAGAGTGCTCTGAGGAATTGTTTTGGTTGATACCTGCTGGTGAATTTCACCATCGTACAAGTCGTCAAATCGCCAAGTACCATCGACACCACCTTGATGGTTGGCGGTCGACCACTGTGCGTTATTCACGCAATTTTCTACCCTACTTTGTAAAACTACTTGCCGCCCGCGGTATTTCCGGACTGACTTAGGGACCTTCAAAAAGAGAGTCTACTTCTACCTTAAAGGCCGGCAACGCAATTGCGACTCAACTGATGTTGCTAATGTCCATGAGCGGCGGTGATCGCTTATCATCGGATGACCCGCTAGCTCGTTTGCCTCCTTTTTCCATTAAAAAAAAACCTATCGAATAGAATATTGAAACCGGCTGTAAATCCGTGAAGCGATTTTATTAAAATAACAGTTGCAGTATGCGCAACGCTTGACATTTGCGCTTGAAATTTAATTTTGCATTGTGTTACCAACTGCCTACCGATATATCGTGTGCTCCTGTGTCTAGAACCGTGCAAGCAGGAGATGAAACATTTCAAAAAGAAGTACGGGGCGAAGGGCCATTTGCACTTCAACGCGCCCCAGTGCACCCCGCTCTGGCTTTATGCGCCTGTACAGGTAATCCTTATCACGTGCTCCGCGGTGAAGGAAAACATCGTGAGGAAACCTGCATATTTTCGAAATAATAACAAAAAAAAATATTTTTCGAAGATATGTGAAGTCCGCCAATCCGCAGTGGGGCCGCGTGGTGGACTATGCTCTGATACTCTCTGTATAGAGGAGGCCTTTGCCCAGCAGTAGAACATGTATAGGCTGTTACTTTACTTAACAGGTAATGACTTTGGTGTTGGCATGATGACGGGAGGGCTTACAAAAATGCGTCGTACATTGAAATGCTTCTGTTACGTGTATTTACGAGACGTCTTTTTCCTATAAAAAAAATCTAAATTTCTCCCGCATTGTTTCAAGTTCCCTAGGATTTTTTCCGATCAAGAAGTAAATAAAAGTGCTGAAATTTGTGTTATTAAGTATTATTATTTGAAACAGATGTTTATATTAAATTTTGCATTCTTTTTATTAATATATACCTAATAGGATTCAAACATAAAATAAGCCTTTTCAAAGAATATATTCTCCGCTATAAACTAAAAAAGGTACATTTATTTTAGTGGTCTTCTGTGAATAAGGTAATTGTCATTTTATATCTGACTATTCGTAGCCGGTTAAACTTTTGACGTCCCACTCACCCACGTTAAACCGTGTAAGGTTTCTTTTCTCAGTAGCAGAAGGAATGAGTCTAATGTACCCTCAATATTTTTTTTCAATATGCATATAGAGGTTCTGCCAGTGTCGCATTAACCACCTAGCAAGAGTAGCAATTCCTACGGGCCCCGCGTTTAAGGCGGTCAAAATTATTTGAGTGAAACTTATAGATAAGTAAGAGTATTGAATTGTTTTTTACCACTTTATACTCAAGAACTCATAGCAGATCAAGGGCTGTTTGAAAGAATTTGCTACGGCTAACAACTTTCCCGCGCTTGCTTAATCTGGCACTGGGTTCGGCGAGTTTTATTTCCTGATGGGATAAATGTTGATAGTGGAACGGCCTGCCGCCGTGGAGGAGTTGTTTTCCTGTACTCTAAACAGGAATTTTAAAACGTAAATGACTAATTTAAATCAAATTTAGTGCCGTCGCTTCATATGCTACTGCGCCCTGGAAGACGGCAGCAGGATAGAGGGTATAAAAGTGCCCCGCGTTGAAGTGTCCAACATGAACTGCGGTTGGTCATTATTGTTTTTTATTTTTTTTATTTGATTCTATTTGGTACAAATGACAGCAAACAGTACAAAAATCTTGACAATAAGCTGAATAATGTCAACTTATACGTACTGTCCGCCAAAATATATATACACTACATGTATCGTTATAAATATTAAATTATCCAATTTAAAACAAAAGACGGACCTTTTAAAATCTTGAAAGGTAACTAAATATGAAAGTAAAGATAAGGAGAGAAAAAAACATTATGTACCTCTAACACTTCGTTTGAATGCACAGATTTTCTGATGAAATATATCTACTGACACAATACTTTGAAAAATCTTTTGAACTGCAATAGACCCAGTCAGCGGATGTTGCTGTCAAAAGGATAGGCAAGCTCTTCCGGAAAGAATCATAATTACTTTTTTGCAAAGCATGTGCATACGACACCTTGGTCGTAAATGTCTGTGGGTTGTACTAATTTACCAACCGGATAACCTTAACTGGTCGATTACGCCAAGAAAAAAGCGTTACAAGAATGTTTATAAATGTCAGTGACAGAACCACAGACAAAAATGAATATCCGACTGTCATTGGGACGATATATTAAGTTTCTATTCTTTACATACTGGCTAGAAACGTCACTCGTAGATTGGGATGCGATACGTCACGTAAGCGATGTGACTTTATTAATGTGACGATGTGACTTTGTGATATCTAATTTTAAATTAACAACCCGATTGGCGTGCGGAGTAGTGAATCTGCTTCTTGCGCCTGAGGGTGTGGGTTCGATCCCCATTACTGGCAAAATATCGTGTGTTGAACATAGTGCTTTTCCAATGTCTTCGTGTTTATATATGTCTAGTATATATTTATGAACAAAAGAAAAGTATGTTTACGGTTACGACTGAGGTCGAAGGAACAGTTTAAAAGTAACTACTTTATTTAATAACATTACAGTGCAACTGGTAGCTTACAAACAACTTATTCTAACAATAATTCCAACATATTGCAATGCTTATATCCTATTTAAAACAAGGTACTTAGTTGAGGATACAACGTTCTCTCAGGGTCCAATCTCACGGGATGCTGAAACGATTACACCTAGATAAACACTCATTAATTAATGGGCGTTTAAACCATTACAAGGTACGTCTTCGCCGAATCGCTTCGATGCGATCGCGGGATAGCAGGGTTAGCAACCGTTAAAAAAATGCTCCTTAAGCAATACAAAAACCCAATAAAATTCACTAAAATCAAACCAAAACTTCCTGAATGTTTCTCATTTATAAAGTTTTCACTTCCACTATAATTTTTTTCTTCCTAAGTTTAATTCCTAAGTTGGCATCCGTGCGGGATAGATTCTGTCATGGTGACGTAACTCGTATGTTAACTTTTTTTAAATTATTGGCGGGCAGACTGCGCCCGCGAGAAGTGCCGCACTGGCTCGGACGTGGAATGCGACGGATACGGCAACTACAGGGAAGCCGTGTTCATGCCCCACATCGAGCGGTGGCCCGAATCGAATGAAATCGACGATATAGGTATTTGGTCTAAATTTTATTATTTTTTCGAAATTTATTAGCACTTACGCCCGGATTCTGAAAAAATGTGTCAAATGGCTTTCCAAATGTCATTCTAATCATTAAGAAGATCATTCTGATCACTTCAGACAGTTTAAACCATCCCTTTGGCAACTAAAATGACATTTGCAGCCTATTAACAGTTTTAAGAAATTGATTAAAGGTAAACTATAAAAAGGGTTATTATAATACAAATGAATACATTAATGACAATAACCCCTGGAAATGAGTTATTCTTAAGCTATTTCTCAAAGGGAAAAAATCAGTTGTACAATATTTTAATTTTTTTTAAGAAAAAAAAATGATTTACAAAAAAGAAACTCCGTAGGTACCCTACGGAGTTTCTTTCGCCCGTTTCTTCTCCGCTAGAGGAACCTCATTACGAAACGATGGTAGATTAAAAAAATGACTATCGATTGATTAAATATAAATTTCTTATGTGGATTAATAAATTAATGATTTTGATTTTGAAAAGCCATTTGATTGCTGATTAGTTAATTTCTACGATGATCAGTGTTTCAGAAACCGGGCGTTAGTGTTGTAATTTTGTGGAAATGCCGATCGTAGTTTCGGTTTGGCTGTTTGATAAACTTTTATATTCTGTTTATCTCCTAGTTAAAGTTTTGATGCACATTGTTATTTTAGTATACACTGATTTTTTTTATTTTGTATCCAGCCATTTATTCGTGAAGACCTGTTATTGGTTTTCTGTTCTTTTTTCTTTGTGCTATATTGTTATTTGGTGTTGATTTTCCTATCAAATAAACAAATTAATATATAGCAGTGCTCATAACAAGTTCCAACTAGTATCTGTATACCTACTCCATTTATTTATTAGTGAGAGGTTACAAGTTTTTTGGGTTAGGCAGTAGGTTCTGTTGTTGCAAGAGTGGGCAGACTCATCCCGTAATGCCAAATGCCTCACATACCTCACAGCAGATACCTCCAGAACTCACAGAACTCTCACATACCTCCAGAAGATCCTAACGTAGTCTTCCCTTCGACAACAGTTAGAGTACTGTGGAATAACATTATCCTGTGTTATAAAGACGTTTCACATACATAAACGTCACGTGGACAAACACCCAGACCAAAAAAAAAATATCTGTGGATACACAAATAGCTCTCCCGTGTGGGAATCGAATCCATGACCCCAGGCGAAGAAACCGATACTTGCCTTGGCAATTGCGCCACATGTACAATTGTATACTTTAGACCAAGGATGAGCAACACGCGGCCCGCGGGCCGCTTGCGGCCCCTTAAACATGTTTATGCGGCCCGCCAAGCATTTCTAAAATTGAATTTATTTTATCGAATTATATTGATATATTTCTCCTCCCATCAATATATTGTTATAAAATTTATTATAATAAAATGGTAGTACATACTGAACCGAGATATTTTTTGTTCGTTTTTCTGTTCTTTTCTTGTTTGATTTTACCTTGCATTAAATTTTTTATATGAAATCTTTACTTTTTTTTAATTTTATAGTTTTTATTCTAATATTTATTATAAATAAAGCTTCGTAAATTATTATGTGCGGCCAGCCAAAAAATTTGAAATTTAATTTGTCCCATTGATTAAAAAGGTTGCCCACCCCTGCTTTAGACACTTATCATATTGACACGTACCTGTAGTCAATCATTCAACTGACTATTTCGCAGATGCCTCGGGCAAAACTTCCGCGCAAGCCCAGCAGTTTTCACATCACAAAATATCAGAATCGACGGCGTCTATGAGAAGCTAGACGCGCAACCTGCGTTGAATTTTGCATATCTTTTCTTCATTTAAAGTAAAATATGTAGTATATAAATTGCAAATACCTAACAGTTTATTATAAATGAAAGTAATATTTAAAATTGAATATGAATTTTAACAATTTTTATATTAATCCGCGTCACCCATTATGAATCTGTAACTCCTTAAAAAAATATTTTTTCTTATTTTTCATTATTGCGATTTATTGTAGAACATATTAGAAAAGCATGAATAATTAAATTCATTTGGTTTGTTTATGCTATTTATGATATTAATTTTCTTCACAATATAAATTTTTGCATACATACATTCATAATTTAATCCTGCTGTATGAATTTCATTTTTTGTTGCCAGATATCGTACATTTACGCTCTATCTTTAGAAACTTGTCCACGAATGATCTATGTGATGTGCTCTAAACCATTAAACAGTACAGTAACAAAAATATATTTCTCACTGCTTCTTTATACAATCTCTGTACGTTAGTCGGCATAGTCTGCCATGCGAACCCATTATTATTGGCAAATTATACGTATCCGTAGTCAAAGGGTTATGATATGTGAAGAAAAAAACTTGCTGATTTCTTGCAGTATTTTTGTCCGAAACTTAGTAAATGTTATTTAATTATTACAATGAACGATTTTATTAGCGGCTGTACCAGGATTGAAATGAAGTTTCCGGAGTATGTATATAGAATTAAAAGCGAATGCCCGGACATAATAACCAACAAAGAAAGTGTTATAAATACACGAATTACTCGTATGTAAAATAGAGCAGTTTTAAAAACACATTATATTTAAAATAAAAATGTATGTCAAGTCATAAGTCATTACTATGCATAATTCTAATCAACAAGAATTAGATACGCTGAAATGTAAATCTTATAGCCATATTAAATTCTTTGCATCAACATGCAAGTTTGAAATAAAAATAAGTCAACTTATATTGAAATTGAATTCAAAAGCGTTGAGAGTTGTTCACAACGTAAAACCTAGTGATTTTATTATCTTTAATTGCAGGGCGTTATAATGTTTTATACTACTAAGTTTTAACTGTATAGTTCGTCCGACGTACTTACATGCCCAATGTCACTTTAATTCGGCCTTGCATTTCACCGCGCCATTTCCGTAACAGCTGATTGTTTTGTCAATAGAGCCAAAGAAACAGACAGATACTAAACTCTTCGCAAAGAAAATATTATTATATAGTATATCCATAGTAAATTGAAGCATTGAGTTATCACGGACTAGTAAAATAACTGTTAATTTACTAGCCCGTGTATTTTATCAAAAGATGTATTAACAATGCTAACAAAATGATTGCCATGAAAATCGATGGCAAAATGTTTATATTAAATTTATACGCAGTTCCTCATGTATTATATTTGAATACATGAGGAACTGCGTATACATTTACAAATCATGCTTCTACAAAAATTTACAAATCATGATTTTAGCAATATGAATTTTCGTTTTCAAAACTGTAGTTCTGAAAAAGAAAATTCATCGGGTGTACCCTAGCGGCAGAAATAAGAACTGCTCGCCCTTGTGACGTCAGACATCACGTTACATTATAAAAAATGTTGCCACGATTATAAAAGCTCCCAATTTTTTTTATATTTTGTGTATTAACAAGTACTGGATTGTAACTAACTACATAAACTGGTTTATTTATATAAAGATTTTTAAGTTACATTGACGATTTTCTTTGAATTTTGATTTGTGTAATATATTCTCCGAAATTTCTGTTAGACGGGTTAAACACGTAAAAGCAAGTACTGGATTTGTAACTAACTACTTAAACTGGTTTATTTATATAAAGATTTTTAACTTACATTGAAGATTTCCCTTGAATTTTGACTTGTGTAATATATTCTCCGAAATTTCTGTTAGACGGGTTAAACACGTAAAAGCTTTGTTATTCACAGAACTTATAATAATACAATGAAAAGATTAGCGCAATTTAAACTTTGTTATTAAAATTTTGAAATAGTGTCTCATCTACTCAATTGTGAAAAAACGAATATCAAAATTCTTTCATAAGCAAAATAATCACTTTTCATTTCAAAACAGTATTTTTCCTTTTAATTGCTTTCATTGTAGCCACTTGGAAAATGTGATCTGGCTGGCAACTCTTTGTCTAGCTGCCACCTTTGTAATTTGTAATTTTGTATCAGTCTGTGGTTCAGTCGATAGCTGACGCGGGAGTAGGTGTATTATTAGAATTTTTCCAAATTATACTGTAGTGTTTAGTGAAAATGCCTAATATTATAAATGAGGTTAAATTAGACTTCAAGGATGTGCTACTCAGACCGAAAAGAAGTACTCTGCGTAGTAGAAATGATGTGAGTATAAACGTTTTTGTTTTATTTTACTAAAGCTGAAGCTGCAATATCAAGGTTCAGCTCAATGCAACTGAAATTGAATGTTTTCAGCTATTTACATTATTATCATATTGTCGTGTTAATTTCAATTCTTTTTCCTCTGCAAGTTACGTAATACGTCAATAAATTTAGAAGATGTTTGTTTGGCAATAGCGCTAAGTTTTTTTAACGAATGTTATTGATTTTAAATGTAAACATTATTAAGGAGGGTTTTTAAATATATAACATAACATTTTATTCGTTGTTTATTTTTTTTAACATAAAATTTAATCTGAAATGCTTATTTCAAGGTAAAAACAGTCTGTTTGCATTTACCTATATTTTTAAATTTAGAATATTCCAATGAAAATTTAATTTTGGCACTGAGGATTGACAGCAGCTGCGAAAATAACCTGATCGTTATAATTATTTTACCCAGGCATGAGGCACGATATCTGGTTTAGTATACGAAGGTATGGTAACATTAAAAAAAAAGAAAAATACGTACCGAAATCATTTTCTATATAAATAAAATATTGTGTACCGAAAACTACTGGATAGTTTTCAATCCATCAAGTTTTATTTATTAGACACTGCCCTTATTTAAAAAAAAAAAGAATGTGATGTTTTCATTGAATTTTAAGCTGAAAGTTTTAGAAACAATTGTATTTATAAGTACTACAAGTATTCAGTGATGTATTAGTTTCTTGTCGTGCTCATATCTCTGTTTCAACTGTTCATAAAATCTATTTTTCTATATAATAATCATTATATACATATGTTTTAAGTACCAAATTATCACGTGCTTTGCGGTGAAGGAAAAACATCGTGAGGAAACCTGCATATTTTCGATTTAATAATAAAAAATTTTTTGAAGATATGTGAAGTCCGCCAATCCGCAGTGGGGCCGCGTGGTGGACTATGCCCTGATGCCCTCTGTAAGGGGAGGCCTACTTTACTTTACTTTCTTTTATGTCATTTCTAACATTCGATGACTCGATGGCGCCGTTGCTAAGCTTAGGCTTCGGCGTCGGGGATCATGGGTACGATTCCCACACGGGACAAGTACTCGCGTGATCCGCAGATAATTGTTCCGGATTTGTTTCCCAAGAAGGAATGTATTTGATTCCCCCTCACAATACCTGACAAGACGATACAATATCATGGTTGGTACAGCTTCAGTTAAAAATAATTCAATTTGAATGGGATAAGCAGGCGGCTTGTTGTAGAAAAACAGAAACTGCTGTAGAAATGCGACCCCGCCCAGATAGCATAAGGGCAGCAGGATGGTTATGATACTGATGATGATGATGTTATTTGCTTCGCGTTTGACTGAAGTAATAGTCATTCAGAAATATTACTACTCTCTTGCTGTGACGCGTCATTGCCTACGGATGCCTGGGCCGCCTGAAAATCAGCGCCACAATTTTGAGCGGCATATGCTGAGGCGGTCCCTTCCGTCACTGCTTTAAAATTTATAAAATACCTTTTGTTTTTGTCTTATTTTTACTATTTTTTTAATTAATTTTATGTCAATTTATTTATTATTTTTAATTCATTACTTTGTCGTTTTTTTAAATTTTATTTTAACTAAATGGAACATAATTGTGTTCAGATTAAGTGACGGATTAAATGTCTTATAAATTCTTTTGTGGTTGTTGCGATGATAGTGGACGAAAGTGTTTACCCGCTGGTTATGTCACGAGCATTTCCACGACGCAAAGAGATAATTATCCATTACTCATCAGTGAACGTCATCAATTAGTCGTGTAACTTTAAATGCCGACTAACGCTGAATGATGCCCATTAGGCAGTAGCGATAGCTGGATTCAATTCGCTACGGACTTGTCCGTTTTGTAGAATAGTTATTTCTATTAAAATAAATTTTTCTTTATGTAGAGTTCAGTAACAATTTCTTTTTACGTCGTCAAGTGAGCAGGCGGTTCACTTGACGTTAAGTAAATACAAACTTTTAAAAAGTGGGCCCCGGCTACCTCACCAATTGAAACACGTTTAATTTAGTTTTGCGAGTATCATTTTTCCAATTCACGTCGCTTCTGTAAGGCCGTGGTACACACAGGATGACCCCAGCTTACAATTTTTATATATGACTAGTTGTAACGTATTGACAAAAACTCCTTTGATAAATAGTATATAGAGATTTGTATATAGGATGCGTAGTCCCTTAATCCTTAGATATGAAAGAAAATACGTATAAAAATACATAATTCATACAAAAATAGCACGTGGACTAGTGAGAAGATGATTATCGCTCGGTCTTTTCCGGCTTATTAAGCGAAGGTCACACTCGTGGCATGTGATGCTCAAATCACACTAATTGGTGTAATTCTATTGACCTGCTATCTCTTTCCGTAGCACACGTTCTATATCATCCGTCACATTCACTTATATACGCCATATAATGTAAACCGGAACAATTTTCAAACGCCACGCAGTATGGAAATGCGTTGCCTATTGCCTATTTCCCTCCGCCGCCCTATGGTTGACACCAGCCACATTAACAACGCTGTGGCCTATCATTGGTTGCTAGTTTTTACTTTCGTTGCGAACGGGATAAATCGATAAATACGCGGAAAGCGGACTTTAGGAGACTTACCTATTGATTTTGTACAATTGTACGGGAATATGTCGAATTTTATAACTTTTTTTATCGAAAATCATACCGCCACTTTGAAATTTGAAACCTCTTTGGTAACAATTTATGCTACACGCGAAATTTGGCCATAGACTAATATATATTAATACTATGAATGTAAACAATGAATGTTATAATAAGACTTCTTTGTTATACTCTCCATTTCCTTATTGATTTATCGCTTATTTTTAAAGTTGACCGAAACGTATTAAATTATGACGACGTGAATAGTGCACTTTCACATATCCTCCACTGGTTTACTATTAATAATATGGTATTAAATGCCAAAAAAACCAGATGTATTCTTTTTACCCTTCCCAGTATAAGAAGGAAAAGTTTTAGTTTAATATTAAATAACGTACCCATTAATCCAGTTGAGTCTGCTGTATTTCTGGGAATTACAGTAGATTCAAAGCTCCAGTGGAGTCCCCATATATCATCTCTTGCGAATAGGCTGAGCTCCGCGGTTTTTGCGATTAGAAGGGTTAGGTTACAGCTAACAGACATCGACACTGCCAGACTTGTTTACTTTATAGTTATTTTCACAGCATCTTGTCGTACGGCATTTTGTTGTGGGGTAGTGCATCAGATATAAATTCTATATTTATTCTTCAAAAAAGAGCTGTCCGAGCAATCTACAATATCGGAGCCCGGAATTCACTCGGAGATCTTTTCAAAGAGGTTAATATACTCACTGTTGCTTCTCAATACATTTATTGTAATGTTTTGTATATACGTCATAACCTTAATTATTACCTAAAGAATAGTGACAGACATAAAATAAACACTAGAAATAAGGACAAACTTACTACGCCATTGTTTCGTCTACAAAAAGTAAATAAGTCGTTCATGGGGCAAAGTGTACGCATGTATAATAAAATCCCACAGTCGATATTAAGTCTGCCGCTTGACCAATTTAAATGTAAAATTAAAAATCAACTGATGATTAAAGCATATTATACCATTTCGGAATATCTCGACGACGCCAATGTGTGGAGTTAATACTGTTGATACTCACGTAGGCTAGAATAAGACTATTATACCTGTATATTGTATTGTACCCTGATATTTTTGAAAAAGAGCAACTGTTGAGTTTTCTTGCCGGTCTCTTCTCAACAGAAACTGCTTTCCGAACCGGTGGTACCTTACGAACCTATACACATAATCTTTGATGTAAAATTTGACGATTCATAAGAGCGCGCAAGCGTCTATTTGAATAAATATATTTTTGATTTTGATTTTGATCTTTCGCAAGAAACTGTTGATGACCCTATGATATGTTCGTTTAATTTAGTCACTAGTTTGTTTACCCTGGGTTCCCACGGCTAACTTTTTCTACCATATTCAAAAAAACGGTATCAATTATTCACGTATTAATAAGACATATATATATCTGTACCTCAGAGGTAAACAGCTTTATGTGACAAAACACAAATTTTAGAGGAGAGGAAAAATGCGTGAGTGAATCCTTCAATGCATTATTGATTATGATGTCATTTTATTAATTAGGCGTCGTAGGTCTTAATGCTTTAAACTATTGTGTAGAATTTGTTCTAGCGATTTTAATGGCGTAAGAAAAATATTTTTTTTAAAATGCGGTGTTACTATTGTATAAGAACCGTGATAGCCCAGTGTCCGGGCGCTCGCCTTTAATTCAACATCCGCGGGGAACCTCGAGTTCGATCCCCGGTGCCGGCACCAATGACATTGTTGATTTTAAGTGCTGACTTATCACGTGCTCTGCGGTGAAGGGAAACATCGTGAAGAAACCTGCATATTTTCGAAATAATAACAAAACAAAATATTTAGAAAGTTATGTGAAGTCCGCCAACCCGGGGCCAAAGTGGGGCCGCGTGGTGGACCATGTCTTGTTACCCTCTGTAAACAGGAGGCCTTTGCCCAGCAGTAGGACATGTATATGCTCTTACTTAACTTTTTTTACTATTGTATGCCTCGTGAGGTACAGATATAATGGTCGACGAGCTATTTTGAGTTTTTTCGATCATCTTTCGATTTCTATAAAAATAATATAAATAAACGTTTTTGTCGTAATAAGTATATCCGATTAACCCATAATATCTTTCCTTACCTCCCATTCCCTAGAGAAAATATTTCCACGCTGAAACTGTTGGACCGAACACGCAAAAGACAATTAAATTGGTATACCTATTTCTTCACAATGTCGCAACAGAAGTAACAATCGACCGACTTTATTCGTTTTAACAAGTCTATTTTTACTAACGAAAAGCAAAACCGATTTCAAATACCTCGCTCTGTATTCATATTTGATTTTCAGGAGTTCCCTACTTGTCTCCGGCGCCCAAGATCCAATAACAATGAAATTAATATGGGACCACATGGGAAGCAACAGCTTTCAAATAAAAAAGAATCATCAAAATCGGTTCACCTATTCGAAAGTTCTGACGTCACAAACATATATAAAAAATACAGTCGAATTGAGAACCTCCTTTTTGAAGTCGATTAAAAACGAAACGAACATCGTCATCTACCCTTTAGCTCCGGAGATATGAGATAATGAAACTAATGAACCAAAGACTACAGATAACTCAAATCCGCAACGGATGCAACGATCGATCAGTTTCTTTTTTCGTTTTAAAAACGAAACTAACGCTGTCCATGAAGCCGCTCTACGCCCGAGCCCGCATTTTTTCCCGGGCAACCTTGTCGCGACGGCTTTCGGCGATTTCGCCTCTCCGCTGACATTGTTGCCGCAAGATAGCTTGGCGCCGCGCCAGAGGAAATAACACCGGCGGTGCACGCGTCCGCCCACGCGTACACCGCCTAGCGACGTCAGCGGCTGTTTTTTTTTTATGTGAAAGCAAGCGAACAGGCGGTTTACCGGTATTAACTGATTACCGCCAATCGACATACAACACTTGACGAGTTGCAGATACGTTGCCAACATTTAAAAAGTGGGCTCAGGTGGCGACCCTCACCAGAAGCAACGCGAAAGTACACCTAATACATAATTGCACTTAACGCCGGTCTTCTCTAAGGCCATGGTATTTCCCCAGACGAGCCTGCCCATTCGTGCAACGGCAAAGGCTGCTGCGTCACCCCAACACGGTGTTATTTTTATGCCAGATGTGGCAAACATGTGACACGTGAAGTCTGTTGTCTTGACTGACCTGACATAGCTCATCCATCCATGGTCCTCGTCCTCCTGAGGTTGCAGAACCGTTTCCAATTTTTTACCTCGTCCGTTATGCAACAGTAGTAACCATACTCACAATATACTTTAGGTTTTATATTTAATTCCGAATTTGAAATAGGAAGTTTATAATTGAGATGGGTGCGCTGTCTCCAGATATACTATGATCATTCTAGTTATACAAAATGTACCGGTTGTTTCGCATAAAGGTATTCAAGATAGTTAGTAGTCTGTTAATGCATAAAATTTTTAAAAACAAAAATTTGTAGCTAGGATACGTTTCGAGCATTTTGAAAGACAGTCAATGTCTAAGATGCTAGACACGATATTATGTCAACCATAATATTACAATAGTACAATGCCATATAAAGAACTTGCAACACGTTCAGAAAACGTAAAGATAAATATTTGCTCTAGGTTCGATCCGTGTTTATAAATTATAAGAGGTGCTAGCACGGCTTTCCAAGTATATGTATATTATAGGACCACCGGCAAGAAGTCCAGTTGTAAGTATATATTATTTATCATAAATAACATTAGTTATAAAATACACCGAGCACACATATTTATATTAAACAATGGACCCTAACAAGCAAGGATTTAATGGTCTCGTGACAGCGCAATAAATCGTTCCAAGAATATGGTACAGATATTAAACAAGCTTTCATTTACATTAATTGCTTGCCCCAATGTTTGCGCTCCCGGAGTTCGACAATACTAAAAATTCCTTTCGTGCACGGAAAAAGACTTTTTTTTAAAAAAGCGCGCCAATATTTTGGTGCAAAGAAAAACGGTACTCGATTATCGGCCAATCATGATGTGATAGCCCGGCCATGAACCAATCAGTGCGACGTAGACGGAATATACAAATTGACCTACATAAAACGTTTAAAATATTGCTTAATGATTGTCATTCACAAATGTACGTAATAACCTTTAAAAGGATGCTTGAATCATTAATTTAGACATAAAAGAGATATTGTGTTGCAACAAAAAATCTAGGTATAGAATGGTAATTATTCTAACGCCAATAGATTCGATTAGAACATTTTGTACACAAAAATGTAGGGAAGTCGCCCGCGATCTATTTCGACTTTGAAACTATTATTGCAACGGTAATGATGCACGGACGACCCTTTGAAGCTTGAACGTTGTCCAAAACCGATGTTGTGACTTCGACGATCGCGGCCTTTAGCGAAAGTCCATGGCCCAGCGGAAGTGTGATAAATATATTACTCACGCTGCCCAGAAGGATTACTGACAGGTGGAGCTTGCTTGAAAGCACGCGGCTCTTTACGCTCTAATACCGAAGAGACCTTTGCCCAGCTGTGGGACATATAAAGGTTGTTACTTTACTTTTACTTACCTATGAACTAATTATCATATTAAACATTTTTGAAGTTTCACCTTAAGTGTAGAGACTAAAACTGAAAATTAAAAATATAAAGTGTTTTACTTGTCGCAAAACGCATACCCCGATTACACGGGATAAATCACATGGAGGGGGGTAACCGAAGCGGGGTTAGTGCTTCAAGAAGAACAAGAATTTTTAATTCTTAATTTGTAACCGTGATTTTTTATGTACAATAAAGAATAAAGAAAGAAAGAGTTTGATTTTAATCAAATGTCCTTTGCATGTAGAAATCGCGTGCTGTGGTACATTACGGGTAGAGACTTGGGGAGCACCCCCGATTTAACTATTCCCTTAGCTGTCTTTTCTCGAACAAAACTTTTATTTTTTCGTCGAAATGAGCGTCGAATTTTTGTAATGACACAGACAAAGTCCCCCATTAAAAGGTAAAGGTAGATTTAAAGTATGTTACTACAGATAATACATAATATAATTAATGTACATAGTGACTTACTATGGCCAAATCGGGCACAAACAATTTGGACATAAACATTTCAGACGAGATGATACTCAAGAATAACGCACATTCCATTCCAGGTGGACCTTTATCGTGAGATAACATTCCGGAACTCCGGGCAGACTTACCGGGGAGTGCCCGTGATGGCGAGCAACATGGACACCGTTGGGACCTTCGAGATGGCCAGGGAACTTTCCAAGGTTAGTGGAGATTCGCAGAATTATATAACAACCAGCGGGCCTGACAGACGGTTGTAAAATTTTTGTGGGGCGAATTGTGAGTCCAAACCATTCTCGAGTCGACCCGAGGACACACAAAAAATTTCATTACAATCGGTCTAGCCGTTTAGGAGGAGTTCTGTGACATACAGAAGAATTATGTATATATATATATATATATAAATATATGTTGTTCGTGGGCGGCGGTGATCACTTTCCATCAGGTGAGCCACCTGATCCAATTTGATGGGCTCATTTAGTCGCGTGAGTTTTTAACGTTTTCGGCAATCATTAGTAATGCTTTCGGCATTGTTTCCTCGAGTGCTCTTGAAATCAATTTAGATGTTTGAACCCGACAATAAGTTAAAATTGAGCGCGCAAGTAAATGTACAGTAACGTCACATATTTCGACAGAACGAGTCTAAACATTGTATATTATATATACTTTATTTAAGTTAAACAACTTAAAGCTCCTTTAAATTTAGTTTAGTTACACCTGTGGGGAATAGCTTTTTCTTTTTAACCGACTTCATTAAAACTGAATTACTTTGAAAGCCGGCCGTAAATCTTTATACATAAAAATTTAGCTTCTGTATGTTCGTGTCCACAAAACTTAAGAACTGGCCGATGGACTGCCTGATTTTTCTTTTTCTGAAAAAAATTTAAACCACAGCCAAGCGTAGCCGGATTCAGGTAGTGTTTCACAGAAATGAATTGGTTTAAGACTTTTATTGCACTTTTGAACATTGCTGAAAAATATTTAAATCAGAGCTGGAAAAAGAAAGCAGATGAGGAGAAGGAGGATGCTAAGCAAAATTAAAGCTAACGGCCGGTTTCAATATTCTATCTACAGATAGTTTTGGTTACTGAAGACAGAATTTTGACGTAAGTATTATGGAGCTGATGTCAAATACCTATCGCTAGTAACAAAATCTATCAGTAGATAGAATTATTGAAACCTGTCGTAAGTCAGCGGTATTAAAATCTCAAGGGCCATGCGTAATGAAAAGTTATTTTAAGTTTGCAAATCTCAGAGCACGCTAATCCCAAAAAATGTAACCAGGACTAAATGTAGTTTCATTGGCTGAAATAATAATACTGTTGATTATATATACCTTTAGATAGACCTTGCGGTCTGCAATATACGCCTACAAATTAAAATAACGGAAGTGTGAAAAAACTTGCTTTATTTGTAATAAATATTATTTAACGTTTAATATATTTAAAATACAACAATTAAAGTATATTGTATATTAAAAATAAAAATGCGGCTAGTAAAAAGACAATGTTTAAAATTATTATAACGTCAAACATCCGTTTACGCAACGTTTGAGTGACGGGGTTAACAGCCGACAGAGTTGAGAATTTTGAGGAATTTAGATTTCTGACAGATTAGAATTGTGAAATTCGAAAAGCGAACTTGACTAAAAAATAATTGTCAACAAAAATTTGCCAATGCTGCTATATATGAAAATAAAGAGCTCAAACGTGCAGAAATACAAAGTAATTAGTTGTGCACGTTTGATTTGAACAATGCTTTAATCTTCAATACTTTGTTAGACTATAACGCTTATTATATAACACCAACATGCTCCCATTAAATTTTATGTGGGGTATGAAACAAATTGCTGTTCATACATTTTCTATAGCAACTTTGCATTGTGGTTCTTAGTAACTCACCAGATAACTATTCCATTGTTTATTATATTGTAACACGTGGTACGTTATCAGTTGTTGTATTAGAAGTCAGGAGGCATTTTAAATCTCTGCTAACGATGACAACATAGTTTTGGCGATGAAATAATTATTTGTATCTTTATCTGTGGATTTTCTTGTCCTCGATAAAATCGCACATCAGACGAAATCCAGCAGATGTATTTTCCATTCCCTTTAATTGAAGTATGTTGTTGCTGTGTTACAAGGAGTAGCGGGACGTCCCCGGCCAACCACATTCATGCAATAGGAGACTTCCGTTACTACAGCTGACAGACTACAAACACATTATACTACAGCTGAACGGAAAGGAGATTTGCAAAAATTGTTATAAATTCTGCTTCGCACACATTGCTAGCAGAACTAAAATCAGCAGTATAACAGAAAATATCAAATTGATTTCCGTTTATTAACCGACTTCAAAAAGGAGGAGGTTTATAATTCGGTTGTATTTTTTATATTATAAATCGATTTGTAAAATTCTTTTGTATTTGGACAGGTGATATTTTCAAGGGGGTCCCATTTTAATTGTTTTGACATTGGATCTTGGATTTCGAAGATAGACAGACTATGGAACTGTAACATGATATATACATAAAATGTAAACGATTGAGATATTTGTATCTCTTCTGTTTTTTTTTAAACTACTTGTTTATCTATCGCTTTTAAGGTAATTTTGAGTTTGCTCTTTTTTTTTTTTAATGATAAAGTACGTCCTGAGTTGCAAGTGAGATATCACTGAATGACAAATGTGTAAAATATGATGCAATGAGATAGAATCTTCATTGCATCATATTTTCACATGTCATTAATCTTATCAAATCGCCTATCATGCGCAATAGGGTATGATCATTGTATTAAACGTACGTGCGTTTAACGTAGATGTTCGGGCGGGAGATACGGTATAACATAAAATTCCATCAGTCTAGACACCTCTCGTAACTATTATCACATTATATAATAGTATATTTATTTATAGTACAAATATATATTTACAGTTGAAAATAAAAGAAATACAACGTGAAAAATGGAAACGTATTTGAATTACATGTACACATCAAATGGGGGTGAAACAAAACTTCACAACGATGAGTTTTATATTTCCTTTCAACCGACGTCAAAAAAGGAGGAGGCTCTCAATCCAACTGTATTTTTTTATGTTTGTTACCTCAGAACTTTCTGTACTGAGTGTACCGGTTTTAATGATTCTTTGATTTCTCATTGAATTCGTTCTTCTATTTGAAAGCTGGTGATTCCCATGTGGTCCCATATTAATTTCATTGGTATTGGATCTTGGGCTCTGGAGATAGATAGAGAACTCCTGAAAATCAATTATAAAATGAATACAGAGCGAGATATTTGAAGTCAGTTTTGTTTTCCGTTAGTAAAAATATTTTATGTAAGAAGATGGCAAGCGAGCTTGCGGTACATCTGATGTTAAGTGATGACCGCCGCCCATGGACATTTGCAGTACCCGTACAGTACAGTTACAGTTAATAAAGTGGGCCCCGGCTACCTTACTTACCAGACCAAACGCAGAAGGATTTTTTTTTTATGCGAAAAGTTGTCAAACGAGCAGACGGTTCACCTGATGTTAAGCGAATACCGCCGCCCATGGACATCTGTTACACCCGAGGGTTACAGATGCGTTGGCAACCTTTGGAAAATTGGGCTCCGGCTACCTCACTCACCAGACGAAACGCGAAAGTATTTGTGATACTTCCACTTTACGCTGGTCTTCTGTGAGGTCGTGGTACTTACCCGGACGGGCCTGCCCATTCGTGCAACAGCCGAGGCTGCTACGTGGCCCTACCACAGTAGTGACGGTATTCTGTGAGGTCGCGGTACTTCCCCGGTCGTAACAGCCTTTACGTGCCACAGCGAAGAATGTAGCATTGTCTTACCTACAGATGTTACGTGGTCCAGTTTTATACGAAAAATATATCAGAAAATAGATCCATCGACTTGTCACAATCTCAGGTCAACGAGTTCACTCAATCTAGTGGGGTGTACTGCACCGCTGCCACTCAAGACCCTTATAAGCCACTGCTGTAACTACACTGTGTTTTGTTCCAGCATGGACTTTTCACCTGCATCCACAAATACTACACTGTGGACGAGTGGAAAAACTTCGCCAACGAACATCCGGAATGCTTGGAACAGATGGGTATGTCTGTAACATGTATGCATACGAGTATAAACAACAAGCTTTCATGTTTTTCGACGCTAAGATAGCTGATTCAGTGCTAGACTTAGCAAGGTGTCACTTGTCGCATTGCGCCTGGTGCATAAAGTGAAAGTAAAGTAAAATTTACTTTATTATACACCTAGAAACATTACAGTATTTATAATTGAGAAAAAAACACACGAGTACAACAGGCGGCCTTATCGCTTAAGCAGCAATCTCTTCCAGGCAACCTTAGGGCAGAGAAATTCATACACTGCATACTTACACTGCAAGGATTTTTGCATGTAGCAACTATGATTTCTTGGGTTGACGTATCCAAAAAGGATAAAAACCCCAAAACAAATTCGGATTAAAAAAAACTATGCTCAGATCGCATGTTCAATGTACTGCTTCTACACTTTGTGGTCCCCACTTTGTTAGTGAATAATAACGCATATTTAAATTTTAAAATGCTTCTCCTTAAATTCAATATAGCCGGTTCAAAATAAAGTTTTTTAATTTATGTACTTTATGACATATCTCGCTTTTCAACCAATACAATACTCCCCTTCCCGCCGGGTTTATGTGAGGTTACGTTACTTTCCCGTACGAGACTGCTTTCACCAAAAATCTAGCACAATTCTCCCAATTTGCACCCTTCAAATCATTACAATTCTACACTTAGCCAATTTTCAAAAGGTTGTCAACGCATATGGAACCCTCGGGTGTACCTGATGTCCATGGGCGGCAATATTCACTTAACATTTTTTACTTTTCACATAAAAAAAAAAACTCTAATATGCAAATAAATATGCAAATGTGCGGTAAGTCGATGGATGCAGGTGGCTCAGGATCGAGCTTCGTGCCAGTCTTTGGGGGAGACCTGTGTTCAGCAGTGGACTCAAACAGTCTGAAATGATGATGATGATGACACACTCTAACCTAAGACACTCGAATATCCGACGTCGCCCCCACAACTGTCGTCAAACAAGAGCTTTGCCGCTACGTTTACGTTTCGTCTGGTGAGTGAGGTGGCCGGAGCCCAATTTTCCAAAGGTTGCCAACGCATCTGTAACCCTCGGGTGTAACAGATGTCCATGGGCGGCGGTATTCACTTAACATCAGGTGAACCGTATGCTCGCTTGGCAACTTTTCACATAAAAAAAAACCTTCCTGTTGCCAACCCCCCAGCCGCCAGCTCGGGCACCGCCGAGGCGGACTTCGACCGCCTCTCGGAGATCCTCAACAGCGTCAAGGAGCTGAAGTTCGTCTGCCTGGACGTCGCCAACGGCTACTCGCAGCACTTCGTCGAGTACGTGCGCAGGGTCCGCGCCGGCTTCCCGACGCACACGATCATCGTGAGTGTTCACTGGAGTGGACCGGTTCTTCTTGTATCTTGTATTGACTGATGTTTTTGCTTTCAGTCCCGAGACTATAAAAGCTTCATCTGACGCAGAACCGGTGGGCCAGCCAGAATCCACGGGTTTGGCCCTCCGCTGTGGGTAGGGCCACGCATGTGCTCATGCGTGCGTTTAACTATGGTGTGTCATCTAAGGGCCATCGAGGTCGCGATTCGGTCCGAAACCCCGATGGCCGTCGACTGTGCAATTAGCTAATAACTGGTTCTTAAATCACTAGAGCGAGTACTGGCTCTTTTTACTTTATAGAAAGCGAACAAGCAAGTCGCCAATCGAATGAGGCGAAAGTTGGTGACAATAATTGAAATTGACCAGTATATAGTAGTGCCGGTGCCTGACTTTCTTGATACGTACTGTTGATTTTGTAACATTTTTTCGTAACCTCGGTCAGTGGAGTTTGTAACCTCGGTCAGTAAGCGATCAATTGAATTAATCAGTACCTAGAGGGCGCCTTAGACTTGCGTCGATACGTCCTGAAGAATTTGTAAGGTTTTTTTTTGATAAGCGATCACCTCTCTTATTCGTTCAATAGGATTGCAGGTACACAAGAGTTTGTCTTCCAAAGCTAGATTAAAGTCGGTTTGGATTCGTATCGAACTTCAATTATGATGTGTTTAGTTTTGCGATTATTACAAATTTTACGTCCGCAAATTCACAGTAAGAGCTCAATATTTACAGTAAGAGCAACCAAGCTCGAAATACACGATCTACAAAATTTCCTGTTTAAATAGATAGATATGTATACAGTGAAAGTTAGTAAGTAATTCATAATAAATCTATAAAAATTGATATACATACATTCTTTGTTTTGTATATTGTAATATTACCTCCTTGGCAAAATAAGATTATTCTGGCATCTGCGGGCCATATACATGTTACGTGACACGCCTTGCCGGTCCTTCAAAAGCTGGTTTTCTCCATTTCAGGCCGGCAACGTGGTGACGGGAGAAATGGTCGAAGAGCTCATATTATCAGGAGCCGACATAATTAAGGTAAGAATAAATATTTTAGGGATAATTTTAAAATGCTCATTAGCTATGTTTATTTCATAACTTACCTGACGATCCTGTACGTAGAGCGAAAGAGACAAAAGAACCCTCACGTACCTACCCAAAACATTTGCAGGAATGGTTTCGACTTAATGTGAGGAACAAACCAAGGATAATAGTATGAGAGATAGCAACGGCAGGAAAAGTGAAAAGGTTTGTCAGCCCGATATATGGATATTGAAAATGTCTCTTGTGTCGCAGACAAAAAGTTGTGAAGAAAAATGGGTTGTCAGGGAACTAGCAACAACTAGGCTGAAGACCGTCGTGAAGTGGACGTTATATACTTCCACTAAACACGTTCCGGGGCGCACATTTTTAATGGTTAACAACGCCTCTGCAAACCTTCTGGTGTTGTAAATGTATATACATGACAATGGTCCAATGATATTATATACAATTACGATATATATATGACACTAGGGCAGAGAAACTGAGGCACTCAAATTACCCCAAAGTAATTAGCAATTATGTAGACTGCTATCTCCATTCGTATCATACGTTCTACATCATCTGTGACATTCACTTATATTTGTCATATAATTTAAAGCGGAACGATTTTTGCACGCCGCGCAGTATGGACGTGCGTCATCTAAATTAGTAAAAATCATTTACAATGGTCCCTGATTTGCATCATTGGAAGTTCGACGCTGGTAATGGACGGGTATTCCAGGTGGGCATAGGGCCGGGTTCCGTTTGCACCACGCGGATCAAGACTGGGGTGGGCTACCCGCAGCTGTCGGCCGTCATCGAGTGCGCGGACGCCGCCCATGGCCTCAAGGGCCACATAATATCCGTGAGTTACGAATTGCCACCACAGATAATGAACTGCTACACTTTTCTACACAACTCCCACACAGTCTCTACAGTGGTCGAAATTCCACAATCAACATGATGGTCTTCTGAATAGTTTTCGAGGCTACGTCGAAGTTGGGAAAAATTCAGTTTTAGAAATTTGATTAATTTTAATTTCAGTGTTAGGCTTTGCACTTGAGGTGAAACTTAAAATATGGATTTTTTTTTTTTTGAGAAAAATTCTCGAAAATTTTTTTCGACGTTTCGGAATTCGAACTCGCGTCTCCCGGGTAACGTCGGCAGTTAAGTTGAGCGGCTTGAGGTGAACTTTATTACATTCTTGCCAAAGTTATTCTTGTCGAATAATGGTAAAAAAAAAAAAAAAAAAAAAAAAACAACGCTGACATTTCTTCGACCCTTTCGTTTCCGAACCGGTGGTAGCGTTTTGACGATCAACCAGCAATCGCACCTTCTACAACGAGTATGGACACTCGAATGCATCGTTGAATCGCCCGCGGCCAGGACGGCGGCTGCGCCTGTCCCGGCGACGTGGCCAAGGCGTTCGGCGCCGGGGCCGACTTCGTGATGGCCGGCGGCATGTTCGCCGGCCACGAGCAGTGCGCCGGCGAGGTGGTGGCCAAGCCGGACGGCAGCAAGGTGAAGCTGTTCTACGGGATGTCCTCGTCGACGGCGATGCTGAAGCACTCGGGCGGCGTGGCCGAGTACAGGTCGTCGGAAGGTGCGTAGCACAAAAAATCATTCACTCTTCGACCTAAGGAAATCGTTATCTATCCTTGTGTTTTTTTTTTTATGTGAAAACTAGCCAAGCGAGCGGGCGGTCCGCCTGATGTTAAGTGAACACCGCCGCCCGTGGACATCTGCTACACCCGAGCGTTGCAGATGCGTTGACGGCATCATGAAAGTTGGGTCCCGCTCACTCACCAGGCGAAACGCGAAAGTGTTATACTTCCACTTTACGCCGTAGTACTTACCCGGACGAGCCTGCACATTCGTGCAACAGCCGAGGCTGCTGCGTGGCCCTACCACAGTTCTACTCTGTGTAATAAATAGTTTATAATTCTTCTCATGTATTTATTCATATGTATTATGCAACTATATGTTTATGTATGTTTATTATATATTAGTTTATTTCGGTATTTTCAAGTAAGTTTAAGCACACCACCTCCTACTATTCATTAGTGTAATGTATCTCGTCCTAATAGATCGCTCTTTAGAAATAAGACCGCTTTATTGTACCTGACTTTTAAGATATATTAAATGTATTGAATTCTTTGTGGTAAAAATATATTTTTTAAATGAATGCTTCTGTCGAGGTGATTGTCACTTGTGAACCGGAAGTTGACCTAGAATTGTCATTTTTGGTTAAACGCTGTATACTAAAGTATCATTAGAATACGAAGTGAATTTCGCGCTCAGGAGGTAAATCGGGCGTCCCGAAACCAGAACACCCCGGTTCGAATCCAGATGATTTTTTCTTTTTTTCTTACCTTTTTTTTCAAGTTCCTTGTTTTCTGCCGGTCATCCAGGTCCTACCTTCCGTATATAGCTCATCTATGCAGAAGCTCTTTAGAATTGAAAATCGAGGGATTGCACGACGGTTCCACTTTCCAGGTAAAACCGTGGAGGTGGAGTACAGGGGCGACGTGGCGGTTACCGTGAAGGACATCCTCGGCGGGCTCAGGTCCGCTTGCACGTACGTGGGCGCGGCGAGGCTCCGCGAGCTGCCGCGCAGGGCCACCTTCATCCGCTGCTGCAGGCAGGTCAACGACACCTTCTCGTAAGCTATGCCCGCCTGGTACTTCTGGGCACTTCCCACGGCTGCCTGTTACAATTGCACTAGGTTTTTTTTTTTTCTCCGTTTCTGGCATTTTTATTATTTATGCCAATGAAATATAAACAATTGCACAAGTTAATGTAGTTCTCGTAAACTATGCCCGCCTGGTACTTCTGGGCACTTCCCACGGCTGCCTGTTACAATTGCACTAGGTTTTTTTTTTTCTCCGTTTCTGGCATTTTTATTATTTATGCCAATGAAATATAAACAATTGCACAAGTTAATGTAGTTCTCGTAAACTATGCCCGCCTGGTACATCTGGGCACTTCCCACGGCTGCCTGTTATAATAATTGCACTAGGTTTTTTTTTCTCCGTTTCTGGCATTTTTATTATTTATGCCAATGAAATATAAACCAATTGCACAAGTTAATGTAGTTCTCGTAAACTATGCCCGCCTGGTACATCTGGGCTTTCCCGACGGCAGCCAAATAAATAAATTGAATAAGTTTTTTCCCGTTTCTGGCATTTTCCCTTAATGCCTGCCGGAAGACAAGTAAAAATTTAACAAGTTATATAATTCTTGTAAACTATGCCCGCCTGGTACCTCTGGGTTTTCCCGATGGCTGCCTATTATATATTGCAAAAGTTTTTTTCTCCGTTTCTGGCATTTCGTGCCTTCTTTATTGCCAATGACGACTAAACATTGCACTAGTCAATATAGTTTTCTCATAAACTATGCCCGCCTGGTACCTCTGGGCTTTCCCGACGGCAGCCTGTCATAATTGCACAAGTTTTTTTCGCTCTGTCCATTTTGTTTCTTTATGTCAATGAAAAATCAAAAAAGTGCACAAGTTGATGTAATATGCTAGCACTAAACGTCTGTTAGTTGACGACAATTAATTACTCGTTGGGAATCTCTTGGGCTATGCCAGCCTGGTACTTTTTTTTAGATTCTCTCAAAAGCAGAATGTTTTTGATTTATGCGAGACATCCAGCTGAAGGCAATCTAGCTAGTTAATTAAACTTACATTTTTAGATTCTATCAAAAGCAGCCTGTAAATCCTCGATAGATTCTTTATTATGATTGATACTTTTGCAACATGCCATCGCTTAGTTGACGGCAATTAAGTGTTTGTTGGAAATTTCTTGAATTATGATATACCTGGTACTTTTTTAGATTCTTTTAAGAGCAACAAAGGCAACTTGTCCATAATTTAATTGACTATTGATTTATGCGCGTCTGGTACTTATGGAAGCAGTCCCATAGCTGACGGCGATTACTTATTATTTAGGTCGAGTCTCTTGTGGTTCTAGCTTTCATTTTTAGGTTCTTTCCAAAGCAGCTTGTTAGATATTGAATAACTTTATACAGCGTGTCGTTACCATCGCGACAATAAATGAACACACGTCTATCGCTACTTGCCAATAATCATAAAAAAAATATTAACGTTAAGCAAAATCCATAATTAAAAAAAAAATATTTTTCAAACAAACTAATTAAGTAAAAAAGAAACAAAATTTGTAACATCCTATACAACTCGCGCACAGCGTCATATTACAAGCCTCTCCTTCTAACAGTATGTTTTGTCTCTTTTAAATTCATTCAACCCATTCATATGCTTTGTGACCTTTACAAATGAACTTTACGTTACGCTTTTATAGGTAAGGATGTTCTAAAATTCTTTGTTTTGAAAAATTTTATAACTCTGTAAATATTGATGTTTTAAGAATTTAAATGTTTAATACAACTTTAAAAAGTTATCCCCTATATGTGTGTTCATTTATTGTCGCGATGGTAACGAAACGCTGTATATGCTATCCTGAATTAATTTTGAATACAGTATACAATTGAGTACTCTTTGGGAATCTCCTTGGTTTATGTTAGCCTGGTATTTTTGACGATTCGATTGCTTCAATGACGGTTATTGTCTGACGGTCCTCGAGATTTATTGACTGCATTGATATATTCATGACGATATTTTTATACGCGTTGATGAATGAATTTATTAATTGTTCGGTACTTTCATTAACCTTGTTTTTTTTTTTTTTTAATTTTCTGATTTATACCATTTAAATAATGATTTGTATATTAATGTTCAAGGATTGTAAGCTTTCTTTCTTACAACCTGTTACATATTTTTTCACAAATCGATACTTGCTTCTGTTAAATTAGATCTAGAGTAAAGCTTCATTTAAAGGAGACAATCAGCTAATTTTGTTTTTGTCGGATTTTATTGTTTGGGCTTGATTTGATTTTGTATGATTGTATGATCTGTGACTATTTCTCTACGATAGTGACTGTTCTTTTTGAGGCTACAAGTAGGCTTTTGAGATAAATGGGGCAGAAATTTTCTTTACTTTATTAAATCGTAAGATTATTATGCGGATATTTATGACATGGTGAATTTATTTGATCTTTTTAATTATTTTTACATTATTGTGATGTCATAGTGACGATCTCAATTGATTTCAATTTTAAGATTGTTACTAAATGAAAATAGCTTCTAATCGAAGTCACAAAACTCAAACAAGATTCATTAAAAGAGTAAAATTTTAATGAGTACGTCGATGATGACTCAGTACATAAACTGTTCTATAAAATCAGAATTAAATCATACATATATAATAAATAGATTTTTAGGATAGAATAGCCTAATATTTTCAATAGATACACGTACATTTCAAGATGTCATTTGGATGAATGCGTTTATAATAAATAATTATAACAGATAACATAAAACAAGTAGAATGGACTGGAATAGCAAATGTTGAATATTGTTAATGCTTGCCTTACGCAGTGTTAATTCGCTGGTGCTAAATTTTTCATTGCAAAAATGCAATGATGAAATTTTTAAACCGCATCGTAGATATTTATAGGTTACTATGTAAGTTGTTAAATGGCTAAAAGACGTCCGTAATAACTTTACACAATCACAGTTACAGTGATGCATTTCACATAAACACGTTCATCGAATAACCTTTTATTGTATTAACATTTTCTATATTCTCCAAAACGTAAATAAACTTAATAGAAATTGTTTTATTTTTAAACGTAAATAAACTTAATAGAAATTGTTCTAAATCTATGTTAAATTTTATATTTTTCCTATTTGATTGGGAATTTTGTTTTATCAAACCGCTAGTTTCAGGGCCCTAGATCAATAATAGTATGAATGACATTCAAACCTTTGCATAAACACACCTGAAATTAGTATGCGAGTCTTGATCGTCTTACGTTATGTTGGGTTCGGCTAGAGTCGAATAACATTCCAGCTCAACACTAGGCTACTAAGGTGACGACAAAACTGGATTATATTGTATGATGTGTATGAGTTTCCATGTACCGGTTAATGTTCGACAAAGCGCATCACTTTTGCAGTATATCTAAGAGTTTCGCCTTTTAAAAACTTATCGAAGGATATTATAGTGTAGGTGTAAAAGTATTTACAATCACCAATATTGACAGCTACATCTCTATTGCCTTATTAGCGGTAATATTTTAAAATTTCGTTGCAATTATTATATTTTCTCTTGTCTTATGAAAAAATAGTTAATAAAGATATGAATTCGTCTATTAGTGAGAGGTGCTAAATTGTTTTACCAAATTTATTCATTCAATTACTTTGGCTATTACAAAAACATGATTATATTTAAATTGTTTATATATTTCAACAAAGTAAATTACAATTTTGTATTACTATCGGGTGATTTTAATGCTATTGTTATTTAATTTATTTTCATAATTTTATGCGCACAAAGGCATGTTGACGGCACAAATTATTTTTTTACACAAAAATGTTTTAAAACCCTTCTGATATTTCTTAGGCATTAAGTTATTGCATTGTTATTATTATTTTATTTAAGTGATAGGAATATTTTAAGTGAAATGTTTTAGAATGTTATAAAAAATTAAAATGTGATCTATGGACAAATGAGTTTTATTTGTAATGCATCCTAACCTAACCATCTTTCTTTTTTTTATGTGAAAAGATGGCAAGCTTGCTATCGTTTCAACTTATATTAAGTAATAATCGCCGCCGATGGACATTTGCAACACCTGTAGGGTTGCAGATGCGTTGTCACCTTTTGATAAAGTGCGCCCTGGTCACTCACTCACCAGACGAAACGACAGCATAGAAAAAAATTACTTTCGATAGTTAAAAAATATGAGCGAACGGGACGGAACGATAAGAAACTCAAATTCAAAGCTCATTCTTAAATGAAACGTACTACAGTTTAAAATAAAAGTATCCAGTTGTCATCGATTTTATTGTTTCACAACAGTCGAGATTATTAAAGATAAATAGTCAATGCGATGCACGCTCTAATAATTAACAATACTTGACAACCAAGCGAAATGCGCTAAAATAGATTATCAAATCGTGAATTTAACCTAGTGGAAACCTTTTTGGTGCACTAATATGCATTTAAAATTATCTTTCACTTTGTAACAAAATTACTGTGTTTATGTCTTTTATGTGTTTTTACGTTTATGAACCAAATAAACATTTTTCTTTCTTTCTTTCTTCTTTCAAATCCACGTCACCAGCCGCCACCGCGACGTGTCCTGCAATCGTTCGTAGTGCACAGGGCGTTACCGTTGTCCAGGCAGAAGCAGACGTTGCATTCCAACTTGTAGGACATGCCTTTCGGACAGGGCTCAGGGTGCTTGGCCCTCACCGGCACCAGATCGATGGTTACAGGGTCGGCGTTGCACGGGCGGGTGGTACATTTCACCACTTTGCCGTTGGCGAGGCACTGGCAGATGTTGCAGTCCTTGTTGTAGATGTGGAGCGGCTGGCAAAAGCCGTGCGACAGCTCCGAGGCTTTCACATCGGACGCACCGCATCTCCGGTCGACGATGCAGGTCTCCCTCTTGGCGTCGTCGATATCGCAGCGGCAGATCAGGCAGCTGGCCTCGTACACCGTGCCGTTGACGCAGTCGTTCTGTATCCAGTCTATAGCGCTTCCAGCAGTGCATTGCCTCAGAGTACACGTGTAAACTGTCCTGCCGCTTTGCTCGGAGCAGTGGCACTTGTTGCAGCCTTTGTTGTAGCTCGTTCCGGGCCTGCACTCGTGGTCGACGACCGGCGCCACGCTGTCCTCGAACTGATCATCCTCCATATCGATGAGATTCAACGCGTAACGGCTTAAGCATTTCCTCGCCGTGCAGTACAAGAAAGAGCTCTCGTCGCAGAAGCATTGATTGCAGCCGACGCTGAACACCTCGCCCACCTCGTGTTCGCTGCAAATCGTCCGGTTCGATTCCGGCTCATCTTTCCTCCTATCGGACGTGCAGTTGCCGCATAGGAGCCTGTTGTTCCTCAAGCACGAGCAGGTCTGACATCCCATCGAGTACTTCTTGCTAGTGTCGCAAGTGGCGTACACCTCCACGTCGTCGCTTTCCTCGGCCTCTATCACCCGGTTACCTTTGGTCGCGTTTAAGACGGGATCGTCGTCGAGGCACGACAGTTTAGTGCACAGCTCCCCGTCCAAACGACCCGTGGAGGGGCAAAAGCAGACGTTGCAGCCGACCAGGTAGAGCTTGGTCGGCTCGCACTTTTGCGACATCCCTATGCCCCGAGTGACCTCAACGGAATGCAGGATCCTGAATATGTCCCTGCAGACCGGGTTGGGCCAGTAGCCGTCCTCGTTGCACACGCAGAGCACCGACCCCCGCCGGTAGTGGACCCCTGGGGCGCAGGCGGAGTCGGTCGTTCGCCAAACGCCCTTGCCTTCCATCCCTACGTCTATTTCTCTTATTGCATCTGTTAAAATTATATCGAAATTATTAAAGTAGCTTAACACCTTAACAATGCTTGAAATACGTATATGACGACAAGCTATCCTCTGTCTTTGTATCTTTCAAAGCTCGGAGAAACGTGAATACCATTAACTATCATAGTCTGATTGGTTAAAGATAAAAGACACCATAGCTTGTTGATGCTCCTGTGCTGTAGGTTAAGAGAAGATGTGAAGTTGTAATGTAAATTCATCGATGGATGAATCAATAATGGCCGACAAAGCAGAATTTTTAGTTCAAATTTATTCAGCGAGGCAGGGTAGGAAGAGCCGATCAGCAGGAATTGCGTTGCAGTTAGGAATGGGCACTTTTCTTGAAGGACCTTAAGTCGCAACCGTCCAGAAATACACTCCGCAAAGAAGCTTTGCTCAGCAGAAAACTAAGGAAGAGTAGTATACACAAATATTGATATGGAAGTGGCGTGGTGATTTAAATATGGAATTACTTCTATTTTTTTTTTTTATTTAACAGATATGTGTGTTTATGTATCTATATGATTAACAGCAATCCATACGCCAACGTTTACTTACCATTGAAGTGGCCAAACATATCGACCTTGCTACAAACTCTGGCATGGCACTTGTACTGATAGCTGCTATCGCACCAGCACCAGTTGCAATCGTTGAGAACATGCGAATTCCTTTTGCAGCGCTCATTCCAAAGCTTGGAAGGTACCGCTGCGGAATCAAATGTTTCTTTAAAACTGAACTGTTTTCTTAAAAATAGATGTGGTCTATATTTACGCGTCTAGCTTGAGATATCATTCATCATCGAATCCAGAAGAGGCCTGTGTCCAGACAGAACATGTAACAAAATTTTCCAAGTCTCTTATGGGTAGGCGAATGCAGTGTACAAGAATTTATTAAATTGCGTTTATTTTTTTTCAATCCATTAGCCGTGTTCATGGACTGTTTTAAAAGTCTGTTCTTAAACTTCATGGATGTAATTATGATACACTTATCTATGATCTAACTTAAAATTGAGATTCCGATAAAGCTGAATAGAAGAATACTCACGCTGCTCATAATCGAACGCAAATGAATGTAAAACTGTCAATTGTAATGCGATCAAAAGTCTTAAATCCATCGTAGGAATCTCCCGGTGCATTTATTCGTTAAATGATTGCGATATCACGAATGGATTACCACGGCGCGGTTAAATGATTTTCCGACATTGATTGCTAATTACTGCGACGCAATTCGAAGCAATTAAAGTGAATAATGGTGGCATTCGATACACGATTAGTGGTGCCGCGTGCACGGGTAATTAGACGTCATTAGGTCTTGCGTCTTCAAATCCTGATTGCGAGACAGTGCTGACACATCATCATCCATATGCCATCCATGCCCTTAAGCCGGACGCGAATGTGAGAGCAGTGTGATTTGGCACGTAAAAACCGGTAAAAAGTAAATGAGTACAACGGACCGCCGTTGTATAAGCTGGTGCATAACAAAACTAAAGAATTATAATTACGTTACATAAACATCGAATTGGTAGGCGTGTATACTCTATATCGAAGCGTGACATTTTATTATATAAAGAGAACCCAGGCGAAGTTCCGAGGCTAGATGTAGGGCTGGTTAGTTCTAACCGCTCGTGAACAGTCATATAAACAGGAATGTGTCAAACTTTACACATGTCCATTCCTGCCTAGATATCTGCGGTATCGTGTCTGCAAAATTATGCATAGATCTTTGTATATATTTACCATAACAAAATTCAGCAAGAATCCAGAAGAATCCAGAAGAAATAAAAGATTTGTATAAAAACAAAAGAGTTGAGATCTACCGCACGCTTTATTAGATTTTTTAGAGTAAGTGATACAATATTTTACACGGAATAATTTTAAAGAAATCCCACACAGAAAGACAACAAAATATCAGGAATCTAGCATCGTCGTACTTAGCTCTATTGATTTTATTTAGCGTAGAATTTATATTGTAAGTTAAAACTTTATTATTCCGTAGATATTTAGGTATATACAATGTCAAAATAACAAACTAAACTACAAAATGATCAAGGTATTTTATGTAATCTTCGTCAAATGTTACCGTGTTTATTATAAGCACAGTTTTTTTGTACATAACAATTTACCGTTCCTCATGCAGAAACAGGTGTTACATTCTACGGCCATTTTGGTTCCTGGCTCGCAAGTGCCCTTTGAATCCAATGATACCATTTTCCTTAAGCTGTGTTTTCGGGAACCGAGATTCAGTACTTTCAATATATTCGCAACATTTAGACCAAAATATGGCTTGTTTTCTTGTTCAATTTTTTCTTGCATCCAATCGTTTTTAGCAGACAGGTTGTCACCATCATCATCTAGTTGATCGGGATAGAATATTGTAGGTTTAACAGTTACCTTAGGTTCTTCCTCATTAGAATTGCTCTCATTATTCAAATCGATGTTGACCACCTTATTGGATTCTTTTGAAACAGGTTTGTCATCGACTTGGAATGACATTTGAGTTATTAATTCATCTTTCCTCGTCTTTTCATCGTCTGTTTCCTTATCAGAATTATTTTCAGCCTCACTTGTATCTTCTTCCTGGTTTACTATATACTTGGACCTTTTTTCGTTTGAATTAGAGTCCTCTTGCTGTTCATCGCTATTTTTTAATGTAATTCCAGGCTGTGTTTTGGCGACGTGTCTATCTTTATCCAATTTAAGCATTTGCCCAGCGGTCGGGATCAAATCGACGGACTCTTTCAAGAACATTTTTCCGCATACTGTGAAATTATACTTGCCGAAGTACTTTGTCTTCAGTTGATTTTTGGCCGGGCTACACACTAGCTTATTTTTACTCACGCAGAAGCAAAGCTGGCACGGGGCAAAAGAGTACCAAACGTTGAGAGTGCATTTCCCTGTAACCGATTCGATGGATTTACGGCTATTGCGATTGCTTGGACCACTGTTCCTCTCACACACGTGTTTGGTGCATTTGCCGTAATTCAATGCACCCCACTTGTCACATTTGCAAACATTACAGTGGACTTTGACGTAGGTATTCGGTTCGCATTCGCGTGGAAGACTTTTGTATATTTCCCCGAAATGTGTAGAGCACCTTTTATTAGGCCATTCTCCGTCTCGTGTGCAAACGCAAGTTTCAAAATCGTGCTCGTATGTCAAGTTTGGCTGACACGATAACGCCCTCTTTTCTATTTTGTTGAACCTTGATTTTTCTTTGCCAACTAAAAGTGAATATTAGAGTTATTTTATTAAAGCTGAAATGTACACGAGATAATGCAAACGATGAGACGAGTTCAAAAATATTTCCTTATTTGTTAAATTTTGAATACAATTTAATTATATTGAAAGTTAAATTTGAAAATTATGTTTTTTCATGCTTAATTTAAATAATATTTAAAAATTATTACGTGCAAATTGTTCTAATCCAGCAGTACCAAGTAGCATTATTGTGAAAATATTATTTAAATGCTTCATATTTCAGGTATAGCCCGATTTTCTTTTGAAACAGCCAAACGATCTGAACACATAATTGGATCAAGTTTAATTATGTTCAAAAAACTTAACGACGCATCAAATCTTAAACAATAGTTGATTAGATCGTGCGAATCTACATGTGTTCTGTTTAGAAGTATAACTTGATATGAATAATTATTTCTTGGAAAAAGCTTGTGTTTTAAAATCACAAAAAAGTTTGTCAATAAATCGTTTTTTTACCTAAGCAGATGACGCACGTGGCAATTTCATTAAGCTACTTTGATATTACCAAGATTCTTGTAGTTATAGGCTTTGATATTATGTAAAAATATGAGGTAGAAATGATAGCGCACCGAAACCCAAACACCCAAATGTCGCCAATTTGTATAATTAATTTGTAGCAGCATAAGACCGTGAAACGGACGGATTTGCTATTATATTCTTATATTGCTATCTCTTTCCGTATCATTTGTTCTATATTATCTGCCTAATTCACGTCGGAACAATTTTTACATATTATAATTATGTTATATAATGTAATGGGGCTCAATTTTTAAACGCCGCGCAGTATGGAGTATGGTCATGCGTCAACTCTTATAAGTGAAAGACTTGTACAAAAAGTTTTTGAAACTGGCCACATACATAATATAAAAAAATAAAAAGCAAAAAATATCGCAACTCTGTGATGGGAGTGAAATGATAACACACTCTGGTAATGAATTGATCACTCCAGGCTCTTTCAATCAGAGTTCTTATATTGTATTTGTAATGAATTCATGTCAAACTGTTTATGAAAAAAAAAAGAAAGCCCGCTGAGTTTCTTTCGCCGGTTTTTCAGTACAGTGGCTTTCTTTTCCGAACCGGTGGTAGTATTTTGACTATCAATAAGCGAGCGTAATACGTAATACTTCTATGTTGAATAAAGACATTTATTTGATTTAGATTTAGAACAAGACATCATCCGTGCTAATGTACGTGATGTGGTCGACGGGGTCGATCTGCTTTCCATATAATATAAACACTGCAGATGTTTCCGGAGTTTCTGAATTTATCCATGACTGTAAAGGACTGTTTTGAAATAATTTGGGCTGTTGGTAGGGCTGCCAATCATACTTCATTTGTATAAAATAAGTGAAGGAATAGTTCCAGTCCCTGGAAAACGAATAAATAAGTTGAATAAAGCGTTTGATCGATTTTAAATATATAGATTTGATTTTTTTTTATGTCCGATAGTGGCAAACGAGCTGGCTTTTTACTTGATGAAAAGTGACCGCCAATGAGCATTTGCAAGACCCGTAGCGTTGCCTTTACATTTAACTTTAAACAAAGTGTTCCCCGGCTACCTCACCAGACGAAACGCAGAAGTGTAACACCTCTACTTTTCACAGGCGTTCTGTGAGGTTGTTGTACTTACCCGGACCGACATTTAAATATACAGTTTTATAGAATACATGTTACATCGATAGCCAACAGAGAATTGTACCAATGGAAAGATAACGTACAAATCGTAGTAGAGGTGGTGTGATTGAGTTTATGTTTTGGGAGCCGGCAGGAGGGAATAATTAAAATGCAGTACAAAGAACAAGCCGTGTTGAGAAAAACATCATCTTTTTATTGTCACTCGTTGCTATAGAAATTTGTCAATAATAGGGTAATGCTAGACCGATGAGAGTAAGGGTGTAAAAGATAAGAGCGGTGCTACACAGTAGCAAATGAGTCGCCACATCACCCCCCTACGGAGAAAAATAAGTACACATTGAAGGCAAAACAAGTATAAAATGTAACAATCAAATAATTATACACTGTTATTATAAAAGTACAAGCAACATTATTTAGGATAATTTTTAACTAATGGAATTTTAATTTATACAACGAAAAAATAAACATTGGAAACTTAAAATTGAAAAAAACTCTGCTTTAACAAAAATAACGTATTAAAAACTAGTACTTATAAATCTAAAATATCTTTAAATTTAACTTTGCGACCTGACCGGGTTGTTACAGGCTGTGCGGGCGTTTTAATGGGCACGGCCGTTTGGCTAATAGGAGGTGAAAGAGTCGGAAGGACTGGGGGCTCCGGTGCCAAGTTGTTAGGGGACGGATTGCCGTCTGGGTCAGGTGCAATATACGCAGGTTTTGTTCTGTCGATGCTAACCTCAAATCTTCGGCCAGAAATGTCTAAGGTAAGTGTCTTTTCAGATCTCTTCAACACTCTGTAGGGGCCTGTATAAGGTGGCTGTAGAGGGCGTCGAACGGAATCTTCGCGGAGGAACACGTGAGTAGCATCAGGTAAGTCCTTGAAAACGAAAGTTTTAGAATTCGTGTGACGTGATGCTGGAACGGGGCGAAGTTCTGCCATCCGTTTTCGCAACTGTGCAACAAAATCATCGTCCACGGTCAGAGGGGAATTGCTAGCCACCAGGAACTCGCCTGGTAGGCGTAGCGGTTCCCCATACAAAACTTCTGCAGCTGACGTTTTGATGTCATTTTTTAGTGCCGCCCTGATTCCGAGAAGAACGAAAGGTAGGGCATGGTACCAAGAACTCTCGTGACACATTAAAGCGGCCTTTAAATGGCGGTGGAAACGCTCTATCATCCCATTAGCTTGGGGATGATAGCTCGTAGTACGAACGCGTTTTGTGGCTCCTAAATCCATCAGTCTGTTGAAAAGTTGGGACTCAAATTGACGTCCCTGGTCCGTTGTGACAGTGATCGGTACACCAAAGCGAGCGATCCAGCCATGGGTGAATTGATCAGCGACTTCTACTGCGGTTATCGACGACATGGGCCAAACTTCGGGCCAGCGTGAGAAACGGTCTACTGCTGTTAGGCAATAAGTGAATCCGTTTGAAGAAGACATCGGTCCAATAATGTCCAGGTGAACATGACGGAATCTGCCTGAAGGTGTGCTAATGTTGCCAAGCGGTGAAACGACATGGCGCGTTACCTTGCTGCTCTGGCAGGCGAGACACTCGCGTGCTCGGGAGCGGCAGTCTTTTGCAATGCCTGGCCAAACATAGCGGTCGCTAATGAGGCGCGCGGAAGCGCGTGCGCCGGGGTGGCTGAGACCATGTAGGCGATCGAAGACGGCTCGCCGATATTGTTTTGGCAAAAAGGGTCTAGGTTTGCCTGTTGACACATCACACAAAACGGAAATGTTGGATCCAGGTATGAGGGTTGGCTCTAACTGTAAAGAAGAATGGACCTTTACGGTTTTAAGATCGTCGTCCGTCTGCTGAGCTTTTGCCAGAACTGCGAAATCGTCATCGAGCGTGATAGCCTCAATGCGGGACATTGTGTCAGCAACGATGTTGTCTTCCCCCTTCACATGTTTGATATCAGTTGTAAACTGGGAAATAAACGTGAGTTGGTTAAGTTGAGCAGTGCTGTGTTTTATTTGACGGTCAGCTGTAGGTGGGCGCGTCACTTCCGGAAAGTCTAAAAAGAGTTGATTGAACAGGGAATCGCGAGACGGTTTTTTTACGGTCCTAATACTTGGCTGCATTATATTGCGGTTACAGCAATATGCGGATAAGTTTGTAAGCTCATCGCGCAGTGTGCCGCTACGGCAGTCGGGTAGGAGGTGGAAGAAAGCTAGGAAATCCGAACCGATAATTGGGACATCCACGTCAGCACAAATAAACTCCCAGCGAAATTCACGGCGCAGTCCTAAATTGAGGTTCAGATTAACTGTGCCGTAAGTTTTAATGGAGCTGCCATTTGCCGCATTGAGAGTAAGTCCTGTATTTGAGAAACGTCCTTTTATAAGTTTTCGTGGAAAACAACAAATGTCCGAACCGGTATCTATCAAAAAATTAATTTTGTTATTTTGATCGGTAATAAAAAAGCGTTTGCTGGACTGTGCGCGGTCGGTACTTGCCACGTCCGACCGCTCCCTTAGTTTAAAGGTTTGGTAGCTCCTTCAATGGTCCAGCTGCATCCTGGTATGCATTTGCTTGCTTTGTTGCCGAAACGATGGTACCAGCAAAGCTTCTGATTACGTGGGCGTGAGCGCGATCGAGAGCGGCTCCGCTTTTGATTAACGCGTGAGCTCCCAGATCGTTCATGGGTGTTTGTTCTGAGCGCTGAGACTGTTCGCGTCAATTCCTCGATCTGCCGCTGCATTGACGCGAGAGTGGGCTCAAAGGTATGATGCGCCGAAACCTGGCTCACGGTGGTAGGCCTCTCGGTCAACTCCACCAACTGGTCGGCCATCTCCGCCAACTCCGTCAAGTCCTGGATCTTCTGTGCGGCCAACACAATTTGAACCTGCCGGGGAAGCCGATTGGCCCAAATTGATCGCAGCAAGTCAGCGGGGAACGATTGCCCAGCCAGACTCTTCAAGTGTCGCATGAACGAAGATGGCTTGGGGTCACCTAACTGTTCCTTTTCTAGTAAGCGCCGCACCTTCTCCTCGAAGGAATCGGAGAATCTAGATATGATTGCGCTTTTTAAAGTTGTGTATGGTTGCAACTCGGGAGGATGTGTGATAATATCTTCGACCTCCTTCGTACACTCGGTATCTAAATGCGCCACGGCGAAACTTCGTCATTTCGACGGTAATTTGGTTAATGTGGAACTGCGCCTCTAGGCTAGCAAACCACAATGCGGGCCGACCCTTGCTAAAAGGCGGGGTCCTAATTGCGACCCTGTTTACGCAAATGGGACTGCCACCGACTAGTGCAGTAGCATCACCCTCGTTGCCAACGTGGCCCTCTGAAACGTTAGATTCTTCTTGACTCGCCATGGTTTAAAGGTAAAATCAGAAACGGTCAAATCGCAAAAACGCTTTACACATACACGCAGTGGAACAAATCAGTAAATACACAAACGAAACAATTTCAGTATTGCGCAGCAAACGTAATAATAAAATTGGTAGAAAAGTAAAGTAAGTCTAAATACAACATAAAATGATACTATCTTAAGTGTAAAATAGCACTAAACTTTCACTTGAACGAGTGTAAACGCAGCATCCGTCGCGAAGTATCAGTGGAGAGCTGTTAGTCACCTGACACAATGTTGCGGGTGATTGCCGCGCGTGGCGCGCTTTTCAACTTCCTCCTCGTCAAAGATGACGTAGCTCCGGTAGAGAAAGAAAAATAGCCGGCCTCGATGCGAAAAATGCCGGCTCAGCGCTACATAGAATGGACAAAATACGAGTCCAATAGCGATGTAGATTATCGTAGATGCGTTTACAGTTGTTGCGATTATAGTTTCATGGCTGTTCTGTACAATCTCCCTCGCAGGCTATACCATAGTCTCACTCGCAGGTGGCTTTTCTAGTCTCCCTAGCAGACTTCTCTGCACGGAGGGAAAAACAAAAAGAAGGAAGCGTACCTAGGCGGCGTCGCAGAATCGAACAAACCTCGATTATCACGGAAATTGTTGTTTCCGAGCGAAACTGCAGAGCATAGCGACGTGGGCTCCGATGTTGCGCATATTTATCACATCACGTCGGGGTCACCAGTTTGGGGGCCGGCAGGAGGGAATAATTAAGATGCAGTACAAAGAACAAGCCGTGTTGAGAAAAAACATCATCTTTTTATTGTCACTCGTTGCTATAGAAATTTGTCAATAATAGGGTAATGCTAGACCGATGAGAGTAAGGGTGTAAAAGATAAGAGCGGTGCTACACAGTAGCAAATGAGTCGCCACAAGGTTATGACGTATTTTTTAACATCCAACTACCACTCTTTTTAACATTCGACTTTACATTGATGCGTAAAACGGGTATATGGGTTAGTGCTCAACGAGAAGTTCAAATAGGAAATACATAAAATTAATAACATTATTAATTACAGACCAGTCGGATCGGCGTGAAATGGAAGTGTTATACTTTTGCGTTTCGTCTGGTATGGGAGGTGCCGGGGCCCACTTTATTAAAAGGTGGCAACGCATCTGCAATCCCACGGGTGTTGCAAATGTCCATGGTTAGCGGTAATCACTTAACATCAGGTGAACCGCCTACTCGCTTGCCACCTTCTCACATAAAATAAGACCAGTTATCACCGAAACTATCCAATACCGTTATCAGTTTTTTTTTTTCACTTTTTATCTTTTTTTTTAATGTGAAAAGTTGCCGAACGAGCAGATGGTTCACCTAATGTTAAGAGAATACCGCCGCCCATGGACATCCGCTGCACCCGAGGGTTTGAAATTTTGAAAATTGGTCTCCGGCTACCTCACTCACCAGACGAAACGCGAAAGTTTTTATACTTCAACTTTACGCTGGGCCTGCCCGTTCGTGCAACAGCCGAGGCTGCTGAGTGGCCCTACCACCGTAAAATGTAATCTTCATGTACGAGTTATCACTACCTAGTATAAAACAAAGACGTCCCGCTGTCTGTCTGTCCCTATGTATGCTTAGATCTTTAAAACTAGGCAACGGATCTTCATGCGGTTTTTTTTATTCAAGAGGTAGGTTTATAATACATTGCACCCGTGTGAAGCCGGGCCGTGTCGCTAGTTTGTAATAATCAATATCTGCAAAATTATATTTGAAAAATGGATAAATGGTGATACAGGAACGATGGACGTTAATTATAATGTATATTAATACATTTAATCTCGAACTTTAGGTATTATAGAAAGTTTATCTGATTTTGTCATTTCCGTTTCTTTCTGAATATTTAAGTCCTCAAGCACTTATTAATTTTCATAATACTCAGTAATTTTCCACATTAAAACTATCATGCTTATACAACGGTTTTATTTTTCCCGTTGAAATAGAGTTTTATTTGCATCATTTATATATATGTGTATTTAAAGTTTTAATATGTTCTTCCTCTTCGGCTGCTTGATGTCTCAGAGACCATGTTTCTCCAGGTACAATCGTTTCTTTTTCAGCATTTGGACCTGTCGATAGTTGAGGCAGTTCTTCTGCGTACATCGTAGCGACCGATCTTCTTGGCAGAAGCAATGGTTGCAGTCGACTCTGGGAAAGAATTTACACAGTATTTTGTTGCCAGATTATTTAACTTATTTTGAAAACATAAATTACAAATGTCTCGTCCCTAAGTAGATGCTGTTCTTAGAAATCATGCATTGACTAGTGTTAGGGCCACGCAACAGTCTTCCCTGTTGCATGAATGGACAAATCCGTCTGGGAAAATTCCACGCCCTCACGGAATTTAAAGAAATTAAAGAAGATGGGCGTGAAGTGGGACAGCCACTTCACCCCCATCTTCTTTAAATTCTTAAAAACCCATCTTCTTAAACATCTGCATTACGTCTGGTGAATAAGGTAACCCCAGCCCACTCTATTAAAGGGGGCAACCTTACGGGTGTTGCGAATGCCCATGGGCGGCGATTACCACTTAACATAGTGGGCCACGCAGCAGCCTCGGCTGTTGCACTAATGGGCAGGTCCGTCCGGGTAAGTACCACGACCTCACAGAAGACCAGCGTAAAGTGGAAGTATGACAAATACTTTCGCGTTTCGTCTGGTGAGTGAGGTAGCCGGAGCCCAATTTTCAAAAGGTTTTCAACGCATCTGTAACCCTCGAGTGTGGTAGATGTCCATGGGCGGCGGTATTCACTTAACATCAGGTGAACCGTCTGTTCGTTTGACAACTTTTCCCAAAAAAAAAAACATAAAAAAAGACTAACACTGCAAGATTAATACTGATACAAAATTTATTTTATTTATACCGAAATAAACTTTATCTGCAAATATCTACATAGAACCTAGTCTAAATCTTGTATTAAACCTCAGAACATTCGACCAGCAATACAATATACGCGGTAGGGCCACGCAACACATTTCACTGTGGCACGAATGGGTAGGTCCGTCCGGGTAATCCTCACAGAAGACCGGAGTAAAGGAGAAGTGTTACACTTCTGCGTTTCGTCTGATGAGTGAGGTAGCCGGAACCCGCTTTGTTTAAAGGTGGCAAAGCATTTGCAACCATAGCAAATTTCCATGGGCGGCGGTTGTTACTTGGCATCGGGTGGACAGCCAGCTAGTTTCCCAGTATTTCACATAAAAAAATACGCACTTGTATCCTGTCCCGGGTTCACACTTTTCCTTCTTGGGGTTTAAGCTGAGCCGCGTTTTGGAGTCACCGTGGAGTTTCAGCACTTTGGGCGCGACGCATCCTGGCACGGCATGACACTGGGTGACGCTGTTCAAGCATTCACATCGCACGCAACGCGTGGACATACTGGGGTCCTCCGCCTTGCATGATGTCCCTGGGCATTGAAAGACCGGGTTAATCTTGGGCCGATGCAGATGCAATCTATGGTCCTTTAACCACATGACCCCCAAACAAACATTCCCCTTCCCAGACGGTACATTCACATCGGGGAACAATTGGCGGAATGAGGTCATAGAATAGAGCACATAGCCTCAAAGAAACAGTCCCCTTATGGTTGTAAGAAATTTGGTGGAATCCCACTTTTTACGTCGATTTTCGTGTGCCTCTCAGACTACATAATTGCTAACCATTAGGATGGATAGGAATTCGTACCATATGTAATGGTATTAACCAGGTTTAATATGTCTTCCAAGTAAAACTTAACATTGACTTACTCATACATAGCTACATATTCTGCAGAGAAATTTCTTATATGAAAACATGGAAAGAATAAAAAAAATCACTCCTTTAGTTGTGGTGGATTTGTTGAAAATAGAATAACTAATTTTAAATCAGCTCTTAGTACATTTTAATATGAACAAAATTTTTCACAATGAGCAATATGGATTCACTAAAGACAGATGCGGGTATCGCACTTGTCAAACATATTTATAACGCCTGGGAAGGGTCGCAAGATGCAATAGGTGTTTTTTGCGACCTTTTAAAAGCTTTCGACTGCGTGGATCACAAAACCCTCCTTCTAAAGCTTGATTATTATGGCATTCGTGACATCGCCCTCAATCTCATTGCTTCTTACCTTAATAATAGAATTCAAAAAGTATCTATAAATGATGTAAATTCCGCAGGGTCCCCCATGAAAATGGGTGTCCCACAAGGATCGATCTTGGGCCCATTATTATTCTTAGTATATATAAATGATCTCCCCTTTTATGCCAGTGAGTTATGTGATGTTGTACTGTTTGCTGACGACACATCGCTTATTTTTAAGGTTGACCGAAATGTATCGAATTATGACGACGTGAATAGTGCACTTTTGCGTATCCTCCACTGGTTTACCATTAATAATATGGTGTTAAATGCTAAAAAAACTAAATGCCTTCTTTTTGCCCTTCCCAACGTAAGAAGGCAAAGTTTTAGCTTAAAATTGAATAGCGTAACCCTTAATCCTGTTGAGTCCGCTGTATTCTTGGGAATCACAGTAGATTCCCCATCTATCATCTCTTGCGAATAGGTTAAGCTCCGCTGTTTTTGCAATTAGGAAGGTTAGGCAGCTATCAGACATCGACACTGCCAGACTTGTTTACTACAGTTATTTTCACAGCATCTTGTCGTACGGCATTTTGTTGTGGGGTAGTGCATCTGATATAAATTCAATATTTATTATTCAAAAAGAGCTGTCCGAGCAATTTATAACATCGGAGCCCGGAATACACTCAGAGATCTTTTTAAAGAGATTAATATACTCACTGTTGCGTCTCAATATATTTATTGTAATATTTTGTATGTTAAACAGAATATAATAATTATCAAAAGAATAGTGACAGACATAAACTAAATCCTAGAAATAAGGACAAACTAACTACGCCATTATTTCGCCTACAAAAAGTAAACAGATCGTTCATGGGGCAAAGTCAGTCGATGTTAAGTCTGCCACTTGATGAATTTAAACGAAAAATTAAAAGTACACTTATGGCTAAAGCCTATTATACTATTGCCGAATATCTTGACGACGCCAATGTGTGGGGTTAATACTGTTGATACTCACGTAGGCTAAAACAAGACTATTGTACCTGTACTATTATATTGTAAACTGATTTTTTTAAAAAAGAGCAACTGTTGAGTTTCTTGCCGGTTTCTTTTCAACAGAAACTGCTTTCCGAACCGGTGGTAACTTACGAACGTGTTAATTTCTTGTAAAATTTTGACGTTTCATAAGAACGCGCAAGCGTCTATGTGAATAAAGATATTTTATTATTATTTATTATTATTAATATCTGTTAAATCAAGGGGTACTATGATTTCGCTTCAAATTAAATCCAACCCAAAGTAAGTTTAGGTATATCTCATAGTATATCATCAATGTAAATAACACGGTCGGTATAACACTCGATGTGCTCGAAACATTACCGTGCTGTAAGTAACCATCGAGTTACCACAATTAAGCTCACCGCTATCGCCTAAGCAGTTTTTGTTGCACCTGTTTCGTTGTAAGCAGCCCGAGTTAAACACATACCCGACCACTTCTTCGCGTTCGAGTGATTTACTTCCTCCTGGTCGAGGCAGAGCAGCTTCTCGCAGAGCAGGTTGCCGTTGTCGAGGCAAAGGCACGCGTTGCATGTCACCATGTACATCTTGCCCGATTCACAGGGGGCGGCCGAGTGCGGAAGGATCGGGTACCGCCAGAACTCTTCATTCGAGATTTGCGGACTTACCACGATAGGGGACACCACGTCCTCAGCTGCGACAGTAATACACATGTTTACAAGACGTGTCACTTTGAAAGCCTCGTATCAGCTTCTACTGTTGTTTAAATGCGCCAGTTCGACCACAAATGTGTTACATTCTAAAAGTAAACCAAAGTAACAGCCTATAAATGTCCCACTGCCACCACCTCTGTAAAGATGGTATCGGGGCATATTCTACCACGCTTTTATTACAGTTTAACAAAAACTATTGTGTTACGACTACTGGATGAGGTAATTGTTGGCCTGCACCCATAATATTGGCCTTACAGATACATGGTTTTGCTTACTGGAGATAGAATTTTGACGTAAGTATCAGGAATTATGTAAAATACCTATCGCTAGTAACCAAATCTATCTGTAGATGGAATATTGAAATCGGCCGTTAGTTAAATCCTTTTAAATTTGAATAATTTTCCTAATTAACTAATATCAGGCATTAGAGAATGCTCACGTTTTGGGTACTCCTTACAACCTGTCGTACTCGACGCGCTGCATGCAGACTTCCCCTTCTCATCACAATAGCACATCTGACACCCCTGCCGATAGATTCTCCCCGGGACGCATGGCCCTTCGGGAAGAATAGGCAAATATGTTTCGTCCTCTTTATTCGACCTCTCAGACCCCTCCCTCCTCTGGCCTCTTAAGTTCTGCCTCTGCAACCTCTTCAAACGGATCATGTCCTCGTCGTCCAGGCACGCCATTTTTGTGCAGTAGAGGACATTGTTGTCAGAACAGTGGCAGGTGTTGCAGGACATCTTGTACATGTTCCCCTTCACGCACGGCTCGCCCTCGTTTATTGACGGCAACTCTTGGTAGTGACGCGATATGTTTGCTGATAGTTTAAAAAGTGATTTTAGAACGACGATAAGTGAAATATATGTTAGAAGATCATCTTGACGACCCGAATGGCGTAGTCGGTAGTGTACCTGCCTTCTGCGCCAGAGGGTGTGGGTTCGATTCCCACTACTGGAAAAATATTGTGTGATGAGCATAGTGTTTTTCTAGTGTCTGGGTGTTTATATATGTATAATGTGTATTTATTTACAGAAGAAAAGTATGTTTAAGTATGTCTATCAGTTTTCTAGTACCCATAGTACAAGCGTTGCTTAGATTGGGACTTTAGAACGTTGTGTAAAAAGAATGTGAGGTTGGCGGAAGAGACACCTACTCAAAGCTGTCACTTTTGACAGCGGGTGGCTCTTCTGTTGTTTGGTGGGTCTTTTTAGTTGGATTTTGGATCTAACATAAAATTATTCTTAAAAATGAAGGTTGTCCTAATAATCTTAGTAAAAGGATATTACGGTATGCCTAGTATGTGGTTTGATTCCAAATTAACGAACTTTACGAGGTTTACGTAGTATTTAACATATTTCGTAATGAAACAATTTCTTCATAATATGTAATACCATTTAAAATAAGTTTCTACATATAATGGCCGAAGAGCGAGAAATCCAATGGCAAAAAAGCCAAGCCGAATCAAAGCGAAAAGCGAGTATAAATTTGTGAAAAGTTGAAAGATTACGAACAACAAATTCTTGACACAAGTCTAAACGAATATTTCTTTCATTTTGTGGTTCAAAGGTTATTTTTATTACATCAGTAAATATCACTTTTAATCCTCTTCTACAGTGCACTACAATTCGCGATGAATATCCATAATATGCGGGTGTGCCAGATGCTATGCACACCCGCATACACAAATTAGGGCAACAAGGGCCATTATAGACTTGTCAATACCAGCACAGAATGACTACATGACATACCTAATGAGCTATTTCGTAATAAGAATGGGGGACTGATATAATATTTAAGGAGATAAGGATTTCACTTTTAGCATAAATTTGTATGAGATTGAACTTGTTTTGAATAAAATTACCAGTCTAGATTTTCTTATCTTATGTAAATATAATATATATATTTATATATATATGCTTCATTATAAATCACCATTAGTGAAATAAAATTTAAAAAGTCTAACATTTTTTTAAATAGAAAGTCATTGTTGCGTATTTTTACATTTACGTTAGTAATAATTTTATTTTTATATTTTTAAAAACTTTTATTGCCCTTATTTTAGGATAACATTATCCTGTGTTGTAAGGACGATTTACAAACATAAATTTCACGTGGAAAAACATCTAGATGCGAAACAATTATTTGTGGTTAAAATTTGTTTAACTTTAAGTGCGGAGAATAGCACTATAAAAATTTTAATTTACAATTATTTGTGGGTCACACAAATGGTTGTCCCGTGTGGGAATCGAACCAAGGACCCCCGACGCCGAAGCTAATACCTACTGAGCCACGGAGTCCCCAAAATATCATAATGTTCATTAAGTGATAAGGTGACAAACGAGCTGGCAGTTCATCTGATGTTAAGTGATAACCGCCGCCCATAGACAATTGCAACACCCGTAGGGTTGCAGATACGTTGCCACCTTTTAATAAAGCGGGCCGTTAAACTGTGCCTGAACTGAACTTGGGCGTGATTATTATTTCTTTATTTAGTAGTTGTCTAATTTGGTAATAATAATAATAATAATATTAAACTTTTCTTGTTTTATTATCTATGTATGTAAAGTCGACAGGCGTGTGTGCGGTTCACCTAATGCTAACTGATTACCGTCGCCCACGGCGCGCTACCAACCTTGATAAAAGTGGCCCCCAGTCAGCTCACGCAATAGACGAAACGCGAAAGTATAAAACTTCTCGCGCTGATCTCCGAAAAGATCGAGGACCCCGATCTAATAGAAGTTCTATTGAGAGTTCATATATCCAAGACTGCGAAACAAGATAACGTTCATACTTAAACTTTTTATTTCTCTTTGACACAAATTCACTTACTCAGCAAGCACTCCCCGTAAGTAATCCAGTAAATCAGCACATAGAAAACCAATTTCGAATCCATTCTTTACGATGTTTGTTAAATTGGAATAGGCTCTTAATTAACGACAGCGCGTTGGAACTAATATGCTTGTACAATCCATCAATTGCTACTTTGCTTGACTACATTTCTCAATAAAATTTTACGATTATGCGAAAAATTTTATTGGTTTCTCGGCGATTTTGCTAACGAAACAGTCTTGAAAATTTTTTTACTTACTTTTTTACTATGTTTCGTTGATATGTCTAGTAGCGTTGTTGTCTGCGGCTAAATGAAGACTATTAAGTTAATAAGTCACGTCAAGGTGCTCAGAGGAGTAATTACAGTTGGGCTTAAACTTGGGGATAAGTTGAGCATTTAAAGATCCAGTTTTTGCCGACGATTCATTACTGTCGCTCGCCGTAATGTAATAAAAAATGTACAGTTTAGTCATTTGACATGATATTAAAGAGTATCTTAAAGTTAAAGACGACGTAACCGACATAATAGAAATGCGTGTGTGTATCAAATACATTTTTTTAATTGTTTTAATGTATTTTTGTGCATAATTTTTAAAAAAATAGCATTCACTACTCTTTCTCTATATAAACTATAAGTTTGGGAAAATTCATACTCCTCAGTCCGCGCAAATTTCGTAAAAAGGGGTTTTGTAAAAAACTTTGTTTTTGCTTCACGTATTAATATATAGATTACAAAATGTATTGCAACTTTTATGTTATGCCCTCGTCCATTTATGTTGACTTAAAATTTATTATAAAGTCATTGCTCTGTTCAAAGGGTGTGCTCTTTGTCTAAAAGAAATTTGTTTAAACTACAGTCGGCTTCACGGAAATAAAATTAACTAAATCACGTTGAAAGTAACAAACAAAGTGACAGGGGTTTCACAAAATAAAATAACAGCGTGTCAAACTAAAAATCGTTTATTCGTTTCGTGATAACGCTACTTTCACATTATTCAATAAGTTGATTTACGTATTTCCTAATACATTACAGTGTGACTAACTATCGACACGGACCTGTCAGATGATCCCAGTTTTTAGTTAAGAGCTACTGTATCTTATCATACTATCGTCTCTTCCACTACCGCTATAGCTATTTAATAAACGAATAAAGACAAAAACATAATAAATTTCTTTTAATTTAAGAGACAGCACTTTATAAGCATATTCAATGTATTTAAATTTTCAATTCAAAAAAATTTGAACACGGTATAGTTTTGTTCGTTGCAAACAAAAATTTTTAATCTTTGCGAAGTTCATTTAGAAATATGTGTAGTTGAAAAAATGAAGTTTTATGGTTTAATGGTTTTCTAAATTTATTTCGACTGTGGCAATACAACGGGCGTAGTGTACAAGTTTTTGCTTTTAATGATGAAACTACACTAAATAATAATTAAAATAACTAAACTAGTCTAAATAAAATAATTAAGAAAGTACCTGAAATTGTCGTAGTTATTAATTACATGGCAACTACGGGCAAATACATTATCTCCATTTAATACGGAAAAGATTTTTGACAATTGGGTCAGTTTAATTTCGTATTTTTTATGTACGTCATTGTCATATCTATAATAAAATGAAAATCAGATCAAATGCAATACAGTTCGATGTAGGGACTTATAAACATTTTCATAGTATTTTCAATAGGAGAATAGTACATTAAAACTCTCTGGACAATGTTAAAATATCTGAAAATTCCATATTAGGTAGGCATACAAATTGGAGATATTGCAATTGCACGTGGAAAAAATAAAATTGTCTAATTTATTTATAACTATTTAAATTCTGTTTCATACATTTCCATTCGGAACAAATATGTTGAATCAAAATGATTTATGGTGTTGAAGTTAAATATTTCAATTATTCGACAGATTGACATACAGATAAAGTATCATTGATGTAGACGACGAAACGAAAACAAAAACAACATAATATATGAGCTGCGATTTTTAAATTCTGAATTAAAAATAAAACGTTTCCATTTTCAAATATTCGTTACACTTCGTAATGTCGCTGCGTTTCGTGTACGTTCCCAAGGCGCACGGCTAACGGACGCATTGCAGTTATGATGAGAGAAAATGGGTCTTATCGCCGGGCAGTAGGGTGTCATTTTTGCAGTCCGATAGCAGCGGCGGCCTCAGGGCTTGTAGACCGGACAAAGGCGCAAAGTGCAGAACACGCTTTTGCCGTCCGCGGTGCACGTGCAATCGTTGCATTCGCTCTTGAACTGTTCGCCGGGATTGCATCTGAAGTTGGGGTCGGCGGCTGTGAACGCGGATTAAAAGATTTTATTCAACAAATAAATCGATTCATACGAAACTGTGTTCGTCTCGTCGTCTCTTTCTCACGTCCGCGACGTCAGTCGGAGTCTATGAATGAAGGAATTCTGGCACGGAGGTAGCCTATATTTGTATCAACGAAGTACTTTTTCTCTCTTTTGTTATTAGCAGAAGTGACAAACTAGATTTCAGCTTTACGGGTCAGGATGAGTTCCTTACTCTCCGCGAGTAGGAACGCGGTGAGAAATACTGTATGAAATCGCGAAATTCAATACATTGCTTGCAAGGAAACCATCGATTGGTTTATTGAGTAGGAATGCCCGTAACAGAAGTTCGCCTACTCTCACGCTGAAAGGCTTGCAAATTCGCAAAGCGTCTGAGCATCCTATCACAGATGAGCGTTCAAGTAATTACCCCAAAGATAAAGCATCCGTGAACACATGCGCGGCCCGATCTAACGTGGAGGGAGGCCACGAGTTCTGCGCTTAATGAAATTTTAAATGTCAACGGACTCTGCTAGACGGTGGCAAGCGGGCTGGCGGTTCACCTGATGTTAACTGATATCCGCCGCCCATTTGCAACACCCGTTCGTCGCCACCTATTAAAAGGTGGCGACGTATAAACAGTGGGCAGAAGTGTAACACTTCCACCTTACGCCGTTATTCTGCGAAGTCGTGGCACTTCCCCCATTTGTGCAACAGCGAATATTGCTGCGTGGCCCTACCGCAGCACAGAAGAAAAACTGGACTGCCAAATGCAGCAGCAAAAACACCAGTCAAAGTGAAAGTAATCACCGGGCGCGTTCACTCCGTCGTCGACTTTCGCGTCGCAGTTATGGGCGGTGCAGGTGGCGGTGCGACCGTCCGCCCCGCAGCGGCACACGTTGCAGCCCTGCTGATACACGCTGCCAGCCGTGCAGTTAGCGCTCACCTCCTCGGTGGCGTCTGCAACATGGTGTCGCGTTAAGCCTTTCGCGCGGATTTTTTCTATTGGCCACGGCAATGCACACCGGTTTAATTTCGTTTCGGAAGTCGTTTCTTTGTAGATGTATTAACTTAAATAATAAGTGACATTCAAATAACTGAGTGAAAACAATTTCAAACGTTTTGTAAGGGTAAAGGAACATTAGGTTAATAGAAAGGGCCAATTATAATGTCGGAGAATACATTGAAGGCAAGGATATGTGGAAATGATTTTCGCTCTGCACTTGAGAGTTCCCTGGTTGCTGCTGATTTTATACTTAACATATTTTGTATAAATCATTTTAAAAAAAGGTGGTGATGTAACTATGGTAGGGCCACGCAGCAGCCTCGGCTGTGGCACGAATGGGTAAGCTCGGCCGGGTAAGTACCACAACCTCACAGAAGACCGGAGTAAAGTGGAAGTATATGATTTTCGCGTTTCCTCTGGTGAGTGAGGTAGCCGGAGCCCAAAAGGTTGTCAACGCGCCTGCAACCCTCGGGTGTAGCAGATGTCCATGGATTGCGGTATTATTAACATCAGGTGAACCGCCTGCTCGCTTGGCAACTTTTCACATAAAAAGAAACTAACAAAGAAGTCAAGCTGAAATTAAGCCTTCTCTCATACTATTTATAACATCATCATTCATTCGGACCTGCCCATTCGTGCAACAGTGAATAGTAGTTCGTGGCCCTACCACGGTTAGGATTTGTAGATCACGCCTTTAACCCCATCCACTATTTAGGCAGCGGCAGCCGTTTTGCAAGCTGCTGGTTGGCTCACCTCTTTTACTTCTGGCTCCACCGTTGATGTTGTTCGTCAGAGCGTTGCAGTCATTCCGCGTGCATGAGAAGTCCTGGCCCTCGTTGTCGCAAAGGCACTTGTTGCAGTCCAAGCGGAAGACCTGCCCCGGCTGGCAGGCCTTCGGCGGCTCCTACTAGACACAATCAGCATTAAATCTTGTAGAGTTGAAAGAAAGAAGAGGAGAGAAAGAAGGATGAAACGTTTATTCACGGTCCTATGACAATGGTTACATAAAAAATTAGAAAATAATGTAAGTACACGGTGTATAATAAAATTATAATGGAACAATTTAAAATAAATGTAAGCATAACAACAAAACCAAAAATAGAGAAGAACCAATAGAAGATCTGTGTAGCAGCATAAGACCGTGAAACGGACGGGACACAGAGTGACACGGGTCGAGATACAGAAACTAAAATTCGTTCTGATCCGTTATTTTATATCGATCATATCGCTTTCAAAAATCGAGTTTTATTTGTTGTTATGTCTGTTATGGAATGTCTTTCCCATCATTCCTTTCCCATAATTCCTTTCATAATTCTGTATTATGCTTCTACCAGTTCTTCTTGATACCAATAAATTTAAGTTATAAATGGTACTTTACCTGCGGCGCAGCCCGAGTTTTTCTCGAAAGCGAAATGTCCTGTAAAGAAAACTATGTCTTACAATTAAATAAAACAACCGTGGATTTACTAAACGTTTAAATAAGCTTTTTTAGTATGTTAAAGCGAAAGTTGTGAAGAAGAAAATAAATGAAAAATAATTACAGTTAAATTTACAATTACATTAAAAAAATATTTTTGTAGAATAAGATTTTTTTTATCAAACATTCAATAAAAATGTTTTTAGTCGAAAATTAAATCAATAACCACCAGAGTCCCGTGATGTAGTAGTAGTACTTAACTAATTTATTCCTAATAACATATAATAAAGTTTTATTACATATTAGTAGTAGTTATAGGACGGGTTTTATAGCCATTTTATTTTTTTTTAAGTCTGGACGTTTCGAACAGTTTACAGCGTTTTTGTCAACATGTCACGGGGCTTTCCCCGCACCCAATTGTTATTTTTAAACAGATATTAAAATCACCACTACTATAACTTTGTAATAAACAATAAAAAAAACAGGAATAATCTATAAAGAAACTTCAGTCCACATTCACAATATCATATTGTATATGATGTATTTTACAAATAATCTTATAGTAGTTTTAAATTTCCGCACAGTACCGTGATCAGTTACCAAATGCTAATATAATACTTTGTAAGAGTTTATTTCGTTTAAATTCATATAAACAAATTGTTAATAGATGGCATTATCTTCTATTCTTCATAAGCAATTTTCAAAAGAAGCGAAAATTTTGTTATGAAAACATAAATTTATTCTACAGGTCCAATTTTTGTAATAATTGTTTTAAATGTTGTTTGCATTATTAAATTTGATGAAGATTTATAGAAATAATCGCGTATCGACAAAAACACCTATGAGAAATAACATGTTATATAGATAACTGTTTGAGTAAACCAATAAAATCGTTACTACTGGTAGTAACGATTTTATAAGTCGGTGTTGGTTGGATATGTCTGGATATTTAACATATCCAACCCACACCCACTTATAAACTGTAAAATTATGCATAACACGTTTGTATAATTATCAACGAAGACAAAACGAGAATCGGCCAAGAAAACCTCCACCAAATTAACAAGGAGTCAAGGTGGTTGCAGACCTTCAGATCCTCGTCAGGGTAGCAGGCTCTTCTGGTGCAGGAAAACGAGGTGCCGTCCGCGTTACAACGACACATGTTACAATCCATCTCGAACACTTCATCCGGCCGACATGTCTGTTTAACCTTTCTTGCGTCTTGCTGTTTTGATTACAAAAGGGAATTTGACAATCAGACGACGACATACAAAGATGTAATATTGTCGAATTATTGACGATCATTGTTTAACATTCACTACGAGTTGCTTAACCTCTGTAGATATGGCACCCGTAAAGGCCCCCACAAAAGCCCACCACCAATCAAAAGAATGTGACGTCTACCTCCTGCATCACCTCTTCGGAATCTTCGGGAGTTTCAACGATGCAGACCTTCCTAGTGCAGAAGTAACTGGTGCCGTCTTCGTTACACCAGCAAGTGTTGCAGTCTTTGATGAACATTCGGTTCGCCGAGCAGATCACCGCCTTCGTGCCGTTCGTGTCTCTCTTTGGCGATCTGAGCGTCTACAAAAGCGGCGGGGATCGAATTGAGAACCCAAAACAATTGCTAAGGATCTATATCGATCCACGGATAGGTTTAAATTTCATGACAGAAATTAAATTGGTTCATCAAGCTGTAGATTACCAGTCATTATCAATCGCAAATTTTCCTTTTGTAAGTTTTTAGCAGCATCATAACGTAAAAATATAGGAATTATACGATTTCACCTTCCAGATACGTAATATTTTTATGTAATCATTATTTAAAATTTACAAACTTGTTTTGAAAACTAATGAAGTTCTATATTTTTCAGTTCTTTCAGTTTTTCTAGAGAGCATCCTCAAAAATTAATTAGGCAATAATAATAAAAATAACGAATTTTGTTTATATTCTTCATTACAATGGTACCTAGTTAATTTTTTTCACGCGTAATATTCTGAAAATAAATTATAAGAACTAAAGAGATTTCCTCTTGCACTAGTTTTTTATTTGTTATTTGTGACCATAAAGAGATGACGATTTTTAAGACAAGACTTTGTCCGTTTTGTACTTTGCTTGCAACAAGTTCACCACGAATGTTTATCGCTTATCCCTGTTTACCCCGTTTATGATGAGACGTCGCAGGTTACAGGTCAATATTGTGAATGTGAAAGGAAAATAAAAAAAAAACAAAAATGCTCCGACAATTATTAATAACATGATCCTCAAAATTATTATAATTCATGTTATGGACAGTATTAATACAAATGCAAAATTTTTAATTTTATTGATTTTTTAGTTTTCACTTTTCTTTAGTTTTTCCTATCTAAAATAATATCACCGTGGTTTCTGTCTAAGGCACTATTTGCTTGATGTCCTGAAAAAGAAAATAATTTTAATTTAATAAAATATTTAATTCAAAGGGTTTTTCGTCTTGTTTAATTTCGATCTTTGTTCATTTGCTTCACAATTGCTGTCTTTTATTTTTAAATGTTTTAATTCTATATGAAGTTAGCATAAGAACATGTACTTCTAGTACGTTTACATAATCTGTCTTATTTGAGGGGTGTCTGAAACAGGTAAAATTGTTTTATAAAATAATATTCTTTAAGTGAACCGTGATAGCTCAGTGTCCGGGCGCTCGCCTTTAATTCCATATACTCGAGCAACCTGAGTTCGATCCCCGATGAACCAATGAAGTTTGTAAATTTAAGTGCTGACTTATCACGTGCTCCGCGGTGAAGGAAAACATCGTGAGGAAACCTGCATATTTTCGAAATAATAACAAAAAAAAATATTTTTTGTAGATATGTGAAGGCCTCGTATCCGCAGTGGGGCTGCGTGGTGGACTATGCCCTGATACCCTCTGTATAGAGGAGGCCTTTGCCCAGCAGTGGGACATGTATAGGCTGTTACTTTATTTTTTACTACTACGAATGAAAACAAGTATTTTAATAAAATAAGATGTTTATGTGTAATCAGCATACATTGTTATTTCAATCTATTCAATTGCGTTTAAAAATTTCTACGCATTTTATTTACAACATTAGAAAGCATTACTTTCTTGCAAATACCTTAAATGTGGATTATAACTATGTATAATTCACATTCAAGGTATTATATTAGTAAGGATAGACCTATGTCTATGTGAAGTGGAAGTATTGTACTAACGAGTTTCGTCTGGTGAGTGAAGTAAAACTTGTATGAAGTTAAGAAAAACGGGATGAAATTCTTAAGAGATTGATACAATTTGATTCCATAGATTGCTATAATTGGAAATAACCTTTAGTTCGTCGAAAATTTCGACATCCTTCGGCAGGGGGCAGGGCTTATTGGTACAGTTGAAATCTGAACCATCCCGATTACAGTGACAAGTGTTGCACCCAATGAAGAAAGTAGCACGTGGCTTGCAGACCACCTCAGAATGTCTTTCTATGTGATGCACGCCCTTGATTTTTATATTTATGAAACAAAGAAATATACGTTAACACTAATGCTGATTAAATAACATAACAGTTACTACATAAGTTAACGGTTATAACCACTTCTTCAATGAACTGATTCTTTATTAATGGCACTTTAACCCGAAGCTGTTCTAGCAGTAAATAGACATCATTGGTTATATATGAAGGTGTTTATCTTACAAGAATTTTATCTCCATAGTTTGAAAAAATATTTATTATAAGCATAATTCGGAGACATTTTTAAACTTACTCGAAAGTTTGTTCCAAATAAAGACATATAACTTTGCGTCTTTTAGAATGTAAGGCAGTCTGAGTGAGTGACTTGTTTTGGTTTTAATTTAAACTGATATTGATCTAGGAGTTTTTTTTTTTTTTAATAAATAATTATGTTGTATTTATGTAAATAAACAAGTCTACGAGTCTTACCTCGCTTTTCATGAACACTTCGACGTCTTTGTTTATTCCTGAATCTTTATCAGTGTCCATGCACTCGTTCCTTTCGCAAGTGAAACTCTGACCGTCCGCCGCACACTTGCATGGGTTACAGTCCATTTGGAACTCCTTATTGGGCTTGCATACTGATCTCTTTGGCAAATTCCGCGAATCATTTATTAGTATGGCCTCGATTTCGTTGTCCTGTAGGTTTTGAACTTCATCGTAAATATGCAGATATTTGTTAGTAAAAATATCATCTCTGTTTAGTTAAACTACTAACATAAGTTTAGTCACACGTATAAATAATCATGAACTGCACTTACCTTGGATTGTCGAAGTGCAATTTGTGCGACCAAATGGCCAAATGTGATGCAACATTAAATAGGTCTTGATGCAAATTTATTATGAGGGAATAATGTATGAGCTATCCGGAGGATTTGCTTTTATTTATTATTATTTTTAACGTATTTTAATCCGATTATAACATTTGGGTGTATTTGGAGTATTAAACACGGTATATGGTATTAAGACGGCACGAACTACTCCCACCAAGTTATTTTGTTTAAGATTAAAAACACGAATGTGAATTTTTGTGATCGAAGTTATAAGGATAGAATATTGGGCACCAATGTTCCAACTTTTAATGGAAATGACAGACAAAGTTAAGATACTAATATTGAAAAAAATCTAATGTACTCACCGTTTCACTATCATCGTCGTCGTCGCTTTCGACGTGGAAATCACTCTCTGCGAAGTTATGAAAAAAAATTATGTTCATTGGAAATTGAAACAATAAAGTTAAAAATCAAATTAATAGTAAATTTTACTTAAATTATTTTTTTAACTTTTACAATTAATATTTATAGAAAAATTTAATTGAAAAACACAACATTTTCATTTCCTATAATCAAATAAATAAAATCACTGTTGTAAATGATACAGACATTACGTCTTTTAAGGTTTTTTCACAATTTTCTCTACTTTCATACTCTTGTATACTCTGTATCACTCATAGCTGATTGAGATTTAAATTACTGAGGCATAAGTACCGTTACATATTAAGTAATTTAATAACTAAACACGTAAACTGGACCAGGTAACTGACCACAATGAACGTACTTAGTGGTTATTTTTCACCACTGGCGATTAGAGCCATTTAAGCTGGAACTCACCGGGCAAATCGCCAAAGCATCCAACCCTTGTGCATATCGTGTATCCGTCGTAGGTGCACCAGCACGTGTTGCAGTCGTTTTTCCAGACTGACTGCGGGGCGCAGCGGAGCACCCGTTCTAAAACCCCAGCCGGTATATTGTCATTGTCAGCGATTAACAAGTTTTCTTTAAACTTAATCTGTACAGCCTATTGTGTTATCGAACGGTTTGTTGTTTTCCGTCTAATGTTTGGCAAATTAATAATAATCTTTATATAAATAGTCTTTATTCATCACTAAATATAACACCATTAAAGTATACTAGCTCCCACACTATGACAACTTGTACTGTGCCAAACTAAGCTCAGTTTAAGGCGGAGGGGGGATCAGACCTAAAAACAGTTCAAAATGGCCAACAGCCTTGTCTAGCTGTGAACTAAAACTGGGTAACTTAATGATGACGACGATTGTGATTAGGCGAACATAGTACAATAGCCCCTCAATTATTTGGCCAAGTAAAACTCGTGACGCAACGATGCTACGAGCCTAGTGGCAGTAACCACAGGTACTCCGAAACGGAAAACTCGATGACGATAAAGTCACGTCAAACTCCGCACCATCCGCCGTCTGTCCCACTCCAGCATAAGGAAATCTGCATTATTAAGGAAATCTGCTCACCATTTTCTTGGCCAGGACATATCGTCGTGGTGCAGACGGGGTAACCTTCGGCGTTGCAAGCGCACTCGTTACATTGACTTGTCCATTTCGTTCCAGAGGAGCATTCCCTACCAGACAGCAGTTCAGATCTCTTCGTAACTAAAAGTGTTGTACATTAAAAATAAGACATGGTAATAATATTCAGAAATACGTAGTGCAATATAAAAGGTACATAGACAAGATTTAAAAACATAATTAAAGTACCATTGATCGAAGATCGAAGAATAGAATGAAAATGAAAAATTGAATTAATATTGACCCGAATTAAAATAAGTTACTAATAATAAAGATGAGACTGAAAATGAGAACTTCTAGGGACTTTCAGCCAGATGCTTTAAAGTCTAGTGAACGATATTCAAGAATTTAACAAGTCGTTAAGTATTGTTGCAAAGTTGCTCAAGATAATAATTTTCTTACGGTAAGGAAATAAAAAGGAACAATTAGTTGATAATTGTGAGACGATGAATTAACTTTATTGCTAATGTAACTTGGATTGGCTAAGAAAATAACGGCATTGTGTCCTTAGAAAATATCGCAACTAAAATCTACGAAGACATTATTTAGAAAATCAGTTCCGATGACAGAGCTGTATCGTTGTATAATACAAAATAACGGAAAAAGGAAATCGATCATACTCACTGTTGGGCTCCTTGCAATTTTTATCCGTACACGTGACCTGTCCGTCGACGAGGCAGCGGCACATGTTACAGTCTCTGTGAAATATCGTATGCGGCTTACACGAGATCGGTGCACCTGGAGAGAATTTTTTTTATTTAGTTCAACATTGTATAATAAGTTAGAAATATCAATTTTAGATTCTTTAAACAGAAATAGTGTTCCTCATCAGGAACAGGGGGCAACGGGAAGTCTCGAGCGGTCAAGGAGCCAGATCTTAATTGTGATAACTCGGTAAACCACGATAAAAAAAGACTTGGGATTGTATAAATCATGAAAGTGCTGTAACACCTGGACGAAATTTAATCTAATTTCAATGGGAATTCAATGATAAAAATACACTAACATAAGGATCATCTGAAAAACGATAACAAAACCTTATTTGAAAACAAAACTCTTAACCTGTACATCTATTTTGTTCTGACGAAAACTTACCTAATAAACTCGAAGCACACGACTCTTGCTTGTGGCATTCTGAGGTGCCGTCGGGGAGGCACCGGCACTGATGGCAGAAACTCTCCCATTCAGTGCCGGCCAAACATTGGACCTCCAAGGGCAGGCTCTCTTGAGCAGCCAACCCTAAAATAAGAAAAATGTCTATATTTATCACTACAGGAAAAGGTATCTACGGAAACCGTGACGTTTATATTTGTATTTCTTCATTAACGCTTTGTTGTACAGATATACACAGGCTTTTGTTTCTGTAAACCAATGAGTTATTGTGAGAGATATGTGCATCAATGGTTTGCCAAAACAAATAGAAAAATACACAGAAATAAATGAATTTTAATGTATTAAATAACGTAAATATATAAACGCAAAGATACATAAACAAAAAACATGTATAGAGTATATGTGTAATTTAAGCATAATGTGTAGGAAAAGAGCCGTAAACGTTTGGACCATATTAGGCATAAATTCATTTGGCAAAATTCTGGGAGGTCGAGCTAGGAAAAGAGCCGTAAACGTTTAGACAGTATTAGGCATAAATTCATTTGGCAAAATCCTGGGAGGTCGAGCAGCTGTTGGAAAAGGAGAAGTGAATGAACTTAGGAAATCTGTATTATGATATCCACTCAGGATACGTTGCAAAGAAAGAATGTATACTCAGCTAAAGATTAATTTTGCTTAATTTAATATCTTACTTTAGCAACATACTTCCGTTACTTATTTATCCAACATTTACAACATTAAATCTATCTAAAATTAAACATTATCTAATAAACCTAATATACGCAGCATGGTGCCATGAACTTTAGCTGCATTTCCTCGCTGAATAGTTATAACCTTTGAGCGAGAAAAGAACCAACTCTCTTGTCAGTAGTCGCGGCGTTAAGCTTAGGACATAAACCTTTAAGAAATTTCGACGGGCGTAAAAAAATTGTGCGGGGACCCCACAGACCCAAAGTTTCAACAGAAAATGGCACAAATACGAAATCTGAACAAAGAGACTCTCAAAAGATATTTGCGCCATTTACTTAATTCAGCTGCCTCCGATCCTTCTGTTACCAATATTTTGAGGAATATTGGAAACGTCTTTTACTATCTTGGCAAAAAGGTTATATTTAGATTTGATATCGTTTACTTGTATGTGTTTAAATTACATTCATGGTTTGTTGAATCATACTGCTTTGAGTACTTTTACGTGACATGAAATGGTAAGTTGGATTAAATAAATATGCATGTTATCCTTGATGTTACTGTAGATGCTGTATCAGAACAGTTTCCCTGTTCACTGAGTATACATTTCCTCAGGTTGTTGTTATTACGGTATATACGGTAGGGTACTCATTTCGTAGTAGATTATTGCCGCAGCCCTCAGGTGTTTCCGGCACTAAATTAGATGTGGGTGCCGCATCTGAAGTTGCATCAATATATCTCGTTAACGTTTAACTTTAGCTAACCCATTAAGTACCGTCAAGCCCACAAAGCTACCACACTTTTATATTTTTTATATTTAAAGGCTACAAACTACAGCAGTTGAACTAGCGGTGAATGATAACCGCGGATCATGGGCAAAAACAACTGTGATGTTGTTGTCCAATTTTTTTATTGCTCATTTTTACTTCACCCCAATTTAGTCAGTTAGGTCGTGGTACTTCCCCGTCGAGCATATTCTTCGAAGACTTGTAATGTGTCTTGTAAAAAATTTATTAACATTTTATACGCTTTTATTAGCTTCACCTGTATCTACCTATCTCCTATCGATCAGTGTAAAAAAACCTTTCAACATTAATTTCACCCATTTGTCCTAGATTCTAGGACAAACGGGTGAACTAGACCTAGCTATCCGATTCGCTTGAAAATTTGCACACGTGTTCAGCTCCAAAAGTTCACCTGATGTTAAGTGCTCCGCCTTTTAATAAAGTGGGCCTCGGCTACCTCACTCAACATAAAAAACGCAGAAGTGTAATACCTCTTTTTTACGCCGGTCTTCTGTGAGTTCGTGATACTCTCCCGGACGGACCTGCCCATTCGTGCAACAGTGGAGGCTGCTGCGTGGCCCTACCACAGTTAAAGCGGACAATACAATAATTCCATTTTGCAATTTTAAACAAAATTTTTACTTTACAATTGGCGGATTCTATAAAACAAACTATTCTTATTTCAAAATGATTTTCTACCTTTAGTTTCCAATTGCAATTAAAGTGGGTCTGTGTGTCGTTTTTAAACGGTTTTATTTAGCTCGACCCGTACGGAATTTGTTTGTTTATTTATTTGGGTCAAAATTAGAAATTGAAATTTAAGCACCTTGCCGTTGCCAGATTGATCTGAAATTTGGTACACACATTTAATTTAGATGACAATACAATATTAACAAAAAAAAACATAAAATAAAACCGTTTAACTTAAAAGTTTTTTAAAGTAATTATTTAATTGTTTATTTTATAAGCCTCTTACAATTTAGTAAGCTCCTAGGATTGGGGGCATATCGGATGCTAGCTCCGAAAACCCAGCAAGGATGAGACTTGAGTGTGATCGTTGTGCGCGTCGGTTATCAAACCGTCCCCTGCCACTTAATGCACGGAACGCACGCCCATTCGCTCGACGAGAAATTGCCCGCTAATTATAGGCCGGTAATCGCCCTGTTTGCATTTCGCATCCGCTTTGCGATAAAATTGCGCTATTTTTAACCAATAGATAGGTAATGACTAACTGCTTATCTGCAGCAATAAAAATGTCATTTAACCGATGTACAGCTCTGGCGATGACGGGCGCTCCACGTAAAAGCTAAGTAACAGTCTTTACTGTATATATCCCACTGCTGGAGAAAGGCCTCCTTTGTACAGAGGACATTAGGGCATAGTCTACCACGCGACCCCACTGAGGGTAGGCGGAGTTCATATATCTTCGAAATACTTATATTTTATTATTACTTTGATAATATAAAGGTTTCCTCACTATGTGTTCCTTCGCCACTGAGCACGTGATAGCAACACTTAAAGTTGTGAGTAACAATTTCATTGGTGCCGACACTGGAAGTTTAACTCAGGTTGCTCGGGTATACAAATTAAAAGAGTCCGCCCGGACACTGAGCTATCACGTACTACGTGAAACTACCACGAGATACATAGATGTGGCTAAAAGGAACTCGATGTCGGAATAAAACAGATTAGTAGAGCTTAAACTTCATGGGATTTTCATAGATCGCAAAGTCATCGCCTCATGTATGGCTTTTTTTATTTTTATTTTTATTATTCAATTGTGGCAAGCGGGGTGGTGGTGCACTTGATACAATGTTCCTACCTTCGCCCGTTGACAATCATAAACCTTTGATGTTGCAAATGCGTTAACAAGCATTCAAAGAGTGGTTCCTCATTACTTCACTCACCAAAACAAACGCAAAAGTATAATACTTTCCCTTAAAGCCGAAATGGTTTGAAAGGAAACATATATGTATATCTGAATGAGCTTACTTTTAGTAGAACACTAAATAAATATAACAAGTAACATTTAATACATATAACTGTAGTTCAAACCTTGCATGTAAACGTTTACAACTGAGTAAAGTATATAATAATTATATCTATCAGAATTGGTACAAACGCGTACTTAATCTAAAATTGGTTCCTATCATCGTTTTCTTTATTAAAATCAGTCTATACTATTGTAATAAAATTGAAAATAATCAAGTTTTCTTGACGTTTTAATTATTTTAATAGTGTCAAAAAAGTGGTCGGAGCACAATTTATCGTATTTCCCGCCAATTTCGAAGTGAGCCTGTCAAAAGCCGCCGCGTTTTGGCGCGCAGCGGGCGGCCGATTCACAAGTTGCCCTTTAACCCTCGCAATTATTGCAGTTCTATTAATAGCGACAAACAATTGGCTCAATAATTACACGTCCAACCGGCCTCGGAGATGGGAATGTCAAAATTTTTAAAACAAAACGCCACTGACACAATCGCGGCGAAACTGAAAATATCACAGACTAGTTGTGATCACGATGTTTATAATAAATAATACGGCTATCGCATGTTAAACGTACTATTTAGTTTTTTTTTATATATGATAAGAATAAAAACAAGTCGAATAATGTAGGCTTTAGTTATTCTTTACAATTACATCGAATCGGCAGTCTTTACATATTCTTCAACTGTGTCACAATATGGGAATTACTTTTTCAAGCAAAATATATATTACTTTTCACGTACATTATTGTTATTAAAGCTGTCGTGTACAGCAAAACCTATTTCAAGTAGAATGTAGTAAAAAAATCATGACAAATCTCTCAACTCCATTGTTTTTGCTCTTTCGCCAAAATAATAACCCCAATAATCGATTCATATAAATAAAAGCCTTTAAAACGAAAAAAATCTCCGGGTAGTGAATTAATTAAGGATTACTTAACATTAGTTAAGGAAATGCGTTTTTATGGATACAATGATGAGGAAAAAGGACTTCAAACCGCTTACGTTTCAGAAGATTAAGATTGCAACGATGCGCAAGGAAAATAATAAGTACTGGGTCGTAGTATCAAAGATATTTACCTAAAGAAACTGTAGTAAATAAGGAAGGTTAATGAATTAAAAAAACACACTACAAGAAGTGTGGGCTTTGAGATACCTGAATCAACGAACAAAGCACAAAAGTACAAATACTTATTGTTGAAGCTGCTTCTTCGATATGCTTGTTACTTTTATCTTCGGTTTAAGACATTAGTAGAAGCCTTCATCGCAGTAAGATAAAGAACTAAACATATAATAATAAATAAATATTTTAGGGCACATTTTTTACACGTTTCTCTAGTCCCAAACTAAGCAACACTTGTTACGTTAAGTAACTTCTTTTATTATTATTTTTTATGTGAAAAGTTGCCAAGCGAGCAAGTGGTTCACCTGCTGTTAAGTGAATACCACCGCCCATGGACATCTGCTGCATGCGAGGGTTTGCAGATGTGTTGACAACCTTTTGAAAATTGGGCTCCGGCTACCTCACTCACCAGACAAAACGCCAAAGTTTCACACAAATACACTACGCCGCGCTTCTGTGATGTCGTGGTACTTACCCGGACGAGCCAGCCCTTTCGTGCAACAGCCGTGGCTGCCACCGTTGTACTATGTAACTGATAAACAAACTTAAACTTAAACATACTTTTTTTGTAAATAAATACATATTGTAAATATATAAACACCCAGACACCAGATCGAACCCACACCCTTTGGCGCAAGAGGCTGGTTCAGTGCCCACTACGCAAATCATTACCAAGTGAAAGACTTAATTCGTTTAGGATTAACAACGGGCACAGCTATTTGACATTCAAATGACCATAAACATGTTAATGCAGATTATATCAAAGAGCTTTTACACCATAAAGGAATTTAATCGTCATTGTGTAGGCAATTCTAGTAGATCACTGTCAGTTATTGAATTAGCTTTTATTATATTTTTGTAAGCTTATATTTAGCTTCACCCCGTGTCTATAATGAAGTCTTACAAGTTACATTTTACCCATTACCGGTGTCTGAATTGAGCTGAATTTTGAGTCTCTCGTTTAATTTCGTGACAATGCACTATTACCTTAATGGCACCAATCCAATATAGCGGCTGTTGCAAAATAGCAATTTATAAATTTCCACATAAACCACTATTATATGGGTATGAAAAGAAAGACCTTGTTTTTTACAAAAAAGCTTCGTTATGAATTTAAAATACACGAGTTTAGATGTTCCATAAATAATAACAACAAATCGGTACCGGCCTTCAGTTTATTTATTTATTTATTAGACATACCAACAGTATACATATTAAAAAACTTAGTGATATTACATTACAATATGTTCTTATATGTACACCAATGACAGGTATGTACAACTTTTACAATATGACACGTACCTATATTAGAATAAAAAAGAACATAAAATTACCATAAATACTTAATTAAAAAAGAATCTTATTATATAAAAGAAAACAGAGAAACGAAATAAATTTCAAAATCAGAAAGTCTAAACTAATTGTGGTAATTTAAGTGGCATTTGTATTAGTTAGCCGGTGATAGTTTTGTACTTATTGATCTTGAGAAAATATTAAATTGAATAAAGAAGACTATGCTCAAATGCATTTTTTCAACTTTAACTGTTGCTTTCGAACTTGGTAAAAGCTGAACTCTGTACGTGATTAACCATTATGGGGTGTATACAAGATTCCCAGGAGTATTTCTGTAACATGCCAATGTTTCTTTAAAAAAAATCTTAACGAAGACAACGATTAATAAAAAGGTAAAGAAACCATAGTCGGGTTCGAAAAAAACGAATTAGTGCGTTCTAAAAATAGATGCAACGTTTGCGGTGTGCGTTAGAACAGTTTAGCACTTAATTAATCGGCTTGTGTAGTCTGTGTGGTCAATTAGCGGGAGCATCGCAATCCATGGCGGTTTCGATTCATCCAATTAGACCAGGTCCGATGTTATATCAGACAAATATCAGTTATGTCACACGCCAGTGGTCTACTGAGAAATATATAGCGTCCCACTAGTTAGGCAACTAAGGAGCTTATCGTCAGACGTCGATCGTTTTAATTCCTTTTTTTTTTTTGCCAGAACAGCAACTTTTACGGTGATACAGCCGCACAGCAGCTTCTGATAATTTATTTTTTCGTCTTGCAATGCTTTGTATAAGATATGTCGGGGAAGATTTAAATTAAAAGCGAATAAAACAACGTCAATAATTATTACGAGAAAGAGTATCGACATGAGTAGGTTGCAATAGTAAACCAAAATTATAAGTTCCTACATGTTTGGCGTACAACTATCTATTATCAATGTTTATGCCTAAGTATCAAAGAAAAAGCGTTTGGTCCAATAGCTCTGCAAAGGTTAATTAATTCTTTGATTAAAAAATTAAAGAGCTAACTAACCGAAGGCCCATTTCCTTAAAAGTGTAACGCTCTTCAGTCGATTTAAGAACCGAAATAATCCGCAAAAAACACACATTACTAAAATTATACATTCTTACTTTGCCACATTAAATGTAAAAATATTTTTGAGATACGCCTCTCTATAGCTTTCCTTATCTTTTAAACGTAATAAAATGGATAGTATAGTTACAGTAAACAAAATAAATATCGGTTTGCTCTCACATTCCCGTTAGCAGGAACTCGTTTCGTGCGGTAAACTTGACACTGCATAATATCACGGCTCCTGAGTACACTTGCGGCCAAAGAAAAGTGTTTCAAATGTAATAAAACAATGTTCCAACCATAAACTTTTACGTAAAGCAATACCGAGAAATACATCCGCCTATAACAATAAATAATATATTCGGTTGTACACAGTTTTAGCTAGTTAACCAAGTTGAAAGTAAATAATATATTTTTGGTTGTTCTTGATTTCAGGTAGTCAACAAATTTGAAAGTACGGTCATTATGATTTATTTTGTCTACGGATCTCGGCATCTTCTGGGTAAAACGATTGAAGACAGTTACAGCCATAAAAAGATTTAAACAAAAAAATCATAAAAGGATCCAGTTTATTTTCCCTCTGCCATGAATTGATCGTAATAATAAAAACACATTCCCGAGTTGCCTAGAGCTTTTACTTCTGAACCGTAATAAAGTTTGTTAGCATTCCAACGCCGCCATTTCGAATAATTAAAATAGTGCCGGGTGTTTACCCGGTACTATTTTAATTATTCGAAATACCGACGCCGAATGTTTATTCGGCGTCGGTCTTGACGTGTCTGCTTTGTGAA